CAGACGGCGGCGCCGGCCTCTGGCGCGGTCACGCTGGACATCGTGCCGGTCTCGAACTCGAGCTTCCTCGCCGTGTACTCGGGCACGTTGGACAAGGTCCAGCACAAGCGCGTGGCGGTCGTGGAGTTCCTCGGTGCGCCAGTCGGTGTCGGGTCTGGCTCGAACGGCGTCGTGTTTGGCGGCGAGGTCAAGATTGCCAACGCCGACTTTACGGTCGGCAAGGAGTACTTTACCACGACCAAGGGCGACATCTTGGCCGCGACTGCCTCGGACGTCGGTGCCGAGTACTACTTTTTGGGCAACACGACCGTCGTGTCCAAGGACTCGCGCGTCGGGATCGCCGTCTCCAAGGACTCCATCTACGTCTCCCAGTCGGCCTAAACGGGTTTGAAGCCCACCGTTTGTATCTAACACGTTTTCATCCACGACAATTCCTCTTTTCTCATGTTCGTGTGCGCCTCTTGTCGAGGCCATCACGGTCTCTGTCGGCGGCGGAAGTGGGGGATGTCGAGAAAGAGACTTGGCGAAGGCGGACGATCATGTCGAAGTATGTGGGGGCGTTCTGTTGTTGTCGGCACTCCACGTCCAGTACTATGCTGTCGATGTACCGAGGAGGAGCCGTCGCCAACACCGCCTTCCACGGAGATAGAATAGCCACAAAATGACTCGAAATGGAGTGAAAGATCGACCTTCAAGTGCATGCATGACGGTCGTGGTCAACATGCAAAGTTGACACGTTGTACTGTGCCATTCCACAGATGTGGACGAATCAACTCTGTGTTGCCAAGTGCCACACCAACACCCTACCGTCAGCCAAACCGAACATAAAGCGGCCGGACGATCGTGCCCTACCTCGGAGGTTGTTTGCACGACACAGGATCACGACGGGCGATTAGCACCTTGCACTCGTATTATTCGTCGCCGAATAGTGGAATGACCGAGGAATGCCACAATGTCATCTGATCTGGTGCATGACGTCGCTCTCTTTCAAGGCTACAGCTCCAATATCATCCCATGCGGTTGTTCTTCATGGCTGCTTCATGGGATTCATCATGGTAATGTTCTCACTGACCACGCCATCATCCGTACTGTCTGGTCGTGTCCAAACCGAGGACAACGAGGCCGACTCCTCGACAATGCCCCAGTAACCTACCCATGCTCGACACGCCAAGATCGACGCACTCGACGTCAATTGCACAAGAATGTAGTGTGCATCAAGCCGTTGTTGTCCTCGGCGCGACGCTCGAACGAAGCCCATCATCACTCGATCGCGGTTTTGAGGAATGCGCGAGGTTCAAACCTCCAAGAACACATACTCCTCGGATTTCATATTTTGTATGCATCAAAGGGGTAGGTTCATGGAATCCACCGCACTTGGTTTTTCGAAACTCCCGTTGACTTGGTTTCAGTATAGATGTTGAAGTAGGTGGCCATAACGGCGAGAAAATGACCTCTGCAAACCAATAAAGATCCCCATCAGAAACCGCCGGGCATTCGAAAATCTTCCCCCGACGTCATCGATGAGCACGGCGGCGGCACCGGTTGTGCCCCACAACAGTTGGGCAGACGACATCTCGCTAGCGCAACGCCTCACCATCATCTTGCTGCCTGTGGTGACCCTCTTCCTCATCTTTGTGCTACTGCGATGGATCTGGCCAGTGCCCCAAGGTCAAGCTCTACCCAAATTTGCCGGCCCCAAGTACGGCGCCACGGACGAAAAGCTATCGTTGACGTCGATCAAAAAGGAAAAGTCGTCGCTGTGTGAAGAAGGTGAAGTTGCAGGCGACTACGAAGACAGCTGGGTCAACACATTCGACATGGTGTTTTTGATCTTCATGCTGTTGTACCTGGCGGTCATGGTTGTATTGACGTACTACTTTTCCCCGGAATACTTCACGGATCCTACGTTCTGGCTCATGCAGCTGCCGAAGCTCGGCTGCATGATGCTCGTGTCGTTGATCGGTGGTATCATTTGCCGATGCTTCTGCACAGTTGATGATAAGGGTTACATCATCACGAACAAGAACTCGGCGTTCAAGGTCAACTACACCCGAAAGCTGCAACATTTCGCCGCGTACATGGTGCCTTTGGTCATTAAGAGCAACTACCACGGCCCGCTGGCCCTCGGTTGGGGTGATTTCTTCACGATGTTGGGGTTCTTCGTCCTGATCAAGCCATTTCGCGAGAATATGTCGTTTTTCATGCTACAATTCAACTCGCTGGATCGCCCCGAAGATCGACCACATACGTTGAAGTGGATCATTGCTGGAAACATTGCCCCTGGTCTGTTCATCTTGCTCTTCTTCAAGTGGCTCTTTGGCGAACAAGGTGCGCTCACGTTCATTATCATCTACATCACTGGTATCGGTGACGGTTTGGCGGAGCCCGTCGGCATTGCATGGGGCAAGCACAAGTACAAGACAGCCGGTTGCTTTTCGACACGCAAGTACACGCGCAGCTGGGAAGGATCGGCGTGCGTGTTCCTGTCGGGGATGATCTTTCCCGCAATCCAATACGCCGACTTTGGTAGCTTCACCCAAGTTCTCGTGGCTATGTTGGTGCTGCCACCTACAATGGCGTACGCAGAAGCGACGGCGCCCCACACGATGGACACGCCGGTGCTGATGATCGGATGCGGCATTATTTTGTACCTTATCACTAATTTCCTATAAAATTAAGTGACTCTGCGACGCTTGTAAAAAAGAAAGTTGTTCCAACAATTTGATCCGAGTCGTAGTGAGTTGCTGGCGAAACTCAAATGCTTCTGTGCCAGCTGCTATCTCAAATATAACTCCAGCTTCGGAATGGACGAGAACAATTTAGAACTCTTCAGCAACGGAATCGCAAGAGGTACAAGGGCACTTTGATAGTCTCAGTCCATGCGCTCACCACTGCTTGGCCCGCCAGTCCAATATATTGTCGTCGTCGTCTGTGGCATTCTCTGCATCGTCAAGGGCTTTTCGATTCAATTCCAATGCAGCTCGCTTCTCCATGACTTGGGCGACGATTTCAGCGGGAGAGTCGACGGTGGGGTCTTCAACGTTCTCGAGCTCCGCCGTGTCTTCATCCTTGACTTCACTTGCGTCTGCCTTTGTCACGAGCAAGATGGTCTTTCGGACTCTGTTCATATACTGCATTTGCTGCAGTTTCTCTAGCGCTTCCACTTCCTCCGCCTCCTCCGCCGCAGTCTTGACCTTCTCTTCGCTCGTTTCCTCAGTCTCCACAGACGCAACGAAATTCTGGAAATCCTGCCATTCTCGCTCCTGAGCTTTCGCTACTTCTTCCTTGACGTTCAACTTACGCGCCTTGGCATCCGCGACGGGGTCGTCGAAGAACCCTGCTGGCAGGTGCTCTTCCTTCCTCTTGTTGCTCATGCCAAGCGATCTACAATCCACCAATTGCGTTCGACAACGAAATTCAGCCAATAAGAGATCGGTTCGACATGATTTCAACCAATCAAATTCAAAAATCAAGCGTCTTCATCGACACAGGGATCCCAGCGCATGATGATGTTCATCTGCGACGAAGCGACGGTGGATCTGACAAGGGTGCGCATCGGGGCGAAGAGCGTTCTGCATCCGAAGAGTAGTGTCGTTGTCCTTGACGCCCCACCCTCTTCGTCACCACAAGTGTGCATCACAATCGGCGAGAGGAACATTCTGGACGACATGTCGGAGTTGTCGATGTCGCTTGCCACGTCCGACTCCATGACGGTCGGAGACAACAACTTGTTTGAATGCGGGTCCATCGTCAAAGCGAAATCGATCGGAAACAATAATTGGTTTGAGCCCAAATGCGAGGTGGGCGTCGGAGTCGTGATCGGAGACGACTGCGTCATTGGCACCGCCGTCGTCGTGGCTCCACACACGGTGGTCCCCAACAACACGATCTTGGTCCGGTTGCCAGACGGGCGTGTCATCCAACGACAACAAAAGGAGTTTGCGCGCAAGGCCAAGCGAGTGCTCCAGGACAAATACATTGACGCGTTTACAGAGCCAACCAGCCTGTCGTACCTTCCGCGCAATCAACGGATGAAAGCGACGTAAGCATGATCGACAGATATAATCCACTTGAGAGTTGCGTGTGCCTTTCAGTACTTGAAATACGTGTGGAACGTGTACCGGTCGCCCTGGGACGAGCGGGATTGAGCAGCATACGCCGGTGACAAGCCACGTTACCTGCCGCATCTTTCGATTTAAGCTGACTTCTTTGTACTCTGGAATAGTCGTGCCGCGGCGTGTGATGCGATGCTTCTTTGGAGTTGGTTCGGAGGACAGGCCACTAATGGACGGACGCAACGTCTACATGGGAGTTGGGGATGAAAATGTGCGTGTCGACAGGACCATACCTTGATCGCTTTCGTCGAGTTGTAAATCGTTGCGAGACAAGGCTGGGATGAGCTTTCCTCCTCATCGCACGCGTTCAACAGGTCCGCCAGCTCAGTGCTTAGTTGATCGTTTCGAGTTTTGGTGGGATGTGTAGTCGCGGGTGGCGTTTGCCAAGGTGGAGGCTGGTTTTCTTTGCCGTCGAGCGTTCGTTTGCGTGGAGGGGTCTGCTGGACAGAGTGCATCGAGTTTGCACAGCCTGGTAATGACTAACCACGTTACATCAGCGCCTGCATCCATAATGAGCCCCTCATACTTGGCGAAGCTTCGTTTTTGAATTGGGTTCTTTGTACACCACAGTCTTGTGTTCTCGTAGAGCACTCTTTGTCACAACGAGTTCGAAGGTTGTGCTGGCAGTCGACAAACGCTTTTTCGGAGCGTGATGGTTCAGAAATAACCTTCCGTGTCGACATAGCGGAGGAGGTGGTGCTGACTTGCCGGATGATGCTTGTGCGCGGTGATCGATTCCTCGTGACGACATGCCCCCCCGTGCGACGTTCGAAGCATCGCCTGCAAAATCGCATTGCACGGACGCGTCCTGGTAAGCCGGATGCACATCTTGTACCGATTCTCTGGCTTGTTGCACATGATGCTGCACTATTCGTAGGTGTAATGCGATTCGAGACGAAGTTGAGCACATACTAAACAGAATATCGGCTCGAGCGCACTTCTTCTTTGCTACAAGGCCAAAAGATGCTTGTCACACAATCGTGCTCGTTCACAAGACATCTATACCTGCTGCAAGATCGCTTTTGGCAGTGTTCTAGCCCCGAACAAGACGTGTCATGGACACACAGCGGAAGGGACAACGTACCAAGGCCATCGCTAGCTGTCGGTTAGCAATCAATAGCTGGTCCATTTCTTCATTCCTTCGCCGCAACTCTTCCGAGTCGTTGCATCGGCATGGATTCTGTGTGATTCTCTCTCTCTGTGTCACTGACGGCGCCTTCTTCTCCCGTCGCATGTCGCCGCGTCGCGTCCCGAGAAAGGCCAGATGACGACGGGATGTTGTGACGGATCTTTCATGCAATCGGATTGGTCTAGATAAGCCAATCAAAACGGTCTAGACTTCAAATGCCACCAATCACATGCAAGTAATTGCATTGGCGACTCTCCATGAACGACCTTGGCAGGGCGGCGTATCCGCTGTGGTCATCCGACTGGGCCATTGTCGAGCACGGTGTCCTGCTATTATGGAAGGATGTGTGGACTCTTCTCCAACGCCCAGAGGTGGACGCGTCGCTGTTTGAACACGTGATGGCCAATACCAAGGTATGGTCCACGTTGAGCTCCCTCCTCGGCAGTTCCAACCCCTCGGTCGAACTTGCCGTCGTCCATTGCCTATTTGGTGTGTTTTCAGCTCCCGAGCAATCGTCGCGTCGCTTGCTGCAGCGCCAGCTCCAAGATCAACTGGTCGCCACACATTGCATTGAGAACCTCTGCGTGAAACTGATCTCCCCCTACGACGTGACGGACCCCACGTCCCAGCAAACACGAGAACTTGCTGCGTTGACAATGGTTCAGATTTGCAAGCTGCCCCATCTCGTAGATCGTGTGTGTTTTGCTGGCGCCATGGATGCATTCACTTTCCTCATCCTTCATGACGAGCTGTCGACTGGAGACCTTACCCCACACATTCACCGCATGCAGGAAGCCGCGCTGAAATGCATCACGTTCTGCGTGGAAAACTCCATGGCGTGCCTGGAAGACTTTGACCATAGCGATGTTTTCGTTCATGTCCTTGTTCAGTACGTCCTGGACCCTGAGTCGCCCCCTCATCGTGCTGAAGTTGGCATGACGCTTCTCTCGGCGTGCATGAACCATCAACCGCTCATTTGCAAAGTTCTCGTCGACCATGGTCTCCTTCACGCTTTGTCGCCCATGCTCCAATCATCTACACGTCTCCAGGTACCTGCTTTGAGTGCACTCAAGCACCTGTTTACTACCAAGCACGACACTATTCCACGGGACACCGCTGCCCATCTTCGCATCTCCGGCGGGCTTATCCACCTTGGATGGCTTGCATGGGCTCATGACAGCCCTTGCATCAATCGAGCGGCATCCACCGTGCTCACGTGCCTCATGCAATGGGCCCAGAACTGTGCCGATGGTCCCAACTTAGTGCAGGATCTGGTCGAGCAAGGATGCGTGCTCCTACTCATCCAACGCAAACCATCCGCTTTCCTGACGTGGCTCCTAGCCGAACTCAACGGCCAAGATGGATCGAGCTATCACCACCTCGCGTCCGTAGTATGTCGGTCCAACAACAACCTGCTCCGCATGAACGTGACTGTCGGGATGTGCGTGGCAAGTGCCCAGACTTCGTCCGGCCGCCTCGCCGTCAACGAGTGGTGGACTTACATCGAAGCTTTCCTGACGGAAACGTCGAATGCACGTATTTTGCGCCATGTAGTGCGCGTTCTGACAACGCTGTGCAATCCATCGACTGTCGAGTCGCCGACACATCTCCGATTGCAAGGCGTGCCGAGGCTGCCGTTGCCGACACTCCACGGCTCCACGTTAACGCTACGATGGCAAGACAAGCCCAACGACACCGTTCCAAAGTTGACCATGATGGAGAACAGTACGATTGTTGCAACGATGCTGACCGCGGACGCCACGTGCACGACCGTGGAGATGCCTCATGACCTTCCACCTCGTTGCATGCCGCTCTTTCTGCAAATGTGTCATCGCACATCAACGCAACCTCTCAGCCAAGTTCCAAGCATGCATTGGAGAGACCTACTTGACCTTGCGCGGATCGCACAAAAATTGGGCATGCTTGTCTTGCTGCGATCTGTTGAAATTGCGATGTCGAAGCAGCACCTACCACATCATGTCGCTTTGATACTCGGACAAGCAGTGACCATGCGCATCCCTTCCATCGTGCTGATGTGCTTGCATACAACCCAGTCCCTCTTGCCGTCCGCAGAAGACGACGACGCCGCCGCAGCCCTCACTCATAGCACCCTTGTCAGCCTTGGAATGCTTATTTCGCCGTAGGATGCAGGACAATAACCGGAGATTTCCCGAGTTATCCGGACGATGTGTGTATCATTGGGGTGTGCACGATGCGCTTCGAGCTGAGTCCAGCCGCGGCGGTCGTGTCATGCCTATCTATGGCCGCTGTGTACGTGGGCGTTCTGTACTGCTGCCCCACGGAGATTCGAAGCCTTCCTCGCGACCATCCTCGCCATGTACTTCCCGATCCGAATATTCATCGTGACACATTGTCCTGCAGATCCTTGCGCGCTTTCTGCTCATCGTCGTCGCGTGCGTCGGGTTTCCCTTCTTTCTCTGTGTGTTTATTGACGAGAAGGTAGCATTGCAGCACGACGAAAGCGATGTCGATACTCGAGTTTGACGTGCCTTGCACGAACTTAGCACGATGGAAGCATCACCTTCGCCAACAAACTCGGGTTCCATGCCAACATGACCGAGACCGTCGTGTCCACGAGTCTCGCCGTCGTGTTGACCATGCTGCTCTTCGCAGGGGCTATCGTGTCCAACGGTCTCGAGGTATACATCATCATGCGGCACCGCCAATCGTCGTGGACAGCCGCGTTCCAAGAAACGCAACTCTACTACAACTTTACGCGTGACCGTCTGCCAACGCTGCGCACCCTCATTTTTGTACCATGTTGCCGCCGTCCTTTGCTCTTCCTCAGTGTGGATCATGTAGGGCCCATTGACGGAGGAGTTTGCGTTTCGGAGCTGCATGCTACCGCTGCTGTTGGATTCGGGATGGTCGATCTCGACAACCATCTTTGCGAGTCCGCTCGCGTTTGGCGTGGGTATGGTCCCATGCTTCCGTTTTGAAGGCGTCTCCCACGTCCGTGTGTAGCGCATGCGCACCACTTGATCGACCACATTCGAAGCGGGCGGCCCGTTCGCACTGCCGTCGCCATCGTCGGTACATTCTCGTCTATCGACCGACCTCGTCCACTCACATGATGATGCAGTGTTCCAGTTCTTGTACACGACAGTGTTTGGCATTTTTGCGAGCTTTGTCTTTCTTCGAACAGGTACTGTTTCTCTGCGCCAACGACCCTCTCGCTCTCACGTCGACCACGTCGGTACCTTCCTAGGACACTTCGCCGCCGTGTTTGGCGTCCACTCGTTTTGCAACCTGATGGGATTTCCTGACCTGTCGTTTCTCTCGACGGACCACCCCCTCCATTCGTACAAGCCAGGTGCGGTGTGCATCGACCCTGCATGTCGTCTGACGTTGTGGTAGCGATTCTGTTCGTCTACGTGGGTGGCATCGTTGCGTTTTCGGCGCTGCTGTTTCCGCTCACGGGCATGTACACGTCGATGTATTGGTCGTGACACAGGTCGACGGCACCTCGGGATGAAGAAGACTCGTCGACAATTTCTCCGTGAAATATATGCACACACCTTGTGCGACCTACCTATCCACGTTTTGTCTATCGTTCTAGTGGGGGACGGGGCAGTGCCCGTCCGGAATGACAGACGTCATGCCGGCCACAGGACACTGCCCTTGTGGAATCACGGACGCCGCCGCGGGCTGGACTTCCTTTGGCCGCCGGAACGTGACGGCGTGCATGTACCGGCCCGTCTTGGCCATTTCCTTTTCCTTGTCTGTTGGATGTGCCTGGCCATGGTACAAGATCGGGCACATAGCGGTCATCATGAACGCATACACCATGCGCCACGCGCCTTCGACCTCGGCATTCCACACGCCGTCCCCCGTGCACTCTCGGATCGCCGTCAAGAGGACGTTTCCGAGGACGTTGTAATATCCCATCTTGACCTTGTACTTGTTGTGCCGATAGGCGAGGTCCACGACCTTTTCGACGGCGTTTTCCAAGTTGGCTTCGTTCGTGACAGTCTGGACGATGCTGATCAGCGCCTTGCCTTGGATGATGATGCTGGCTCGAAACAGCGGCTTCACCTCTGGCGCTATCTTGAAGAGCGACCCGTAAAAGTAGTCGTAGAAAAATACGACGGGCGACGTCCCGGCCGGGACCTTGGCCTTCATGCCAGGGGTCAACCCGTTAGCGATCGAGTCCCACGTGGACAGGACGATCTCGCGCATCCGTGGCGTGACCTTGCACGATTCCATGGCAAAATCCGGGCAATTCATCTGGAGGTATTTGAAGTACTTGGGGTGCAGGACGAGCCCGCCTTCCTTCGTTTGCGTCACGGCCTGGACAGAATACTTGATGCCCATCGCTTTCGCCGACGACGTGGTGGGTAGCCAAGTCGAGGAGACGGTGAATGCAAGCGGCGTATTTTTAGGCGGCGACCATCGACCTCGATAAATTTAGACCACCGGCATAAGATTTCAAACGTGGCTGCCGAGAATGGACGCGGGTGGGCAGCAAAGACCTTGCGCTGTCCACGGAACGAGCTCCCCACCCCGTTCAAGTCGATTCGCGGGCTCGACATGCTGCCAGTCGAATAGATACCCCATTGCCTTGTCGACCTCCTTCTCGAAGTGCAGGGAAAGAGCAGCGGGTATGCTCGCTCTTCCAACTCGAACGACAACGTAGTTGCTGAAACCTGGGCATAATCGGATCGTCGAGATGCTGCACGACGGAAGCGACGTGTCCTTGCGGGGGCTAGCTTGGTTCTACACCGAGTTGTCCCTGGCTCGCTCCATGATGACGCATGGCGAGTGTAGCTTGCGCTGATGGGGGTTGTGTGTGTGCATGCAGGACAAAGACAGTTTTGAAGCGCCAGTCGTGTGTGGTTGGTGGAGCAGACTACGCTATGACCATGCCTACGTAGCAGCTTTCGATGCATGCTGCTGCTGCTTGTGCATGGATCGAATGGTGTGGAGGACGCCGCGCCGATCGAAGCCCTACAACGACGCCGCATCACTTTCAGTCGATCGGTGGCAGTCGACTCTATACGCACTTGGTCTTCTTTCACGTCGACAGAGATCATAGTTGATTCGCACACGAGTTCATCGTCGTCTTGTTGGTTGCTGGCGTCGACGTCGACGATCTGGAGCAACTTGGATTCCGAGATCTTTTGCTTGAGCTTGGACTGGAACTTGGGAGGTTTTGCAGGCACCCCGCGTCGACAGACTGCCGCTTGCTTGAGCGCTGCGCCGTCGTCTTCGGGATTCATGGTCGCGTTGGTGTCGACGTCGATGGGTATTTCTGGCAGGACAGTCGTTTCACGCTCCGTTTCACCGTGGCGCGCGTCCTTCACGCGATGACGAGGTGTGGGCGCTTGTCTCGAAGATAGCTCCATCATCTGAACCGTGCGCGATGCACTTCCACGGAATCCTGGTCCTCCTGCCATCGTCGTTCGTCATGACCGCAGGCAGTGTACCGACACATCGACGACGATGGGCGGAAGTTGACGAATCCGATTGGCTGCTAGAAGTAATCAAGGGATTTGATTGGTTGAGAATTGTGTCATTATGACATGACTCCATTTGATTGGCTGAAATCTGTACGAGATCGCACGGCACCGCCCGTTTATCGCCTCCTCCTGCGGCGCCAGTCCGACCTCCATGGACGCGTGGTCGTACGATGAAGTGGGGGAATGGCTCCGAAAAAAGGGACTGGAGGATTACGTCGAGGTAGTGACGCTCGTCTGCATGATGCGCATCCTTCCTGGACCCTGTCTTGTCGTTTGTAGGTGTTTCGACAGCAAGCCATTGACGGCGAGAGCCTCATCGAGTTCACCGAAGTAGAACAAGCCATCCAAGCGTTCAAGATGCCGTGGGGACATGCAAATCGGTTGGTGAAAGCGATCCGAGAGTATTCCGACAGGTACATGCGCATCGACATGCACTCAACGACTTCTCGCAACACTACACCGAGCTACGTTCCTCGTCACTCCGTAGTGTGCTCGAGCTGCTTGTCCTCCAAGCTTCGCCTTTGGTCATGGAATCGCCAACGAGTCATGCTATCGGGAAGCTGTACCATTTCATGGAGAAGCTCGACCTCGATACGGAACGTGCGGCGATCACGGACATCCTGACACGGCATCTCCCGACCAAGCGCATTCGGGCACGGTTTGAAGTGGCGACTGTCGATTCATTCAAGGCATTGCTTACCGCGTACCAAATTAAGGTACGCCGGGGATCGTTGCTCGATGCGTCGTTGTGCCTTGCACCATCACGTTCCATCAGATGCTCCACTTTTCAGGCCACGGCGTCGGCACACACCACGAACTTTGCTTTGAAAATGGCCATGGCCTCACACACAAGATCTCTCGAAGCTCTCTCCGCGACCTCTTTGCAGGCTCGATCCCCAAGGCAAACGCGTCGTCGCTTCAAGTCGTGTTTGTAAGCTCGTGCCACAGCGAGCCCGTGGCCAAAGTATTCGAGCAAGTGGGGGTTCCGCACATCGTCGCGGTGCATTCGGACTCGCGCATCGTCGACGCCAGCGCCAAAGACTTTGCCAAGCATTTTTACCTGTCGCTCTTTGCTGGAAAAACCGTGTCGACTTCGTTTCAGAACGCCATCACAGCGATCCGACTCAGTCCGTCGACCAACTCGCACCGCGCGTGCTGCTGCAGGTACTGACGGCGTCCCTCCACTCTTGTCGCGATCCCGCGCCTTGGTGCCGTGGTAGCTCCATTGACCAAATACGTGCGTACTAGCCATCTGCATTTGAAAACGTGCAAGTGGTGGCTCTCGGGCGGCGTCCACGCGCGCCACTCGACCACAGACTGCTGCTGCAAACCGGGCGTCAAGCTCCCCCACGACGAAAGCAGCAAATTTCTTCTCATGGGCACCGCGTCGAGCCACGACGTCGTTGTGTTTCCGACCTTGACACGGGGAGCCCCCATCGACTTAACTCCCCCATGCCCCACGAACCTTCCCGTCATGACCAAACAAGTAAATGTTCCAACAGGGACCATTCCTGGCTGACGCGTTGAGGGTAGTTTGTTGGCCGCCAACTCGAAACATACAGGCTCGTTCGATCGCTCTGTTGTGGGCATGCGACGGTGCGTGTGGCGCAGCAAAGTGCCCTGGACGTCTCGTCCTTTGCGTAGGTGTGCACGGGAGCGCCAGGCATCGGCAAGAGTTCGCTGGCACTCGCTGCCGCCCATTACATTCTACAGCGCCGGGTGTGTCCCGACGGCGTGTACTATGTCGACTTGGAAGGGCTCGAGCTAAGCGCCGTGCGGTACGTTGCCCTGCGAACGAAAGGTTCTTGGATGTGTCGACAGAGATGCGATCGCATCGCAAAACACTGGCGCACGCGCGACGGCCGCCAGCGCTGACTCTGTGCGTAGGTACGCCATTGCGCGCAGCGTCGGGCTATCGACAGGCCATGCCGAGTCCAGCTCGGACGCTGAAGTGTTTGCCGAGCTCGGGTGCGTGCCCCTTTGTTGCATGACTGGGACGCTTGCCATACGTGCCTGCTGTCCTGGCCATGTCTCATTCCCCAGTTGGACAGGGCGAAGCGCTGCTTGCTCGTGTTGGATAAAGTCGAAGAGTTGCTCGACGTCGACGAAGACAAGGCGCAGGCGTGGCTCGGGCAATTGGTCGCGTGCGCCACCAACACGCGGTTTCTGTTTGCGTCGCGCCGCGCGCCAGTTATCCCGAACGTGACGTTGCAGCATTTTTCGATCAATGAACTGTCCGCGACGCTGTCCGAGAGCCTCCTCCGCATGTGCAACCCTCAGTGCACCGTCGACGAAGCCCGCAGTCTCGCCCAGATCTGCGGCTATTTGCCCCTGGCGCTGCGCGTGATCGGCCGAGCGCTGGCCAACACGCGGTCCAACTTCACTGCCCAAAACTTGATCGAGCGTCTTCAGGTGCGTGGCGTTTGCAACGACGGGTTGCTGACGGGGCGGACGTAGAGCGAGGAGGGACGTCTCGAGCGATTCGCGGGACTGCCCAATGCCGGGGAAAAAGAGTGTATCGATCGTTGCATTCGGTCGTCGTTCACACATTTGCCCCCGACGCTGCAGCTTGCTTTTATGGCCCTTGGGTTGTTTCGAGGTGGATTCGACAAGGCTGCGGCGACAGCAGTCCTCCAGAGCGTATCGACACTGCCTGGAAGCTCCATCGGGTCGAGCGGGCCCGGGTCGCTTGCCAAGTCGTTGTCTGAGCCATCGATTCGTTCGATGGGCACGTCGCGGACGTTGGCGAGCCACCGTCCGTCGCTCATGATGCGGTCGACTTCTGGCTTGAATGAACTCGACCACGGGCTTGTGTGGGAAAGTTGGAGCGACAAGCTCCAGCAACTCAATTCGCTCTTGGAAGAAACCAATGAAAAGGACGACGTGGTGTCGAGCGAAGCATATCTTCTCTTGACGCTCGAGTCGCGGGACGAGCGGGTCGCGACCGAGCTAGACGTGACGTCGGCGGACGAAGCGCTCGAGACACTCAACCACTGGTCCTTGCTCGAACGGGTGACGGTGCCAAGGAAGGTGGCGCACGCGCCATCTCCGAACGAACCGTCGTACGTGAATGTGACGCAGTATCGTTTGCACAGCATGATCCAGTTGTTTGCCGAAGACGAAGCGAGCCGACGCAGCTTGGAGAGTCCACAAAACCATGCGCTGTACCTGACCTGGCGTCGGCGCTTTGTCCGGCATTACTATTCGATCCTGACTCGGGCGTCATGCAACTTTAGGTGCGTTTGGCTTGGCGAGCAAGTGTCGGTAGTGCCGAGGACACCGTGCTTGGGCCGATTGCATTGATGGGTCATGTCTAGAACGGTGGGAAATTTGAACGTCTTTGATGAAAATCGATCCAACATTGAGTCGGCGCTTCGAATTGCCGAGCAACTGGCTCGGCACAGCGAGGACGTAGCGCGCGACACACGCGCGACGAAAGCCCGCATCGAGGCGGAGGACGAAGCATGCGATGCCGACAGCTCCGTCGGCGACGTCGACATCCCGATCGTTGATACCCTGCTCTATGCGTACGTCGCAAAGGCTGCATGAAATCCCGTGGCGTGTTCAGGCCGCGGACGTTTGGCTCACTGCCTCGCGGCGGCGTCAGCCTGTTTTCTTTGGTCCATCCCTGCGATCTCTTCGACGCGCACTGCTTGTGAGTTGGACTGGAATGAATTGTTTGTAGGTTGCTCATCGTCCGTGGTCGATTCATGGTTCGCGTGCGGCTGGATCCCCGCGAACGGATGGAGCTGTATGAAAAAGCCATCCAGCTCAGCCAGAACGCGCGCGTGTTGAATTGCTCGTGCGGCCACATCGAGAACGACTCGACCGTGCTCATGGTGACCGACGCCGATTACGACAAGGAGTCGCAAGTGCTGCTGCCGCACAGCTACGACACGCCGCACAAGGGCGACCCGCCGTGCACGTGTGCGGGCGTGATGGAGCTCTTGGCGCTCGAAGTGCTCATGATCATGGAAATGGGGTACCGATAAAATCCCACGATAGGTCTAACATGCCGTGACGACAGGTATGCGTACTATGACGTGATGGACTACGCCCGAGCCGAACACATGTACCGCGAATCCCTCCGGCTCCAGCGGGACGTGCTCGGGCGCCGCGCCCACTCGCATGTGGCCGAGGTCATCAATTATTTGGGAATCTGCTTGAGTACACGCAAAGGGTACAATGCAGTCAGCCAAACGCTGTTCCGGCAAGCGGAGGAGTGTCTGATTGAAGCCAAGACGATGCGGGAGCTTGTACGTGGTTGAAACAACGTGTCGGAATCATGATGGGCCGTGCGTGGTAGGTCCTGGGCAGGTCGCACGTCGACTACGCGACAAGCCTCAACAACTTGGGTAACTTTTACAAGTCGGCGCTGCAAATGACAAAGACGCATGGCGACGACAACCGAAGCCGCAAGTTTGGATGGGGCGGCGTCCTTCTCAAAACAGCGGACGAAGTGATGGATCTGTACAAGGAGTCGCTGGAGATTCGAAAAACGCTCAGCCCCGACGAGATGCACCCGCACGTGGCGCAAAGCCTCAACAACATGGCGCTGCTCAAATCCCATACGCTCGATCGACCGCCCCTCAAGTACGTCGTTCGTGTGCGTGTTGGAGGCGCGTGGGTTGCGCGGAGGCTCTCGTTTTTCGTGGTGCATGCACGTGTGTCGAGCAGCAGCCCACGAAGCATGTCGTGCTGTGTAGTCAATTGCCCAAAGAGCAGCTTGCTCTCGAGTACCAGCAGATTTACGAATGGTACAACGCGGCCCTGACCATTCGGCGGCTCAAACTCGGCAACAACAATCCGGACACGGCATCGACACTCAACAACCTGGGCAACCTCAAGTTTATTCAGGTAAGCATGGGTCGCCGGGCACGAGGATCGTGACGGCGAAAGTAGAAAGACTTTGTGTCGGCCGAGCACTACTGCCTCGAAGCGCTGAAGATTCGCCAGCAGTATTACCACCAAAGCAACGACCGAGTGGCGCAAACGCTGCTCAATCTCGGTCGAATTTACGTGGCGCAGGTAAACCCGCCATGTCGTGTGCGCACATCATGGGACGTGCCCGACTAGAGCAAGTACGCCGAGGCCGAAATCGCCTACACGAAAGCGCTAAAGATTCGTCAAGCCCTCCTGCCCGACTCCAAGGAGGTCGGGTTCTGTCTAGGTAGCATCTCAGCATGCTCGTGCATGCCTCACACGTCGCTGTCGGGCAGAGAAAGTTGGCCGGTGCAAAATTCGGTTGAACCAAAAGGACGAAGGGGAAAAGATGCTCCTGGAAGGCCAACTCATGCGTCGGCGAACGTCGCAGGCCGTGCGATCGACGCACTCGAACGCTGACACCACGACCACCTTTCGCGCAAACTTCAACGACTCGTTCTGCTCTATGGACACGGACTCGACGTATGGCGAATCGATCGCGTCGTCGACATCCGCGCCATCCGTGGAGAAATTGCCCCTGCTGGCCATCCTGTCGCCAGAAGTACGCTCGTTCCTGCCGTTGACACGAACGAACCAACTCATGTGACTGTAGGTCCTGGCACGAGCCGATGAGCTCAACATTGACGGACGTCTCATCGGGAAGGGCGGGTCGCGGATCAAGGAAGTCGAGCAAGAGAGCGGCGCGCGGGTGACGTACAATGGCACCAAGAGCTTCAAGGATGGCGCGCACTACAGCTTTCTCGGGACGGTCGATCAGACCGCAACAGCCAAACTCTTGTGCGAAAGTATGCTGAAGGCCCTGGCGCGGAACGCGATGAGCTCTAGCGGGCGACACAACCAAGACCGAGCGTCACCGTCGTCAGGGGCTCCGCGACCTCCGCGGCACGGGAGCCAGTCGAAAGGCGGAAACAGGCAGCACGGCGGAGGGAGTCGTCATGCCAATGGAAATGGGGCAGCTTCCGCCATCTCGTCGGGCGGCGCGGCATCGCGCCAACTGACCTTGTCCGACTATATCGCTCCATCCAGCAACAAAAAGAAAGCCAAGAGTGGCAAATAAACAGTCTACATGTCACTCGGTCTTTGCAATCGTTGCCCAAGCACGTGTGACGGTTGCGACCGTCGGCGCTGCTCCAGCGGGACTGCGCATAGAGCGCCAAACCTCGCCTGAATCGTCGCCGCCGTGGACTGCGCACATTTGGATGGGTCTTGGTCTGCCAGTTCAACGCGTTGAAAGGACCAGTGACTCGATCGCAGCCACACCACGCGATGCTGGCCAAGTGTTGACTGGCAAACCGACAATTTGTCATCTCCACCATCTGCTGCGTTGATTCGTCGACAGCAGGGCAACAGCACCACGACGTCCACGGTAGTGCCCGGGGATACCAACGCACGAGGTCGCTAGTGTGGCGCGGCCTCGCCACGTTGCATCCCTGCACCGTCGAGAGAGGGGACAGTGTCGTGACGAAGGCCTAGGGGAGTGGATCGTAGAGCATTCCATTATCCCCTTTGGGTCCATCGTTCTCAAGAGGGTGGCGGGCGACTCAGATGATTCTAGCTGCTTGTGGCGAGGAATCGTGAACTGCATGCATGCACGAGTGAGAAAAAGCAAGTTGCTCCTGTGTGCATGAGCGAGATGGAGTGAGGCGCTAGGACTGCAACGTGCCGTCGGGGGCGGCGCATCTTATTCATAAAGTGGAATGTATCCATGGATCGCCGAGATCTGTCGACGTGAATTAGTGTGATTATCTACCATCACCTTGAAGTTTGTATGTCGTTCGGTTTGCTGGATCATTTCGCAACTCGCCGGCTTCAACGCACGTCGACGATGCTTCGACAAGCCCGTCGCCTCCATGCGTCTGTGATACCCGCAACATCTGCGCTCAATGCGCAGCGCCTGTTCAGCAGCAAAGTGTACGCGAACGCGGATGATGCTGTCAAGGACATCAAGTCTGGATCCAAGCTGTACGGTTGCGACAATTGCGACGTGGGGTAGATCTCATGGGAATGCGTGTAGGATCGTGGGTGGATTTGGGCTGTGCGGTATTCCCGAAAGTTGTATCGATGCCTTGGTTCGCCTCGGGCCCAAGGACCTGACCTGCGTGTCCAACAATGCTGGCGTTGACGACTACGGCTTGGGCTTGTTGTTGCAGTCGCGTCAAGTATGTCTCCACCTCGTCAAGTCGCGGCGATCTCATGTCCTTCTTTTAGATCAAGCGCATGATTTCGTCGTATGTCGGGGAAAACGCCTTGTTTGAGAAATTGTACCTTTCGGGCGAACTCGAAGTCGAATTGACCCCCCAGGTACACACAAACGAAACATGGAAAGGTCGCACGAGAATTCTAATTGTCCATCCAGGGGACCCTGGCTGAACGCATTCGCGCTGGTGGCGCGGGTATTCCTGCGTTTTTCACCCCCACAGCTTACGGTACCATCATCCAAGTATGCGCTAGCACACGTGACGTGAATCGTCCATGCTCACTAGCGATATATCACAGGAAGGAGGGTTCGGTATCAAGCTCAAGAGCGACGGATCCGTGGACATTCCTAGCAAACCGCGCGAAGTTCGCCAATTCAACGGTCGCAATTATGTCATGGAAGAAGGCATCACGGGAGACTTTGCCTTGGTGAAGGCATGGAAGGGCGACAAAGACGGCAACTTGGTCTTCAAGGGCACCACGCGCAACTTCAACGTCGACGCGGCCAAAGCTGGTCGCACTACCATCGTCGAAGTCGAAGAATTGGTTGAAATTGGCGATATTCACCCTGGTACTTTGTCCGAGGCGGCGTCGCATCTACCATGACTGATGTTCCAACTCAGATGACATTCATGTTCCGGGGGTGTACGTGCAGCGCATCTTCAAAGCGACCCGCAACGAAAAGCGCATCGAGCGACTCACTGTCTCCGACAACACGGTGCTGTCACCTCGTCTTTCGTCACCGCGACTAACTCGTGGTCTCGAGCAGAAGAGCGCTAAAGTCACGCCGGACCGTGAGCGCATCATCAAGCGCGCCGCGAAAGAATTGCAAGACGGCATGTACGTGAACTTAGGCATTGGACTGCCGACGTTGGCACCCAACTACGTCCCGAAGAACGTCAAGGTGGTCCTGCAGAGTGAAAATGGCTTGCTGGGCATGGGACCGTACCCCAAGACGGGTGAAGAAGACGCCGATCTCATCAACGCGGGCAAGGAAACAGTCACGTACTTGCCTGGATCGTCGACGTTTTCGTCGTCGGAATCGTTTGGGATGATTCGCGGCGGCCACATCCATTTGACAATCTTGGGTGCCCTGCAAGTGGCGCAAAACGGCGATCTCGCCAACTGGATCATTCCTGGCAAGATGGTCAAGGGTATGGGCGGCGCGATGGACTTGGTCGGGTCCGGCAACCGCGTTGTTGTCACGATGGAGCACAACGCCAAGAACGGCAGCGCCAAGATCCTCAAGAGCTGCAAACTACCGCTCACGGGCAAACAAGTCGTGAACCGCATCATCACGGAGCTTGCTGTATTTGACGTGATCCAGGGCAAACTCGTGCTCATTGAACACGCCCCCGGTGTCACTGTCGACGAGATCAAGGCTCGCACGGAAGCCGACTTCACCGTGTCCCCCAGCCTGACCACGATGGAATAAGGGTCGAATAATATCACATAGGAGCATCCCATTTGCCACAGACACCGATGCATACTGATGCAGCCCATGAACGGAAGCAGGACGAAGATGGCAAGCTGCCGTGCATTCCATGCGTCCCGCCGACGCATGGCACCTGTGGCCGAGACACGTTGCACGGCTACAGCGATAGGAAGGGAGCTGTCGTGCGGCGAATTGTGGGGTACGATGCACGCCGAACGAATCGTGTTGCGATCAACATCACACTCGAGCATGTATATATATATTTGGATCGCCCGTGCTAGGCTGACTATTCATAGCTGGCTGCCATCGTTTTTGGCAACAGGACCACACGCTTTGCCGAAGAACGATGCCAACAGCTCCCACGGCGGCAGCGGGGACCGGTGCCAAGGAAGTGGACTACGTGTCCAAGCAAGCGAACTTGACTGCGCAGATCGAGAGTGAGCGCATGGCTGCCAAGCGATGGTGGCAAGACTACGGCCAATGCTATATCGACAACTCCAAGCCGGAAGACTTTACGTACGAGAACCGCATCAAGATGCTGCAGGAAAAACTCGCGAATGAAAAGCAAGCGATCTAACCTCGTCGAGCACCCCGAGTCACGTGTACATTGGTAGGCTGGAGAAGAATGTGCGCCTGCAAACCACCAATGGTTCGTACGGCATCGGCGCGCCCTTCAAGGAATGCACAACCAAGAAGTTCCCAACAATCAAGAAGTGACCCATCTGGATGTCATGTCGGCTCGGACCTCCATCTCGACATCCCAGGAGCATCGCCATGACGCCACCGACGCCAAGATGAAAAAAAAACTCAAGTTGTATTTTTATGTTGTGTTTGGAACGAGAAACTAACGTTTTAAATGCAAAGATCGAGATTAAAGCCCATTTAAAATATGCCGTGTGAATAGAAGACGCGTTTAAAACGCCGGCGCATCTCTTCCGCGATCAGAAAGGTTCCTTCAACGTCGAAGCCATCTCCATCTTGTTCGCAAAACTCTCGCCAATGGGTCAGACATGCTCATGCCTGGATCACAGGTTCTCTGGCAGCCGGCGCCACTCGGGTCAGCCAGACTACGTGAGTTCCCCTTCGGAACCTCCTCATGAATCGCGCGGACTCCTCAAGGACCACAGTGTCGTTGACGTGGAAGACACAGATGACGACGTCATTCCAATTTCGCGTCGGAGCCCAGGAGAAGACAGCGTCGTGAAGCGCCCAAGCCGAGTCGCCGAAACCGCTTCGTACTCATACACAGCAACGTCGTATTTTGAAGACGCTTCACCCCAGAGCAGCTACACAGCAAAGACACCGGCGGCACGATCATCGACGCCAGTAGTAATCACGTCCATCGACGCGTACATGCCCCTGGCCGCGCCGTCCGCGAACGTTGAAGTCGCAGACGGCGTGGAGTTGGAATGCGTCATGTGCCTCGATACGTTTGATGCAGGCAACCCACGCATCCGAACGCTGTGCAACTGCGGCATGAACCGGACCAACTTTCATCTGTCGTGTCTGCTGGAGTGGACCAACCGCGACTCGACCTGTCCCGTGTGCCGCGAAAATTTATTTTTCGAGGAAAATATTGGGCTGGAATAATTAAAATTAAATTATTTACGTATGCCATTCAACTTGATTGTAAGTGGTGTTGTCTGCGAAAGGACGGCAGAATCGCGGCGGCGACGGCGACGACACCGACCACGACTCCACAGACCAAGCCGTACTGCATGAGATCCAGTCTCCTGCAACGATCATGTAAGAATTTGCACCATGGACCCTCTGACAGACGCACCTCGCTCCATGGGTCGCGGCATCGTCGGCAACTCCAAGGCGCCTCTGGTGAGGGAGTGGATATGACATGTATGTGGACTGCCGCACAGCAGCGGTCGACGCGGCCGCGGTTTCTACAATGTCTCTTGGAGGAATATTGTGGAAGAGATCGTTTGCCGCTTCGAGAACGCCTTCCACATCGTCCATGATGCCGTGGCCAAGGGATTGCAGTGTCGAGTGCAGATCGGCAAAGTCCGGCTCCACCGCCAAAATCGTGGCTCGATTTTTCAGGAGCAGCTTCTCAAGGACGGACACCTCAGCGTAAAATCCATGAGACGATGGGTCCTACCGTTGCGGCCACATACAGCGGGAATATTGGGTGCGATGCCAACAAAACATCGTACAATCTCGCCACGTCATGGAGCGCGTCGACTTGGTGGGCAAACCAGGTGAGGATCCAAGGAAGGGCGAAGTACGCATGGTCCTGCACGAATGCACAAGGGTAAATGCATGCACCTCGCAGAAACGAGCACTTTACCACGGAACCTGCAATGTGCTTGGCCAAGCTCGGGTCTTGCGTGGCAATCAGCGGGTAGAGTAGCGAAAAGAGCGGCAACACAGTGTCCAGGTTGGTACGCATGGGCTCGACCATGTAGCTTGTGCTCATGCGAGTGAGAAGCGGAACAGCAAGTGGCATGCCCACTGTCAGGAGGAAGACGCTTGCAACGTCGTGGAACCCTTGGAAGTAGTGCGCGTCTTCCACCGAACGGCATGAGAATCATGGGAGTGCTTTGATGTACTACCTGGTGATATGCAGAGGGTGGCATGGAGAAGGGAGAAAAGAGCCTTGCGCTTACTGCCGCGCTTGAGACTTGCTACGTCTGTCCACCGAGACATTCCCATGGATCGGTTGACGTCCAGACGGACTTGGCTGTCGTCGCGGTGGGAGGTGGACGCAAACGGCGGTTGCTGCAACTTGATGCGATGCGCGGCGTAAAATGCAGCAATGTCTTCAGACGAGTAACCCAGCAAGACCGGCCACACACGTTTTCGCAAGTCCTATGGTTCCCTTCGCTGAGAGTCCTGCGCTCAACTGCAGCTATGTGAATTGCCGTACGTTTGAACGAAAACCGCCTGGGAGAAAAGCGAGACGTCGAAGGTCCAACAATGCATCCACACTAGTCGATCTATCGCCCGAGTTGGCGCTGAGCACAGCGTCTGCTCGCTGAACAGCTTCTAGGACTTGCCGTCGATGTGCGGCCGCTGCAGCAGGATGGCCTTCGTCTCCCATGGTTTTGACTGTAGGGATTTAAATGTTCCATTGGCTGATTTGTATGTATTATTAGCCAATCAAACGTTATTAAGATTGGGGCAAACTATGGGACAAATTGGGAGATTTGTCCCCATTGCAGCTGACCCCAAAATTAGTGTGCGTTCTCGGCAAGAATAGCACACTCCAGCATGGAGATCCGACGTCCGCAGGGGGAAGCGTCGGCGAAAGCCTCGCGATCCGAACCGCAGCAAAAGTACATTGAATCTCTGCGTACAACCGCGGAAACACTGAACATTGCAAGAGAGACGGCCGTTGCGCTTAGCCAACAGTCTGGTATGTGGTGCAGCATCACTAGTACATCGTCGTAATCGCCGCCACAACAGAGGCACTGGATCGCGCTGAGCGCAACTTGGACCTGACAGAAACTACCGTTAAACAGGCGAATCATGTCGTGAGGTATGTCGCCATGCATCTCATTCTAAGTCACGACAAACCCTCGTGAACTTAAGGTGAATCGACACTGAGATTAGGGGCATGACATGGTCTGGATGGTTATACAACAAATTCACCAAGGAGCCTTCTCTTAGTCGCCCGTTGCCGTCAACAGACATCTCGATGGGATTTATCTGCCCAGAATGCCGCGTGGCCCAGCGATCACAACATGGTTTGTTGGAGCATTATGCGTCGATGCATGGGGACGGGCCATCCTCTTCGCCGCAGGACTCCCAGCAACGGCAATCAATACGGGAGCTGTTTGCATCGAGTTCATCTCAGACACACGACAACAGCACCTCTCAACGATCTGGAAACGTGGACGACGAAGGATTGAATCCCGACCAACGGGCGTTCCTGGATGCCCTTGCTCCTCAGCTGCTCGAAGTACGTTTGCCTGGCCATGTTCCTTCGTATGCTATCTGGTATCATGCGAAAATGGCCAGATGAAGCACGCAAGTCGTGCGATCGGCAATGCCTTGGACCATCACAATGCCCAGCTCGACCGCATCGATGCGAAGTCAGAGAAAACGAAAGATGACTTGCGCCTTGTGACGGCGAAAGCAGTCAAGCTGACGAGCTCGTCCATGACAATCGACGCGCAGTTTCGGTGTGCCTTGCAAGAGCAGCAGAGTCGGCGGTTTCTGACCGTCGTCAACGGCGATCCGACCTTCAGGTACGCATTTTGTTCATGCTGTACGTGCTGCCGACTCGTAGCAATGGACGGGTTCCAGTGCCGCTTCTTCTCTGGTTTTCTTCGTGTTGTTTGTTGTTCAACCGGTGGCGTCGATGCACTGATGATATGGCGTATTGTCTAGCATGGACACGGCGTCCGAGAGTTGCATTTTTCGAGCGTTCACGCTGACGGGCAATGCGGAAGTGTGGGGCTTCCAGCACGAACAAAGCATGCGGTGGCTCGGGCTCAACATGTTTGGCAGCGTCAAGGTGATCTCCACTTTGATCGATCCGTGTCAATGTGCGTGGTAGGCACAAGGAGAAGCGCTTCGGTCGTACGAACAGTTTGCTCTCGACACCGGACGGGAGTGGACGACGCTGTACAGTTTTGCCAGTACGTTTGGCAACGGAGGGTGGCTGTGCGTGCGGCAGGATGGGTCGGTCCATTGCATCCGGCGGACAGCATCGAACAAAGACCAAGCGATGCGTGTGAAGATCGTGCGTATCGAGCCACCGGTGGCAGCAGAACGGTCGCGGTCGTAGGAGTCGCTTCGACCACGTTCATCGATGAAGACACACAGAAAAATATTAAATTACCAATATTATATGACAAATAAATATGTCTTTATCACGATTGGCGGACGAAAACAGCAGCGAATGGCACCTGCTGGGGGATTGTGCTGTGTGCGGGTGTTTGCATACAAACTTCAAATTCTTTTTCAAAGCAGACAGTGTGGAAGCTGCGAGGGCATGAAACACGATACATTCAATTCCTGGAAATTCTATGCCCTTAAAATACATTATCTAGTAAGGAATAGAATATGATCAATATAATACACCATGCGATCCTATAAATTGTGTCGTGATGGGTCCGGTCGTGATGCCATTGATTCCTTGTGAAACGCTCGAGTCGACATTGTTGCTTGGCGTCCTCAAATACGCGATCGACGAGACCAGCAGCCATGATCAAGCGCAGTTCCATTCTTGGCATGATCGCGGCGGCGGCGGCCGGTTTGATTCCGTTTAATGGCTGGTACCACTGCGAGATGAATTCGATCGACTACATGTACGTTCGTGCGTCAGCGTCGTCGAAAGCATCGCATCGCCATGTTCCGTTCATGAACGTCGAGCCGTCGCTCGTCCACAGCCGCACAGCCAGTCATAGCGGAATGCGCCAGTTGAACTCTTATACAAACTACGAATGCGGCGAGTTCCAAATGCCCATGTGCCACGAAGAAGTCTGCCACGACTCCCGCGGAAAAACGATCGATGTGTTCGTCAAACGAAAACTCGCCAACCCCGAACGAGTAGCCGAGATCGGCAAAGAAAAAGTGCTGTGGGTCATGCAGGGCGGTCCTGGAGACTCGTCTACGGCCATGGAGCAGCTCATGTCGTCGTTGTACTGGGAAATGAATGAGACCGTGTCCATCTACACGATGGACCATCGCGGGACAGGTCGCAGCAATCGTCTCGTTTGCAATGCCGTACGTGTCGTTCGCCGACCTTTTCGTGATAGATCGCCGCTCGCTACCCGTTCCTCGCGAACGTTGCTGTGCACCGCTCGTCGTCTCAGCCGCGATCTTCATGGTAGGCGGAAGCCATGACAAGTGGGAGTTCGGGGGGCCTTGGCATCACCGCCGAAGAATACCCCGCTTGCATTCAAGATCTGCTTTTTCAAATGGGTGAGTCCCTGGCAACGTACTTGAGCCGTGCTCAGAACGAATCGTAGACAACCATACCAATGCGTTCTCTGTGACGAGTGCCGCCTATGACCTGAAAAAAGTGATCGAAGACACCCAAGCGGGCAATGCCCAAGTGTTTGTGTACGCACTGAGCTACGGCACGTACCTGGTCGAGCGTCTGATGCAACTGGAGTCGCCGGCCATCGCCGGCTACGTCGTCGACAGCGTCGTGAGTCAGAGCGCGCCGGATTTCGCCCACATGGCGACCTTTTCCAACTGGGATAAGGATGTCGCAATTGTGGGCGACCGGTTCCTTGCGCTGTGCGGCACCGACGCATTCTGCAGCGCCAAATTCAACCATGCAAATGTGTCTCAAGTCACGTGGGGCTTGTATGCATCGCTCGACAACGCCGCGGCAGGTGGCCGAGGTACCAACACGTGTGCCGACATGGTCGACGACTTGGGCGTCGGCGCGCCGTCCGACTCGCTGCGGTCGCTCTTGGGTACATGGACTGATCGAGAACATCCGTGTGACCGATTTCGACGTAGGCACGATGCTGCAAAGCCCGACGTTTCGAGAGCTCATTCCGCCGCTCGTGTATCGTTTGGTGCGATGCCATGCCAAGGACGTCGAGGTTGTTCAAACATTTCTCGACAAGTACGTCCGTGAAGAAGGGTACGTCGGCATGGCTGAGCAACGCTACGTTCGTTGCTGACGATCGTGGGGCGACTTGTAGGCGCTGGAGTGTGCGAGGGCCGGGCGAAGACTCGACGCTGTACTATTCGGAGCTCCTGTACGGGCTCATCGTGTACTCGGAGATGTGGCAGCACCCCACGCCGTCGTACCAAGCGCTGTTCGATTCATTTCGCCAAGGCATCATGGGCGGAGACACGTATGCTCTCGTGCAAAGTTACTGCACGTTTACAGGTACGTGGTGGTCGGCCAGCATCGTCGCCAACGTGCCGCCCATGCCAAGAGTTGGGTTCTCACCTCGACCGTCGTAGGCTCGGTCGATGCTGCGTGTGCCGAATTCAACTTGCCGCCCAGTGCGCCATTTCGATATGAGCCGTACGTTTTGTTGACCTCGACGACTTGCACGACTTGGAGCCCGACCACCACCGACTTGCGTAGAGATATCTTTTGGAACGTGACCGCCACCGTCCCAGCACATGCCTCGGCACTGCTCATGGCCGGCGGCCTCGACCCTCAAACAGAAATTCGATACGCCCGAGCTCAGTACGCAGACATGAAGGGCCATCGGCGCTTGATTGAGTTTCCCCAAGCTGCCCACTGCACGACGTTTTCCACCCATCGCACCACGGTATCTCCTTCCCGCTTGTCCATGGCAAGGAGGCGAAGCTGAAATGGATCGTTGTCTCCAGGGCGGCAACACGTGCGGCGTTAAAGTCCTGGCGTCGTACGTCCTTTCTAGTGGAGTGCTCGATGCTGTCGACACGTCCTGCCTCGACGAGATCATTCCCGTTCGATTTGACAGCGTTGGTGGGAATGGGTACGCGGCCGCGTACTTTGGCACGGCCGACGCGTTCGACGGTGAAACGTCGCACTACACGTACGTCCAGCAAGCTGCGAAGAAAGGGCTCCATGGAACAATCCCCCAAAGCACGGAATGGGTCGTTGCTGTCGGGTTCTTGTCCGCAGCAGTCGTGATGGCAGTTGCCGTCGCCGTGCGATCGTCGGTCCACCTCCGTCGGCTACGAATCAAGTGCGAAGCCGAGACCAGGTCAACCGATCCCGCCGTTTTCATGCCCGGCATCGCGCACGACTTGACCGACGACGAAGATCGCACGCCTGGGACTCCTCCGGACCCCGTCGTCGTGTAATTGAACGTGGAGACGTCATGTCATGAGCGTCGACTGCGCCGAGTTGATAAAACCAGCGGGGTTTCGAGGTTCATGTGGACTGTTGTGATTGGCCGAAATTATACTTGCCACAGTTTGATTGGTTGCGAGCATGACGTCATGTTTACATAAAGATGGGGAGGTTTCAGAATGGGCGCTTGCCGCCGTTGGGTCGGCGACGGCGAGGTCGCGGCGCGCCAAGAGCATTGCGGTGATAAGTAGTATATTTATGCTATCGAGGAGTAGACCGCATCTCTCTTGGCGGTCTCGGACGTGTTCACCTGGCCGACGTTGTAGCGCTCGATGGTAAGATTCAGAATCTCCAACCCGTTGGCGGCAGCACTGTCTTGTGCGGCTGCTGCGTCATCTTTGATGAGCATGCTGTGTGGGCTCGGTTGAATGTGCGGGTGATGGAACACGCCATGGTCCGCAGGGTGCAACATGTGCGACTGCGCTTCCTTGTCGTTGGCCAACTGTCGGTTGTGTCGACAGCAGTACCCGCCGTTGCGTGCATGCGTCTGGCACCCGTCCATCTTGCATTTGCGTCCTCCGCCGTGGCGAACACACTTGTGCCGTGCATGCGCCATCTTGGTACATCCTTCTTCCGTGCACTTCTTCTTGATGCTACCCGTGCCATGCTTGGAGCAAAAGTTGCCGAGGCGGGCGTTGCCAGAGCACCCCTCTTGCTTGCATTGCTTCTTACCGCCGTGTCGCACACACAAGTTGCGGGCATACACTTGATTCTGGCAGTCCGCGATGAGGCATCGGGCTCGATTGCGGTGAAACACGCATTTCCATGACCCTGGCTGGACTTCTTTGTGGCAATCGTTGAAGAAACACGTGCGGGAGGGCGGGAATCGGTGGTGCGGTTCCGCGGCAGACGAATGGTGAAGTGACACGGCGGTGGCGGCCGCGAGGGCGGCGGCGTGTTGGTCGCTGCTGCAGATGTACGCGAGGTCCATCGAACGTGGTTGGCCAAGGTGTTGTCAGATTGTATTGTGGCCGCGGATGGAATGTGGTCGTAACAATCGAGTACAGACGACATGGATTTAATTTAATTTTCTCATTTTAATGCATCAAATCGAACTCAATAGATTCCTCCTATACATTTAAATGCTGCCATGGATCGTGTCCGTCCATTTTATTCCTTGGGACCAACCCCCTAACGTTTTTTGAAAAACGCACTTGTGCGAACGTCGGCGAAGGCTCAGAACATGGGCCGTTCGTTGGACAATGCTAGACGTGGCGTCGTGCTACCCCCCGAACATGTTCGCAATGACTTCGTCGCACCCCGCGACGTTACTCTACACGTTGCCCGCTCGCCATGCGCGGCAGCGCTCGATGATTCGAATGCGACACGCCATGGGGACAGTACATTGCCTCCCATGGCGACAATGGTTACGCTGTCCTCAAGGGAAAAACGCATTGCGTTAAATGCTTTCGCTACAAAGATCTTTGAACGGTGGATGAGTCGACGACGAATGCTGCTGGCACGGCGGACGACCATGGCACGAGGCCGGCAGACGCACGTCGCCTCCATCTCTTGGGCTATCGCCCGTGTCGCAGCGTAGCGCATGCAAACGGAATCGCCGTCAATGTCGCATTGTCCACCCGATTCTGTTCGGCGCGTTACACAAGTGAAACAGCACAGCAAGATCCCAGCTTCTACTTGACTGTGAATGGTGGCGCGGCGAGTGTGGGGGGTGAGTGACAACACTGCCGTCACAGATGACACCTCCGCTGGGGCGTGCGATGGTCAAGTTCAGCGCTTGCTGGGTCGATCTGGTTGGCCTCGATCGTCTCGCTGGCCTCTGTTGACGCGTGTAATGGGTGAGATTCTTTCCACCAATCAAATCGCGCGACATCGTAGATCTCGAGTCGGATTGGATGAAATCATTGTGTCGGGTTGTGTTGGCCCAGCGCATCAACCGTCGTCACATGCTGTCGAACCCGATCTGCCCAAACTGGCGAGTGCCATCCCCCATGGCTGCCGATGGAGCCTAGACCTAGTGGTCGCGAGTGTGCTGCGCGATGGGCTTCTAGCGCCAGGATGGAAGTGATTTGATGTTTACGTAGCAACGGCCAGGCCTGTCTTGACAAGACATCGTTTGCGATGTTTGTACCATCGTGCTGCGACATCAAGAGAGCCCCGCATGTCGTGGCTCACTCGATGGGCCAACGCATGCTGCAATGCAGTTGAATGAGAATCTCCACGGAGCTTTCGTGCCGCACGTGCTGCTTTTCCATGGCCCCAACAGTACAAGTTGCCACTGCCATGCTCTCGAGTTCGGTGACGTACTCTTTATCAGGTCTGTCTGTCGTAAAAAAACATCGTCGAATTACTACGTCGCGCCTTGTGGATCGAGCTGCGGGCCCGGCATGAATCGCAGCAAGATGGGCGTGTTGGCACTCATCGACGTGGCGAGAATTTCCTGAACTTTGTCGCCATCGCGCCGCCCGATTCTATCCAAGTTTTGTCACAACCTATACGTTTGGATTTCAAGTCGTTGGGGAAGCGTACGAGATGGCCCAGATCGACACATCCGTGTCTTCGGAGGCCAGGACAACGGGGGCATCGTCTGTGCTGACAACAATCATCCCGTGTGCCCCCAACTGCTGCACGACCCTACTCGTGTGCAACGTCACAGCATCTCACGCGCATCAAGTCCGTCGTTACTTGGCTTTCGCACCAAATGAGCACGCCCCGCGTCGGATGACCACCACTGATCCTTTGCCCCGCACGGTGATATCATCGCGATGGCACGCGGTTTGAATTGGGGTGGAGTACACGACTTGAAATGGTTGCGATTCGCGCACGGGCGTTCCAAACAAAGCGGGAATATACTCGATCAAAGTCGTGGTTGAGGCGTTCTGGCTCACGTGCCAAAGCATCAACGAGGCCATCTGCGGCGCCGAAGAGTCTTCAAGGTCGACGTTGGAATGGTCGAGTCGTGGGGTAGGCAACGGCGGGGCCAGCTTTGATGCAGGCATCCGTTCCCAGGTCGCGGCTACAACTGGAGCGTCAAGGAACGAACTACGCCCATTGCTTGACCGTACATGCCCGTTCGAATTCGAGCACAGCCAAGAGCATGTCGCCTTCGTCCCTCGGCATCCTGCGCCTCTCGTAATCAGCACGCATGAAGAATCGCTCAGACGTTCGTTCGTACATGGCAACCGGGAGCGGCAGCACGTCGACACGTGGCATGTTTCGTGGAAATGTTCCTGGGCGCCTCACGTTGTCAGTGTCGAGAGGGCGACGTGTGCGAGGACGCACCTGGCCCTGCCACATTATTCGCCAACACAACCCCATCCCCCTTCGCGTGCAGGACGTGGTGGGCTTTGTCTGTGAAGGAACAGCCTCCTCGAATGGCCACCACAATGACGACATCGCCTAAGGCCGCTGGGGGCAAACGCAGCTTGAAGCAACTGGACACGGGCGACGCTGCCACCAGCGTAACGTTGGTCGATGCCATGGACGTGCTCCATTCCGCCACGTCGAGCGGCACGACCCAGTCCTTGAGTACGGGTGGGGCTTGCACGACGAGCCGAGTGATTTGGGGCTCGTCGGCGGTGATACCAGCGTCGTCGCGAGAGTTCGCCGAGCCGCGCGCAGTGCGAAATACCAATCTCTTTGGAAACGCCGCCTGGGTGTACCACACGACGACTTGATGCGGGCCCATCAGCGACACGTTCTTGTCGTTGATTCCAACGAGCTGGTCTCGAACGGCCACCGTCGGGAACCGGCAATGCGACTCCACCGCCTTGACCACGGTTGTCGTGGCGATTTGGCGGTCCCACACAATGCCAATGGGCCCAGGCGCCGCGACTTGAATTTCATACTGCACGATTTCGCCAGCTTGGCGCTTCGATCGGACAGTGGACAGCGGGACAAGTTGCCACGCTTCGCGCCGCGCTTCCTCGACCGGGTCCTGCACCGCCGCAGCGCCCGACGCGTCCCCTTCCGCAAGATGGTGTGCATTCGACAGTGACGTGGATGGAGGCAACGACTCAGTTGTTACTTCATCGACGTCGACTGGAGGCGCATACAGCAGCAGCGTGCGCGGCGGCGACGTCGCTTTGTAGTGTGCCAAGGCGTCCCGCGGTCCAAGAGCAGTCACGTTGTCTTCGTTGACGAAAAGCAATTGATCGCCTTTCTCCATGACGTTGAGGCGATGGGCAACGGATCCCGGTTCAAGTCCGTGAACGACCGTGCGAAAGTCGGCTGCGTTCAGGTCCCAGTAGATCCCCACGGGGCTTTGCACGTCCGGCAGCGTTACTTCGTACCAGAACGCGACGCCTATTGTACGAGCGATGAGCCGGTTCGGAAAAGACCAAGACGACCTTGGCGCCGGAGACCAGGGACATCTGCGTGCGCCGCGAGGGGAAAATCATGATGCCGCGCTGCTGTGGGCAGAGGGGCCGGGGTTTCAGTCTTGTTGTCGGAGGCTGCAGGCGGAAGAGCCACTGCCGTGGCTGGTTCTACGCCAAACCGGAGGGTCTTGGGCCACGACGACGAGATGTAGACCGGAACGACTCCAGTGGGACCTAACCCACTCGGTTCAACACTGCCTTTGGCGGAAATTGCAAACCTAACGCCCTCACGTTCACCCCGTTGATGGCGATGAGATGATCGCGCGGCTCGAGGCAGTCGAGGGCGGCGGCGGGCGAGTGCGGTTCGACGGAATCGATGACAGTGCGATCGCCTACGTCGGCGTTCCAGTTGATTCCCAGCCGCGTTTTGGTTGGAAACACAACATCAAACTCAAACGCGGCCCCGAGCTTGCGCTGGTCTGCGACCGATAGCACTTGGACGGGTAACTCTGGTGCGGTCTCCATGACGTGTGCCGATGGAAGACTGTCGACGGCGACGTGCGGGTTGTCTTCTATCCGAACTGGAGTGATAATCGCTGAAGCAGGTTCCGTTGGAGCTGAGCGACTCCCGCTCCCGTCACGGACGGGCTCGTCACCATCGTCGTGCGCGATGGCCGCATCCGTCAAAGCTGCATGATCGCTCGAAGGAGATGCGCTCGATGCGGCCGGCACGTTGATTTCGACGCGAGTCGAATGGTTCACCAGTGCGGCGCCGTCGGTCGGTTGCATGTGGTGCCGTGAGCTACCGATCGCATCCGCCACGTCGTTTCCTTGGCCGTCAGCGCGCAATGAGTCGTCATCATCGTCTTGTGCAATGTTTACAACGAGCGGAAGTTGGTACACGTCAGATTTGGGTCGGTGGGTGGGCTTGGATGAGGTAGTCTCCACCGATGTGCTGCCGTTGGCAGCGACGGTGCCGTGGAACCTAGTCGCAGCCTCGGGCACACCTGCAGGCGCTGCGAAAGACGCCTCGTCGCGAATTAGTACTTGCGGGTGGCTGGGGTTCGCCGCTGCCAATTGTTTCAGCGCTGCCACTCGCGATGGCTCGAAGGGCTCAAATACTATTGTGGTCGCATTCAGGACCTCAACCAGGACAAATCCACTCAATTGATTTCCCTGTCCTGCGTTGTCGACCAACGGCAACAGCGCACGTGTGCCTGGCTCGCCATCCAGCAACGCATCTAGTTGTTGCAGAGCAATGGGAGTCTTGTCGGCAGCAACGAGCCGATCGGTCACGGCAATGCCGAGTGACTCTGCTGGAGGTAATACAGGGTCGAGGGAGGCGACGCGAAGATGGACAGCTTCAGCGCTTTGAACATAAACGGCTTCCACGCGGCACCGCATCCTGACGAGATCCTCGAACGGCACGCGAAACCGAAGCGCGTCGTCCGGATCATCTGCTGCGACGTTGGCATACGGTGTGTCGGCGTGTTTCGTGTGTACAGCGGTACTGCGTCGACTTTGGGTCGGCTCAAACGTGATGGAGGACGGGTGGGCGATCGTCAGCCGCACAAACCCACTCAGCACACGAACTTCGTCGTCGTCGGCGTCGCGAAAGAGAGGGACGATGTGAGATGTCCCTGCCCCAGATTCAGCAATTTCTTCGAACGATTTGATAGAAACGAGGCGAGCGTCCACGGCAACAAGGCGATCGGATGGGGCGGCAACGAGTTGGAATGCCTTCGCGTGTGTCGAGTCAAGTCTTGAGGTAGACGTCGATGACGCGTTGCACACTTGGCTGCCGACGTCGAACACGTCGTGTACACGCAGCTGCACGGACTCATTGACCAGAACGGCGGTCATGGCGTATTTCTCAAGAGTAAACGGGACCTCAAAGTACAGATTGGACGCTGTTTGCGCCAAGAGACACACCGCTCCCAGGATGCGGCGACCGCGCATATCGCGATCGAAGCTGTTCGAGATACGTTTTAAATGTTGATAAGAGCACCAATCAAATCCTAATTTTACGATAGGATCATTTCATTGGCTAAAATGAAACTCCAACAACGAATCCAATTATTCTGAACAAAATTCACACTTTGAATTCGCCAAAATTGTACTGAAGTATATGCCATGGAAATCTCGAAACGGCGCAATTGTCGACGAAAGATGTTGCTGGCGGTGGGCCGACTGGTGATGATGGTGGTCGGCCTCGGCGGCTCTGTGTCTGCAGCGGAAGTTGGCGCAGCAGCCAAGGTTCCTGTCTACCCGTACCTCGTCGAGTGTTTTTGTAACACGACCGTGACGTCCCAAGTCACAGTGATCACAACCGACGCGTCTCAGAACACCCAAGCCGCGACAGTCGACATCCCGTCCTGCATCGACGATGTTTTCGCTACAACCGGGATTCGCTGGTACCTCAACGGTCCATTCGATCCAGCCATCACGTACTGGCCAACGTCGACTCCCGTCAACTACGACGGCGACCGCAGTGCCATCCGACTCATTCGGCTCGGGTATCGGTGCCAGAAGACGGCGCTAGGGGACTCGTCCTTGCTGTGACAAGACTCCCGCGTGATGCCATCTTCGTTATATATATATCTGTCTAGTTAGCGTCGCTGGTGCTGCTTCTTGTACTTGATAAAGCGCAAGAGGTTGAGTCGTGTCTCCTTCGCGTGCGCAATCAACTCGCGGTCGAGGGATTTGGCCTCGCTCTTGATCTGCGCATCACACAAATTGTTTCATCAGCATCGATCGGGGCAGCGTGGAATGTTGGTACCTTGGACTTCATGCCGGCGCTGACGTGCTCCAGTGCCGTCAAGAAATTGACCTCGTGGAAGACTGCGTCGTACTGTTCGTCCGAGTATATGTCAAAGAGCGCATTGAGAACTTCGCAGACGACGGCGAGGTCGGTGTCACGCAGCACAGTGCTGAGGCATGTTGCAAGCACCTGGGTGGACGGTTCAGATTTAAGTGCTGCAAGAACGACTGAAAAAGGAGACCTTGTTCTCTGGCAGAGAGTGCGGCTTCTTTCCGAGCGTGCCGATGAGGCGCACCGCGCACGACCGCGCTTCCACGGACGGGGATGCTTGCGCACTCGCCAGGACGGCGCCCAAATGCTCGGGCGCCACTTCAAGCGGAATGTTATCGTCGACCGACCGCAGAACCAACGCACTCAACGCAGCCATCCTGTTTTTCCACCGTCATCACGTAAACTCTCAAAGACGATGGCGTACACTGCCGCATCGACGTCGCCCGTGCTGGCCTGGTCCGGCTGGAACATTGCCTTCGACTCTTCGTGCTTGACCTGGACGTCTGCGTACAGCGCCAGGACCACTCGAAAAACTTGGTTCAAGTCGCACCCTCGAGTCAAATCTACAAAGTTCAAAATCATTCGTAGCCGTCCATGTGCGACACCTCGTCGTACCAGCGACAGACAAGTGCGCAGTCAAGTTGGTCAGGCAGTTGAGCGCGCGCTCTCGGATCGCGGCAAAGTCGTCAACTGCATCAACCAGCCACAAGTCAGGCCACAGTAACTACCATCACGTCCTACCGACTGGGGCCGCCAAGTGCGCAGGCACCGTCACGACACTCTGCACGATGCTGTACACCTACAGCGTTGTCATGCGTTTGCCACGGCATGGAGGAGCGAGTACATGGGGCAAGATATTCTGGGCACCAAACACTTGAGCGGGAACGGATACGGGGCGGCATACTTCAGTGGTGCCTTGCGCTTGTGCAGCCTACATGACAAAGAGATGACTGGATGAGCCATCACAAATCCGCGCACCGCTTCCATGCCGTCTTCGTCGTCGCTAGCCCATTCGTCCACGTCGCCCGAATCCACGTTGGCCAGCATGTTGCTGAGCAACTCGAGGCCCAGCGTCAAGATATGGACGTTATCGCGCCACGATCGAACAACAGCGACCGCTTTCTTGACCTTGTCGACGTGCTCTTTCTCGTCCACGTCGTCGTCAGCATACTACACCCTTGTGAGAAGGTCAAGGCTCACAATGCACACAAACACACCACTTCAACCGTGCCATAGTCTTCCTGGGACAGAGCCCACTGCTCGGACGCGGCTTGGGCTTGCCCGACGACTCCGATCGGGTCGTACGCCACAGCGCTCTGCAAAACCGGCAACAGCATCTCGACGCTCTGCGCGTTGTCGAGCACGTTTGGCAGGTTGATTGCGACGCCAATTGCTGTCAAGCGGAGCTTGGTCGAGTGCTCAGGCGCTTGGAGGATTTGCAGCAACGTGAGCGGCAACTCCGCCGGCAACGATTGAATCAAGTCCGGATTATTGTCGCTCAGTACGAGCAAAAGCTTCATCGTTTCGAGGTGCAGAAGGGGTTGCTTGGGCAAGTGTAGCGAACGAAGCATCGCAGGCAGCAACACGTGGCGCTGGTGCGTCACTTGGATGAGGGCCAACGAGCAACTCTCGCACAAGTTGGTGAGCAATGCAAACACTTGCTCGAGGATCGGGACTGCGTGCGGCGTCGCTTTCACGTCGAGGTTTTCCGTGGCGTATTCGATAACTAGTTTGATGCACGGCGTCATGATGTCTTCGTTCGTCATCGATTCAGACACGTCGAGTCCACCGAACGCACTGATGTTGCTAGTGAAACACAAAAACGACTGTCAGATTCGTCCGCAAGTTGCGCTATGCCGTACCGAAGAGCGCCCACTGCATGCAGGCGTACGAGGGTGGACGGGTCCACGGCTCGCGGCAGCAGCTTCTTCAATAGTCCAGCATGGAGCAGCTTTTGCAACATTTTCAGCTTGTCGGGGGTTCCGTCTCCTGCAAAGAACGACGCCAACGCAACACACGTGGCTTCACGGACAGATCCTTGCAGGTTGGTCAACTGCGTCGGAGATTCAGACATGAGAAAACATGGCGCACCGACAAGCACGACCTACCCCAGAGAGGAAGTCCGGGACTTGTTTCTTGCCATGGACAGCAGCGTCGATCGCGGTGGACCCATCGTTGGCGTCAACTTCATCGTCCAAGCCTTCCATGGCATCGTCAATCTCCGCTTGGGAAGGGCCGCCCGTGGGAGGCGCGATGTTCTTGTGGCTGATGTTGCGGCGCTTCTTCACCTTGCCCATGATCGTGCCGCTCCAACTTTGGCGAGATGCGTGATCGCTGCTGGCCAATCCGGCCCAACCATCAAACATCCACCAATCAGAATGATGGATTCAAATCTAGGGATCGCTGATTGGCTACTCATTCTACCCGTGACCTTTGGCGAAAGAGCTGTGGGAACGAGCCCAAGGGCACGACGCCCTCGACCAGGTGCTTCAAGCGCAAGGAACGCACTGCGCGATCCATTCGTCGTGCGATGGGGTCGGCTGGGTGCGATGTGACGGCGCCGATCTGCACGTAGAGCACGCCACCTACCTCTACAGCGAGACCACATGACGCGCACGACGAAATTCATCGATTCAGTCGTCCCTCGCACCCATGTCCACCCTACATTCTTCTCGTGCAAACCCACCACCGTGAAACGACCGCCGCGTTCGCCGTCGCATGCATGCGATGATCGCAGTAGGGCGAAGGTCACGTGAAAAACTATCTTCGACCTGTCCAACGGAACACTCGGCGGAGTGGAACTTCTTCTCAGCCTGTGGCCCGCCTCCACGATGGCGTCGTTTTTACCGCCGATTCGTCCGGCCTGCCTGCATGGAGTCGACCGTCGCATCCTGCTGCCAAGCCGACGGATTGCATTGTCGCAGTTTCACCCGGTGTCACGCCTGAATGTTCGCGAATTTCTATGTCCAAAATGACCAAAACTTTCCCAAATTCGTCCCCATATTAATTCTTTTTTGGTAAACGTGGACTTTGCGCCAAAACTTTCACCAGCATGTCGGGGGTGCACGACGACGCATGTCTCACCTCATGTACACAACATACAAATTCCAAGCTTAATTGTCACGACGACAATGACTTGTCGATGGACGGAGATTATCCCCCATCCTGCGTCCCTCCCCTCGCCGTTTGGACATCTTCCGCGGACACCTGTTCGCGATACGATTCTTGCCACGCCGCGGGCGACGGACCGCTTCCTCGTCACTTGAGTATCGGCCCATGACGAGCAATGCCATGTACATGGGAGCGCAGCTCCAGCAGTGTTTGAGCTCGATCCTCGTGGACCCACCGTACTACGCGTGCGTGCTGCAGTCAGGGCTGTTTGCCCCGACGACGTGCGCACTCGAGTGTCCTGACGTGACGTCGCCGACACCTGCGTGCTGCACCTCTCTCAACACACTCTTGAACTGCAAAGCGAATGCGGCCAATTTGGAATGCAAGCAACGAATCGACGAAGCTCTCTCGACCGCGCTGTCGTGCAATGCCCCGGCGCTGTCGACGCCGTCCATTGCGCTCATTGCCGTGGGGAGTGTGGGGGTGGTTGCTGCTCTCGCCATGTGGATCCTTTTGTGCGTTGGAAAACGAAATGCTGCCGTCCACAGCGGCGTGTATACCCAATGGACCCGCGTGCTTCGCATGACGCGGCAACTGCGCGTCCTCATCTGGAAAAATTTTTTGCTCGTCAAGACCAAGCCATTTCGACTCTTGTTTGAACTGCTCTTGCCACTTGTGCTCGCAAGCCCACTCGTAGTGCTTGCCAATCTCGACGACATCTCCCAGGTACGACGGAACCGGAACAACCTTCCCCCGACGACGGCTCTCCCTGGCGGCTTGTCGATTTTGCGACCGTCGACCACCTTGTTGGCTTCGTGCAGTGCCAACCTCCAGTTCGTGTTCATGGACGGGGAGCCGTCATCGACGCAGACGACGTTCTACGCGAGCGGGCAGCCCGTGTTTGGGATGTTTTTCTTCCTGAGTTTTCTTCGATTTGTGCCGTCGGTGACATCTCGCATGGTGATTGAAAAGGAGACTCGCATCGCGGAAGGCATGCGCATGATGGGGATGAAGGAAGGTCCGCTGCTCCTGTCGTGGTTTGCTACAGGCATTCTGCAATACTCTGTCGTGGCAGTTGCGATCGCGGTCGAGCTCCACGTCGGCAACGTGTTTGCAATGGCGTCAATCTCGTCGCTGATTCTGTTCTTCTGGAGCTTCATTCTGGCCATGTTGAGCTTCAGCAACCTCGTCGCGGTATTCTTCAACAAGTCCAAGACCGCCGCGATTGCATCCGTGCTCGTGTGGGTCCTGGCCTACTTGCCGTTTTACGCGGTGCACGACAAACCCATCGGACACAAGTATGCGGCGGCGTTGTCGGCGCCGACGGCGTTTGCTATCGGTACGTCGTTTGGTAGATGTTGTGGTGGTTGTGGCCAACGCACAATGGGGTATTGTGTGTCTAGGCGTCAACTACCTCGTCGAAGATGCCATAAGAGGGACGGGCGCGTTTTACGCCATAGCCAAGAAGAGCCTCGGCCCGTTGACCACGGCGACGGCGGGTGACATGACGTGGTTTCTTTTTGCAGATGCGCTGCTCATGCTTGCTCTCGGCTGGTATTTCCAGCAGATTGTGCCACACGAGTTTGGCGTACAAAAGCCATGGTACTTTATTTTTCAGCCAACGTACTGGAGCGGCAAGCCAGACATCGGTCGAGCGTTGCCTTTGGCCGATGTGTCGATGTTGGAGTCGTCGACGTCGGAGTTCACCAAGCATACGACGCCGATGCGTCAACTTCCGCCGCGACGGGACAGCCAAGACCTAGACGACCACCAGCCACGCGTCGAGCCACCGACGCAAGCGCTGTCCGCTAAAGAACGCAGCGGCGACTGCATTCAAATATGCGGGTTGCGGAAGACGTTTGCGACAGAAGATGGCGTGGCCAAAGTCGCGGTGCATTCGCTCAACTTGACCATGTACGCCGGTCAAATCACGGCACTCTTGGGCCACAACGGCGCTGGGAAGACGACAACAATTTCAATGCTCACAGGGTTGTACCCGCCCTCGCGCGGCGACGCAACTGTCTTTGGCAAGTCCATCCGCACTGACATGGACGAGCTGCGGGGGTACATGGGAGTGTGCCCCCAACACGACGTCCTCTACGATGACCTGACAGTCCACCAGCACCTTGAGCTGTACGCGACGCTCAAAAATGTGCCCGCCGACGACGTGTTCAGCCAAGTCAACTTGTTCATCCAAGAAGTCGGGCTCACGGAGAAGCGCCACGTGATGGCCAAGAAGCTGTCGGGCGGACAGAAGCGCAAGCTGTGCGTGGCGATTGCGCTGATCGGCCACAGCCGCGTAGTGTTTCTAGACGAGCCCACGTCCGGGATGGATCCGTACTCGCGACGGTATGTCGCAAAAGTGTGGTTGGCATACGCTTTTCGTTCCAAAATGAATGGCTCTCAGCGATCCAACGGCTTTGATCGACACTTGACGGCAACTTGGCTAGGTTTACGTGGAATGTGCTGCAGCAAAACCGCGCGGACCGTGTGATGGTCCTGACGACGCACTTCATGGACGAAGCGGATTTGCTCGGCGATCGCATTGCCATCATGGCGGAAGGTCGCCTCGTTTGTGCTGGCACGTCGCTCTTTCTCAAGAATTTGTACGGGGCGGGCTACAACTTGACGTTGGTCAAGGGCGATTTGTGTGACACGACTGACGTTTTGCAGTTTGTTCGGCAATTCGTGCCGGACGCGGCGGTTTTGAGCACGGTCGGGTCGGAGCTCGTGGTGCAGCTGCCATCGTTGTCGAGTGGAGCGTTCCCGGCTCTACTTGACGGCCTGGACCGCAGCTTGACTGCGCTTCGCGTCCTGGAGTACGGCATCTCGGTGACAACGCTAGAGGAAGTATTTCTGCGCATTGCCCACCTCGCCGACAACCCCCCCAAGAATCAACTATGCCGACGCGTGTCCGAGATGGAGCTCAACGAGTGGCGTGAATGCCGCATGGGTGGCAAGTCTTCCAACAGCGTGCCTATGGATCGCAACCCCGTGCCTGTCGACGAGCCGAGGACGCCACGAGTTCGCCAGTACACACCGTTCGGTGTTCAATTCGTCGCGCTGCTTCAAAAGCGGTACGTTAAGCGGACTTGATGTGCAAGTTGCTGTGCCAGCGCTCTATACGTTGGTTGGGCATGGCCGACTTCGACGACGATATTTGGTTTACAACCTGACGCTTGATGCCGTGGCTAGATTTCGATGCTCGAAGCGAGACAAGAAAGGCTGGGTGTTTACGATGGCGATTCCAATCGCATTTCTCGTTGTGCTGGCGTTCCTGCCGGCCATCAACGTGGCGTCGTACCTTCCACAGTACAAGAAAGGTTCGATGACGGACCACGCGAATTTTCAGTCGTGCCGAGAGATTGTCGCCCACACAACCGGCGACTTGCTCGACTGCATTTACGGCCGCACGCCCTCTTCGCGACAGTCGTGTGTGACGTTGAGGGCGCCGTGCCAGGGCGGGTATGCCGTGCGATGTCCCGAGGACGGCAAGACCTTGAGTTCCTGCTCGGCTGCCCGCGTCAGCTTCAACACCACGAACGCATCGTTTCCGTACTGCAGTTCGCTGCCAGGCTATGTCGGAAACAAGGCGGTGTGCATTTACGACTGGTTCAGCCACTGCTCGGTGACGGGGGCGTGCAACGCGACCGAGTGCTGCGACGCACACGCTGCGGCATCGCCGTTTGGGCCGTGCTCGAGCTGCGAAGGCAACCGGTGGCCATGCTTCCACGGGTCGTGTCTCCGCAAAGCCGACGTCCAGCTACAAGGCGTGATCAACACGATGCTCGCGTCGCTCATCATTGTCATTGGGTTCGCGTTTGTGCCGGCTAGCGTCGTCGTCTTTATCGTCAAGGAGAAGCATCCCCACCAGAACGCCAAGTACCAGCAAATGGCGTGCGGGACGTCCGTGCTGGCGTACTGGTCGAGTCTGTGGACGCATGACGTGGTCTTGATGCTCGTGCCGGTCGCGGTCGCGGTGGGTTTGTTGCCGTTGTATTCGTCGTTCAAAGGGGACGTCGAGTCCATGATAGCGGCCCTCGCGCTGTTTGGCACGCACATGCTGTCGGTGCTGCCCCTGGCGTACTTGTTTAGCTTTCGCTTCACCAAGCACTCAGCGGCGCAGACGTCGGTTCTCGTGTTTGGGCTCGTCACCGGCGCCCTCGTCAGTATCGTTTCCTTTCTCTGCCGCCTCGTCAATTTTCGCCTGACCGCCAGCCTGACGCTTTCCGAACTCGACGCCACCTACCTCCGATGGATCTACCTCGTCTTTCCTGGCTACCAGCTCACGGACGGGTTGTTCCAAATTGGCATGCGCAAGTACGGCAATCCGTACGGCGGCAGCCATGACACGTCCTGCCCCGCGTCGAAATCGTGCTGGGCCTCGACGCAAGATCCAAACTGCTGCGTTGCCCGTGCCTTGGAATTCAACGTGGCTGGGCGAAGCTTACTCTATGGCGCGATCGAAGTCGTTGTGTTTTCGCTCCTAGTTTTGTACTTTGACCGGCACAAGGCTCCCGACGCATCTTCGTCGCTGAAACGAACGCCGCCCGCCATGGAACTCCATCCGTTTGACGACGACGTGGCGGCTGAAGCGGCTCGAGTCGCGCGTGGCGACGCCACATCCGACAGCATCCTCCTTCACAAAGTGCACAAACAATACGGGAATGAAAAAGTGGCGCTGCAGTCGCTGTCCCTAGGCATTCCCAAAGGCGAATGCTTTGGGTACCTCGGAATCAACGGCGCCGGCAAATCGACAACGATGCAGATTCTGAACGGGTTTATGGCGGCGACGAGCGGGGCTGTCTTCGTTGCGGGCTGTGACGTGCGCACACAACTCCAGTCCGCCCGCCGCGCCATCGGGTACTGCCCCCAGTTCGACGCGTTGCATGACACGTTGACAGTCGAGGAAGAGCTCGACTTGTATGCCCGACTGAAAGGAATGGTCGACGTTCGCCAAGCCGTCGAAGACAAGCTGCAGCAGTTTGACTTGGTTGCGTTTCGAACCAAGTTGACACGGGGGCTGAGCGGAGGCAACAAGCGCAAGGTGTCGACAGCGATTGCCCTCATGGGAAACCCGTCCGTGCTGCTGTTGGATGAACCGTCCACGGGAATGGATCCCGCGGCCCGACGGCGTATGTGGGACGTGCTTGTGGACGTGCTTGCGACGAAGACCTGCAGCATCCTCCTGACGACCCACAGCATGGAGGAATGCCAGGCGCTGTGCAGCCGCATTGGCATCCTCGTCAGTGGTCGTCTTGTGTGTCTGGGGACCGCGCAGCACCTCAAGCACAAATTTGGACGCGGGTATACGCTCGACATACGGCTACGTACTCCATCGACCGATCAACTCGTGGGGGTCGCCCCAGTCGGAAGCGACAAGAAGTTGACGGCGGCAGACATCGAACGGCTTTGTGCTGATGCGGGGCAGTACGCCCGATGGGACAAGATTGCCCAAGGAGCGGATTCCGGGTGGGTGCTGCGCCATTACTTGGACAACGACGAGGATGGCGCGGTCCCGTGCGACGTATGGAAACATTGGTGGGTGCTCGAGGAGATGGGCGCAGCGCTTGAAGCGTTCTGCACCCAAGACCTGCCGAGTGCAACGATGATTGAGCATCATGCCGAACACTTTCGATACCACGTCCCGAAATCGTCGGGCCATACGCTCACGAGTTTGTTTACACTGCTTGAATCGGCGGCCGCCCCGTCATCCACGGTCCCCATCGAGCAATATAGCCTCAGCGACACCACCCTGGAAGAGGTCTTCAACGGCATGGCTGCCGGGCAGGACGAAGAGCGCGAAGGTGTTCATGGCGTTCATCGCCACTCGCTCAACGCAACCAGCCTCCAAGCAGTCACGTCGTACCACCGCGCCCAGTCCAGATCTCGATTGCAAGATTGATTCATAAAATGCAACAACGTACTTTACCACAATGAAATCCGAATCGGTGCCACGTTGGACTTGACGAACGCCTGCAACGCGAGTGTTTCTTCACCATGCTGACGACATCGTCATTCTCTCTGATTGCTTTTTTCCGACTGGAGCAGGTCGTGTTGGGGGACAGAAGCACGCTTGCGGTGGGTGGTCGACAACAACGTTCGTTGGTCCGCGCGCGCAGTGCCAAACGTGCAAACAGAATGAACATGGCGAAACCTCAGGCTTCCACCATTGCACGCTGCGACGCCCACAAGGCTCGTGTCCTTGTGGGCGGCTACCATTTCACTTTGTGGACCATGCCAAGCCGTGGAAATGCACTTTGGTTTGCAAAAGCGAGATGGTTGGTTCAGCACCAGGTCACAAACACATGCCGCATCGAGGACGGTCGACACAGGCGGCCGAGGGCGGATCGCCGTCCGTCCACCATGCGTCGAAGCGGTATTGTCCGGATAATTTCCGGTGTAGCCTTCCGATTGGTCAGCTGAATGCGCCAAGGCCATTGGCTAAAACTCGCACAATCGAAATTGGTTGGTGGCAAAACCATGGGCGGCGCCGGGCCACTTGTGCCATTCCAAGACTGGTTTCTGCCTTGCGCTTAATTGGATTCAGTTCTCGTATCTCTTGATTTAGTATGTCGATCGCTGATTTCACTCCTGCCCAAACCCAAGACTTGGCCACGTCGTTGGCCGTCCTTTTGCTCCATGATTTGGAAGTCGAAGTGTCTGCCGACAACTTGAACGAAGCCTTGTCCGCCGCCGGCGTCACTGTCCCGGCGTACTTGCCCACCTTGTACGCGAACGCCGTGGAACGTGGCTTGAAGGTGTCCAAGGCCTTGGCCGGCCCTTCGGCTGGTGGTGCCGCCGCGCCGGCCCCTGCCGCCGGTGCCGCTGGCGCTGCCGCCCCCAAGAAGGAAGAAAAGAAGGAAGAAGAAGAAGAAGCCGACTTGGGCGGTGGCATGGACATGTTCGGCGGTGGATCCGACTATTAAGCATTGGATCTCCATCCACAAACCGGACCATCTGCACCCGATGTCCATGAGCTCTTGTTGTGCGCAAGGGATGACGACCAGTTGGCCGGCGATAGGTGTCAAGAGATGCGCGCCGCGGATGGCTAATTACGTCGTAATAAACCCAGCCAAGGTGTAGTAGACACGTCGGTCGTTCGGTGCATCCATCCTTCGAGTTGGAGCAATCGCAGTCACGTCCGGCCTCGACGCCGCGATCCTCAACATCCCAAGTCAACGGGGGTGTTGCATATTGTGTCACAAGGTACTTGCAGTCACGTCACAGAGAGGCTGTGCCTCCAACGAGAACATTGCGATGCGGTGGGGTCGATGCAATCGTGGCATGCCAGAACGAGATTATCCTCGATGTGCTCCACGCGGCAGCACGCACGATGACAACCAACATGCCTGGGAGAGCGATCACTTTGGGAACCATCGAGGGCTAGCTAACCGCGCAGGTTGTGTGGGCTGTGTCGATTTCTCGTCATGACGGAAAAGACGGCGCGAAGGTGGCATCGGGTCCTGCCCAGGTGCTTGCCCACAACTAAGAGCTTGTCAATATGCACATGACTATTATGAGCGAAACTAGACAGAATATGAGCGATATTCCCGACTCATCGGCAACGTCATGCACGTGGTGGCGTTCCTGTTGGGCCTCGTGGCATGCGAGGCCGCCGTGTCGACGACTGTGTCGATCAACCAGCGGAAGGAACGTTTGATTCGTGAACCGATCCCTATCCGGCCTCCGTCGTCGTACCAAGGTGGCGTGCTGGCGGATAGAATCACGCGGCAAGGGCCGGTGACACGATGGACGACGTTCGAAAGCGACACGTACCGATGACAAGCGCCACGAATAGCGCCTCATCCTCTGCTGTAGGGGGGACATGCAGCTGTATTACTTTCACAACATCACGTTCAAGACGCATGCGAAGAAGACCCTGCTTGGGTACGTCGGCCGACGTTCATACATGATTGTCATGTTCTTGCTCCGATAGCATTTGGAAGGGATACGAAGGGGACCAGACGAAAAACGTGTACAGGAGCATCGTGTTTGACGATGGCGATCGTTGTCGCGGCGCCCCCGATCGCCGGTACTCGATCGTGGTCGAGATTTCCAAGAAAGAATATAAGGGCGTGACAGACTACATGGAGGCCATCGAATCGACGTCCGACCCATGCGTGTTCACGTCGAAAATCAACTTGTTCACGACCGATGCCTTGTTGCAGCTCCCGTCTGCGTTCGAGACCGACGCGGACGTCGGCATCGTTCAGTGGTACGACGACCCAAACGCTCCGGACAAGCTCTGCCGTGACATCAAGTGCAACTACTCGAGCATCGAGATGTCGATTCAAGACGCAGTTCAAGAGGTACGTCGCCCTGTTTCCATCTCCACCTCTTCGCTGCTCAATGGAGTATGCAGATAGCCATTCTCAGAGCGCGGCTTGCGGACCACGATACCCACACCGACGATGCCATCGGTGCTGTCATGGAATCGTCGTCTTCCATTCTGATGGCGGCCAACGGCGTCCTGACCCAGTCCCTGCGTGTTTTCGAGCATCTCAAGCACTTCCACACCTTGGCGCCACCCACATGTACATTGATGTCGACCGCTCGACCCCCTGACGAACTACCGGCGCTTCCAGACGATACCGCTGCAGTTGCCGACCCCGCCGGCGATGCGATCCAATCTCGTACAGGTCCATGATGTAGCGATCCACACCCCGACCTAACGCAAATCAACACGACGGGAAGCAACTGCCCACCATCCCAGCAACGCCTTGAACCCACACACCAGTCGTACGCACGTGACAAGGGCGCAGAATCCCCTGCACCTGTCCTCCCATGGCCGCACGGCTGCAAGTTTCCCACTCGAAGCACTTGCTGCGGTGCACTCGCGCGCTGGAGTTTCACGGCCTGCAGCGAACGTATTCGCCACGCGCCGAACGATTGCAAGTGGAGCCATCGTCATCTTCCCTCGCTCGTTCCAGGTCCCATCATTCACGAAACTCGTGAATCATCGGCGGTTGCCGACGTCTTGAAATCGTGGGAGGAGACGGCAGCGCCTGCCTTCTATCGACGGCACTCGACGCTGCGTGGAAAGGTGTCGCACCACGCAGCACAATGGAAAGGCTACAAGCACACACTGGAACGCAACGGAACGGTGGGTGCTGCGCGCGATGGACATTCCAGACACGGCTCGATTCCACGAGCGATAGTTGATTCAAGGCATTACATGGGCCGAGACCGCTGCGGTGGACACGTCGTCGGTTGGTTGGTCATGTGGTGGACAAGATATGGCGTCGCCGGTAGCAATGTCGGCGCGGGCAGGAGCGCCGACGGAGAGCCATCGTCAGCGCAGAGGAGAGCGACGACATGGTACCATTCCTTAAACTTCATGTCGGACGAGTGCTCGAGGCTGAGTCGGTCGCGGCCGCGGGGAATGTAGTACTGGATCCAAAACCAAAGGAGCGTGCGAAAGTTCAGGCACAAATTCACGGCCGAGTCGCCGACTTCGGCTTCTTGTTGCCGCAGCGCCTGCACCATCGCCCCAGTCAAAACAACTGCGACTCGATCCGTGCTCATACCTCGAGCATGCGTGGCAACCGATGCTTGCGAAACTCAAAAACGAGCATGACGACGGCCGTGTTGAGACAGCAAATGTTTTCGTGGTTGATGTCGTCCATCGTGATAATCGACATCAAATTGCGCAAGAGACGGACCGTATTCATGCGTAAAAACTCAAACACGCGCGACAGCGACGGGTACAGCTCCATCGTACGGGGATGGTTCTCGACCGACAGCAGGACGGAGCGCACGAAAACATTCGAGTCGACCAGGTTGGCTACAACAACCTCTACAAAACGTCGTACCATTAGCACAGCCAGGTCCACACGACGTTGTCTTCGGGAGGCGACCCCCGTCGCGACGCAGATGAGCTGCGACGACGGCGCGGGTCCAGCCTTTCACGCGCGCGCGGACACAACGACGTACGCATGAACGAGGCGAACTGATAGTCGTCCATCGAGTCGCACAAGATGACGAGGGTCGTTGGGTTGTTCTTGGTCATTTCCCCGAGCAAGTCAAACGCCGACTGCAAACTGCCCGACGGTTTGAACCCGCAACTCAAAATTTCCTTGAGCAATGCTGCCAACAACGGCGAGCGCGCGACAAACAATTGCTCTGCCGGCGACGACCGCCGCAGAAACGACTCGACACACGATGCGAGCCAAAAGCGGTAGATGCTGTCGGCGGGCTGGACGACGAGCACGTCGATGATTTTGCACAGCAGCCCTTTGTCAAGTCGCGCGGGGTCCAACCGGTCGCCCGCTACGTCGTGGCTCAGCAAGTGGGTCGCCCCTTCCAACGTACTCTGCACACTGCGTCGTTCGTCGGGAGACAGCAACAGCAACTTGTTCGAGTGGTCTTGGACGTCGCGGTCGCAAAAGTTGTGAATCAGCCGCAGAAATTGAATCTTCAAACTGGCATCCATGCTGCACTCGCACCTAGAAAACACGCGAGACACTGTCGCCTCAGCACGTGCCGCTTTGTCGCTCAACAACAACAAAATTCCTTGCGTTTACCCTGGGCCATGCAGCGGTTGCTAAGCAACGAGGTCGTGTCAAGAGTTTTGTGGGGTCACGATGCAAACAAAGCAGCGCGTACCGACGGCGGTGTCGGCGGCGGCTCGTTCCACTTGAGCCGCAAAAACATTTGGTTCAAAATGTCCACGAGCCCCATCTCGGCCAGCGTGTCCTGGAAGTCGACCTTTCGCTTCGAGCTCAAGAGGGTGCAGATGACAAACAGCACTTCAACACGGAACGGCGCAAGCGCGATGCTTTTCACCAGCAGCTCCGCCTCGACATCGCTCCGGTTCAGCGCCGCCACGGACCGTTGGTGCTGGAGCCGCTGCCGCGACATTAAAGATCTACCGCCACATGCCATCAGCATCGATAGGCCAACGATTCCTTCATCAAATCGGAATTGCAGCGCCGCCCATCGTTCCCGACGCTTCCCTCGCACAGCACAACGCCCCCCTCGACACGATGACATGCTTACCGAAAGTATGTAGAGCTCAGGTTGAACAGGCTTTGATCGGCGGACGACGTGGCATTTTCAGGGGCGTCCGCGTTCTCCATGGCTTCTCGGAGTACGGTGGCGACGGTTGGACTGCTCAGCATCTCCCATTCCTCCTGCTGTTCGAGGGAAAAGAGCATCGCCCACTCTGTCGACGACTGAATCTCCTGCGAGTACGGATCGTACGCAGGGTTGATGGCAAAAAAATAGTTCTGGAGCTGGAGCACGAGCATGAGGCGGTTCAGGACGGCCGGTGCGCGGAAGAGGAGGGCGTGGTTGCGGTCGACCGTGTTGTCTGCTTTATGCATGCGTTCTCGGCGCAGCCGGAGCAACTCGACCGACTTGATCACGCCTACGAGTGCAATGCGTCGCTCGTAAATATCCCTGCATCAGCAACGGCATCGGCCTACGCGAATTCTCAAGCAACCGGCGGTCCTCGGGCTCAAACACAACCAGCGCCAAGATGCGGCAGAAGAACGCCAATTGCCGGGAAGAAAACGTCTGGATCGTCGCGTGGAAGTCCGCTACAAAGGTCCATTTCGTGAGGCGTCCACAGTGAACAGCACAGCGAGACGTACGAACAAGACTCAAGTCGAACGAGACGTCTCGAACGCTCAGGATCTCCTCGACCAGCCCCGCCGCGTGCTCAAAGAAGATGGTGTTTCCCATGAGCTGGAATAGTACGATCGTCAGTTTGTCGTTCTGCCCCAGCTCCTCCGCCAGACTTGGCGCCACGAAGCACAGTTCCCGGAGAAAGTTGAGCGCTTCCGCCAGTGCCGTCAGCTTGTCTTGCGTCGGCACGTCCGAACCAGCCATCCGACTGCGCCGCCGAGCAGATTCCTCTCGGTACGAGTAGTGCAATGGCCGAGACGACATTGCAGGGGCACGCGCGCCGGGAAAGAGTTCCATGGTTCGGTCTCGAAGAATTGCAAACAAGATCCGTTGGAGCAACTCGGGGCCGCCCATTTGAATGAAATTGTCTCGATCTTCCTTTCGCGTAGGCACCCCCGACGGCGGGACGATGGAGCGACTGAGGGTCTGCAGGGGCACCACAACGTCCGAGAGCTTACGAGCATTGAGAAGTGCGTCAATATGGTTCATCTGCTTCAGCAACCGCTTTGGATGTGCCCCCAGCACTGGAAGAAGCGAGTCAATGTTGGGGTGGACAAGCAGGGGCATGCCACGGAGACCGGACCCCATGGACCCTGATGGAAGAGCTCTCCATGTCGTCACGCGACCCGTGATTTGAGCTTGGCGCACTCGATGGAACATAGACTTTTTCCCGGAAGCGGAGGCAGCTTCATCCTTTTTCTGGCGTGGCTGGCGCGACATCTTCCGTGCCACGAGATGCTTTCTACTGTTGCGAAGCAGCCAGGGCTATCCGGATAAAGACAGAGCATTTCTTGAGAACTGGAAAAACGGCAAACGAGTTATCCGGATGTGGTTGTGTTCGAGCTGCACGGGCGATGGCACCCGAGCACGGTCAGCGCAAAGCGCGCGATCGCTGCTCTCCATCGATCAGTACGGCTGATAGCCATGCATTCCACTTGGTTCCGGACAGCACAGCCGCCTTGAGTGGCTGACGTGTCTCCCTCTTGTTCCAAATCCTCGTGAACATCGTGCACATTCCACGCGACTTTGAGTTGTTGCAGCAAGCTATGGCAATGTCTTGAGCAAAGGTGACATTAGCGTGACATGAATGCATTCGAGCGAGAGCATCGGGCAGCGAGTGGGGAGGAATCGTGGATTGCACCGCACACCATGACGTTGACCATTCAGAACGGAACGCACGATGGGATTGTATTGGCGAGGTTGCCGCACTGCGCTGAATCCCCATGACAGACGCAAGGCAACGAAATCCATTGAGACATAACTTCGACCCATCGGACAGGGTGGTAAAAATAGCTCCATTTCCAAAGCGCGCATGCAAACACACGGCAGGGGCAAAGCTCTGGCATGTGCTGGCCCTTCCACGTCGTCGGAGGGTACGACCCCTGCGTTCTGCCCTCAGACCAATGCTAACGTTACCTTGTATCGTGAACTTTAGCCATCGATGCCTTTGAACATGGCTTGGGGCTGAGTATCCGAGGCTTCAAGAAAGCGTGTGCATTTGCCCAAAAAGGTAACAAAGGCCCCCGTTCGCGCTTTTGCAAGGAATATGGATGATGGAGTCGCTTGCAGATGCTGCCTTGCACCTGGACAACGTCCGCACTGCATTTGGCACGGCCTGTACGGTTCCCGACGACTTCGTGCCCCCCTTCGACAACAATAACGCCCTCCTCCACGACACCACCAATCCTAACCTTACATACCTCCACGAGAGATGCCCCAAGCCAGCAAAGCAGAGACCCCAGTCTGCGGCCCCACGACGAAGCGGCGGCACTCAACCGAAACCGAAGTCGCTTCCCGTGGATTTTGTGTACGACATAGACATCCGCAAACAACTGAGGACTGCCATCGACGCCGAGCGAAGGGATCTGCTCCGAGCCACCCAAGCCAGAGAAGCGCTGTTACGTGATGCGAACCAGTGGCTACCGAATTCCCGACCAGACAAGAAGGCCCTCAAGCAGGAAAACGTGGCGTGGTCAACGCCGAGGCGCCACAAGCCACAGCCTTGGGAGAGGAAACAAGTCCCCCCAGTCGGTGTGGCCATGGAGCTCAAGCAGCACGATGAAGTTGTGTGGAGTGCAGCAGCACCAACCACTTCCAAGAAAGCTCGCCCCAAGTCTGCTGTGAATCGACGCAATCCTGTAGCGGAGAACGTGCATTTTGCATCGTGGCAAACGACAAGCTATCATCAAGATGTGGACAAGCTGAATGGCAGGCGGCAACATAGGCGGACAAGTCAAGCGTAATAGAGCGTCGAGTCTATTTGGTGGAGGCCGTTCGCAAAGGCGGCGCAACAAGGATGATGACGTCCCCACGCACAAACAGCATCTCGACTTGACGCTTCGCCTGATTCACGATCTCTTCGTACGTTTCCTCGTCAATTTCGACACTCGTCACAGTCTCTTCAACGTCACTCAGCACCATGTTCAAATGCTGGTCGTATGCCTGCAGCTTTCCCCGCAGCTCTCGGTCGCCTCGACACTTGACGTAAATGACTTCATCCAGACTCAGCTTGATCAAGTCCAACGGTTCCGTGATTGTCGCCATGGTGCTCGCCAGCGGAGTTAGGTGGAGGCGCTGAAAAATTGGGGCTCCTCTTGGGGGTTCAGAAGGATGCGATTTTATTGGACAAAATACATGAATATTCCAAGATCTATCCAATCCTTAACGAATATACAGGGATGGATGTGTGTGATACAGCCAATCATCAGGCGCTGTTTGAATTTTATTCTACCAATCAAGCTTGTCCAAATTCAAATTCCAACTTGCCGAGACTTCATGCCGCCAGAGGAGGAGACGGCAGCGATAGAGTGCGCACCTTCCACTCCATCCGAGTCTCCCAAGAAGAGGAGAAAAGATTCTCCATCTTCTCCTAGAGGAGATGCGAAGAAGCTCCGAGCGGCAAGCCGCCAGAAGAGCGTGAAGTTCGTCGGTGCCCAAGTGGTTTGGTTCCACAAAGACTTGGCGCCAATCACCCGTTTTGGAGGCCTGCACAGACCAACCTCTTCGACACATGAAGAAGACGAACGAAGAAGTCGCGAGCTCGGTGATGATGCCTCGCTAACACAAGCATATGCGACGGAAATGCGCGAAATGATCCAGCATGTGTTGTGGGGCACCAACCTTCCATGCATGTGTGATGACATCGAGACCCTACGCGCGCAGTTTCGCATCGCGAACGACCTCCACGTAGAAGCTATGATGGAATTTGGCCACTTTGACCCCCTCACAAGCACCAACGAGCACGAAACACATGAATGCTTACCAGCACTGCTCGCGTGGAAAGACATGACCGGGTTCCGAGGTATGGGGTACACTTTTGGACACCGCTTTGTCACGGTCGCCGAGTACATTGCAACAATGGAGGACATCGAGCTCGTTCGTTTATTGAAGGCTCATCATGTCCCGGTGCCCCGATTCGTGATCCCAAAGAAAGATGGCCAACGGTTCCCCGCATCGGTTCTCGTGTCGCGCCACTTCATGTGCGGCGGACGGACGTTGGATCAGCTCAACATGGCGGAATTGCGACTCGAATGTTCTCTTCGTAATATGCTCGAAGCAGCGATGTCCAAGAAGTACAAGAAGAAGAAGCAGCTCGTGCAGCTGCTCAAGGTATTAGTCGCCGATACATGCCTCCAAACCGCTCACGAATGTCCAGCCCATTTTTGAATCCGAACACGTGATGCGATGCGCGGAGCAGCAGCAACGGGAGCAAATGGAAGCTCTTGTCTTGAGTACGCGTCTATGCGAAGACATATCCCATGTTCTTATCTGTTGGACTAGGCATTTTACAAGAAGCCGCCGCGACCAAAATGCGGCGATGTCTAGCCAAAGTAGTTGAGCGACGATTGCATTGCCCTTCACTGGAAGTGGCGCAACCAGACAAACAACCTAGCGACGCCGTGCCGTCAAAGGAAACCCTCGCCGAGGCGCTCACCCAGCTATTGCAGGGCGATCCAAGCACGCGATGCCGATGCATGGTTTCGGCGGGCAATACTTGACGTGCTTCCTTCCATGGTGCGGACGAGTGGCCACTGGTTGGCGCGGAGTACAGGCATGTGCGATTCTTACACTGTTGAGATGGAAATTCACCAGAGCAGCGACTGGAATGAAGTCGTGGCCCCTCTGACGTTTGAGCCGTTCGACCTTGCAACACATTCGCATGGATGAAGCGTGCTTGAATCCTGCCGTGATTGTTTATTTCGCTGAATGTATCAACGTGCACGACACTGGTTGAGTCGTTTGAAATGGCAAGGCTGAGGTGCCATGATGTTGTGGAGTACGTGATGAAGTACCAAATCCAGTGACCAAGGTCGCCACCGCGACGCCAACTCCTGCCTCGGTCACGTAGTCGAGGGCGTCATGGTGCTTATGGTGCTTTTTCAGTCTCTGAAACAGCGAGAGACGAGTCGTAGCAGGCGACACACAAGAACGTTTCCTGGGACCGGCGCATTGCGTTGGACATTCGAGGTAGTTGTTTGAGTGGTGTATCGACAACGTGACCGCCATCCGAGTTAGTCGACCCACGAGTCCATCACAATCGGTTCAACATTTCGGCGGTGAACAGCACCAGGACAGCAAACCATCGTCTCGACAGAATGGAAATGAATCGCGCTGCACATCAAGCTCGCTCCCAGGAAGAGGCTCTGTGCACGTCGACATCATCAACGTCGAAATGGGACACCTTCCTCAGCATGCAAAGAGCCTCGAGTCGGTGAAGTGCCTGCCACGAGACACTCTCAAGTGTCTGCAAATTCAACATTTTGGAAGGAATGAAGCGTCGTTCAAGTTGTCCCAGAATGTAACATTGCGAGTTGCCCGGCGAATCCGGACCCGCCTGGAGAGATGTGTTCGACGACGGCATGGATGCGACCTACCGTCGTCGGTACGTTGGGTCTGCTCTTTGTGACCAGTGTGTACGTGGTGAAATGTGAACCATTTTGTCTCAGCGAACAGCCTCCCCCTCCTTATCTACGCCGGTACTGGGGGCAGGCGATGGAGTGAAAAATGCCGACGGCACTATGCCGTGTGGTTCGAGTGGAATCATCGTTGTGCAAGTGCTATTTCAACGCCACACGACATTTGCACCAAGACTGGCACACGCAGAATGATGCCACCAGATTTGTGGTCGCGATTCGGTCTATTCCGACCCGAATTCCGACTGAAGTGATGGCACGAAGCAAGGGAACGGTATGTCGGCGAGATGATGCATCTCAGGTCACGCCCATCTTGGCGGCGAGCGCCCCCAATCCTTCGAAATGCTGCCCCCTGCAACAAGAAAGTCGTTGCAAGTGTGTAGGCGTGCATGACCCCTCGGCTGCAACAGCTCGTCCGACGAAAACACGGTCCAGCATGGTCATGTGACTGCTGTCTCCCCGTCTATGGTACGAACAGTCCTGCAGCGGCACACCGCATTTCAAGCCCTCAAAGCACTTGGCAACGATATTCCGATTCACCACGCCTCTGGTTTGCTTCGAAGAATGTCACACGTGATTTCTATTTGTCGTCCCGCCGACGCTACCTGCTTCGTCGTGAAGTTCAAACTTCTCTCTGCCGTCTCTCCATCGATGGTGCCAGTCGACCACCACGTCATGCGACAGGATGGGCAACTACAATCCAAACATGCCTCCCATGTTGCCCGCATACGCCATGGGTCGAATGGGCGGGTGTTCCTGTCGCGGTGTTAGCGGCAATGCGATACATGTCCATCGCAGGTCGTACCACCGCCGTGAATTTCGTGAACCGCGGCTTGAGATCGCGGAAGAACTGAATGAATGCGCCCTTGTTGCCCATTTGGTCGCAGTAGTTGGGTGCACTGAACACTGTGATGCACTTTTCGTCATGTTCGACCAAGTAACCTTCGTCCTTGACTTCATGTGACCGCACAAGCAGATCTGCATGGTCGACGCACATCTCGTTTAGGCCACCGATCATCAAGCGGCGGCTTTGGGACGCCCAGTTCCCGCCACCGCCATCAATTGCGTACCCAAGTTGTTGTACGCCAAGAACGCCTTGGTCACATCGGGCCCGAAGCTCAACCCGATGCCGCGCTTGGACGGTCCGCGGCCGGGAAATGGTTGGGGATCGCTCCACATTAAGTCGCTCATCAGGCCTATGATGCAAAACCCGTTGAGTTTGTCCATTCAACGCATCGAGAGGACAGGGCAATCCCCGACTCCATCGAGAGATCCAGGTGGGCATGCCACCACCGCCAGATGTGGTGCCTACCGCTCTCGGGGGGTTCGCGGTTCCGGTCGATCTTCATGATATCGTTGAGAGTTACATTGTCCTGATGGAAGAGGCCGCCGTGTACGACGAGGATCTTGGACTCGATGCAAGCGGCGAGGGGAAGCCAGTTGAACACTTCGCTGAACAAGTTCATCACGACTTCGTCATACTTGTGCTTGACTTCGCCTTCGAATCCATAAATCTTGTTCATGTTTTTCGACTCGTGGTTCCCGCGGAGCAAGTGGACGTGATCGGGGAAGGCTAGCTTCATGATAAACAGAGTCAAGACCACTTCAAGACTAAACGACCCCCGATCGACGAAATCGCCGTTGAACAGGTACGGGTTGGTCTCGCTCGGGAGACCATTCAGGGCAAATATATTGCACACGTCGTAGAATTGTCCTGCCATCGAGACGATGAGGTCAGACTGCGAAAGAAGATGGGATTGAGTGTACCGTGTGTATCGCCACAGACCGTGATGTGTGCCTGTGACTCGGTCCCCAGCGGAATGCGGAGAAGCGTTGGCAGCGCTTGAAGCATCGCCTTCATCTGGAGCAAAATCTGCAGCGCATACTTTCGATGGAGGAGTTTCCCGCGCTTGAAGTGGTCCAGCACGTCTGTGACAAACTCGATCGTCGGTGTTGTCTCAGGGAGGTGTGGTCCATCGTACGACGAGTCCACAACTACAATTCGACGGCAGATCAAGAGATGTCGATATAGGTTTGGATGTCGTACCCAACGCGGACACGTCGATCGTTTCGCTGAGAGGTCGATGTCGCTCTGACTGGATCGCTTCAGCGAAAGCTGCCTGTCGAATCAATTGTTCGCATTGCTTCATCTTGCTCTTGGCCTCGGCGCTCGAGGGTTTCATCTTGACGACTGTTCGGTAGTCTCTCAACGCATCCTTCAAATGACCGAGGGGAAGATTTGCTGACGCACGGCGGTAGTACGCTTTGATGTAGGACGGATCGATCTTAATGGCTTCCGACGCATCCTCCAATGCTAGGCCGTAGCTTTCCATCTTGATGTGGGCAGCGGCGCGGTTAGAGTAGTAGATAGCCGTTGGGTTAAGCGAAATTGCCGTTGTGTACATCTCGATAGCCAGAGGGAACTTGAATGCCTTCAACGCATCGTTTCCTTTCTCTTTGAAATCCTCCGCGCGGCTTAGCGTCGCCGCCGACGCTTGATGTGTTGCGCCCAGCTCGACCGTGACCTTGTCCATTGGTTGCCGCCGGCAAATCTTTGATCGTGCGTTTCCGGAAATTTCGTTCGGATAAAACGTTAGTCATCCGTATGAAAACCAGAAAATAAGGACATCCGCAAGAACATGGCACTAAATAGGAGCAGGACACTATTTAGTGTCCATTCCGCGTGCATCTTGCCACGAAGTGTTTTTACATCGACCAGAATGCGTTAAACTATGAAATTTGATATTACGACACCACCGTGGTGTGTGTTCGTAGGTATCCACGTTACGACAGTCCCAAGCCCCCACGCCTGCACTGTACAACGTAATGTAATGGTTCATGGGCTGCGCTTCCCGCGTCGCCAGTATGCCTCCATCACTTTTGTACAGGTAGACCATGGGCAATTGATTGGCGCAGCGGTCGAATGCGATTTCGCCTTCGCGTGAAACGTAATTCTTCAAAAATTGAGGATCTTGGTGGAAGTATGCAGGATTTTGACTAATTTACGTGCGACAGTGATGATGTGGCAAAGGAATTTACCTGGATCCGTGTAGATAAAATATGCGTTTTTTTTTACAGAAAAGCGGCGAGGCCGTTACATTTATCAAGTTTCACAGGGGCATCAGAGTGACTTGGGGTCGATGAAGCCAGCGACGATGGTTTATGGAAGCATGGAATCGATGATGGCAGCGTCGGCGCGACCTCCTTCGAAGGCGCGCCCCAGCTCCACAACTAACCTGTCAATGTCTCCCATCACGGAACAGATCTCGCATCAGCCGATGCGCAATTCCGCGCCGTCCCTCGCCGCCGCTATCGAGTCTCTTCAAGATGGTGTGCTTTCTCCCGGGAGTGGGTCACATGCTCCATCGTCGGAAGGGGGCGGGCCTCGAGGAGATCTCTCCGAAGTATCAATCGATTTTGGAGAGAGCACTTTGCTGCATGGAACGGCAGAATTGACCCATCTCGGTCTCGCGGGCTTTCTCAACATGCGCGAGCACGGTCCAGGATTCCACCGCATGAGGCGGTACTACTGCCGCCTCGTCGGGGTCCTTTTCTACCGCTTCTACACCAAAGAATCAGCGCGCGATCTGGCAAACGCACATATGGAGAAAGAGATAGTAAAGGTCGAGAATTGGGACGGGAAAGGCGCCCTCCATCGGTACCCCCAGCCGTTCAAGCTCGTCACGCCACAAGGAACGTACAATGTGAACGCAGACAGCGAGGAAGAAAAAGCGCTGTGGATCCAGTATGCAAACGAGTCCATCGACGCTGCCGCGATGCAGATGCGCGATTGCTCTTTGCTCCCCAAGTCGTCCGTACTCATGTCGGCATCCCCGGGCGGTCTCACCCTCGCTCGACCAAATAAGGAGAAGGAAAAACCGCCCAAGTTCAAGGGGGTGCCAAACTGCATGCATCCGACGTGCAAAGTTCGTTTCGATAACACGAAGCGCCAGCACCATTGCCGGAACTGCGGCGACTCTGTTTGCTCGGACCACAGCTACCATTTCGCCCCGCTGCCGCATCTTCCCACCATGACGGGTATGTCGTGCACAAATTTTTATTTTTCATTTGGCAGCTTGGTGCTTGCGTTCCATTGTTTGTTGGGGACACGTTTTGCTTATTCGATAGCCTCCAGGGCCACAACGACAATGCACCCGCTGCTTTCGCGTCCACCGATTCATGCAGCATATGCGGACGATGCTTCAGGCGTTTGTGAAACACCGCCATGGCCGCAAACAACTCTCGACACCCCAACCAGCCATGCTCAGCAACAAAAAGAAGTTGCCGACGGTGGCGGCAGCCATTCAAACGGAGGACCATATCGAAGACGTGAATCGCATGCGGACGGCGGTGAACGAGCCGGATTTTGGTGTTTCCGACGCCATCCAAGCACTTCATTTGCACCGCAAAGACAGTGACGATGTGTACTTTGTGATCGTGACCAAGTTGCTCAAACTGGGTGTCCAGCACCTCCCGGACTTCGACTTTTTCCTGCCGCAGCTCTTCCATCTGTGGATCACGATGGAGTATGAAACGCAGCTAGTCAAGTGGATGCTCCTCTTCCGCGTTCTCATGACAGCCGCCACGTACCACCTCCGCCTTGCGACATCGATCCACTGGCTGCTACGGGCCACCATCGACGATAGTTGCGGATGGGGGTTTGGTCAGCGCGAGTTGGGAGTCCCCGATTACCTCAAGTATCGATTCGCTCCATGCAAAGTTGCCATGTACAACTTGCACATGCTGGTACGTTACGTCGAGGTCCCTCAAGTGGGCGTGTGTGAGAGGCTTTCGCGAGGTTTCATGGATTGAGTTCGGACAATTCCAAAGTGTCATCGACGAGTGCTTGTTTGATGGATTCATTGCCGCTGTCTTGAACACATATCGTCCACACGTGCCCATCGACCGTCGTGTGTCTTAGATACAAAATCGAACAACGATGACGTTTGCCCCAGACGCAGACCTGCGTACGATGCCGCTCCAGACAGAGCTCCTTCAAATCTACATCGATCGCATCTTGGCCTTGCAAGAGTACGACACAGGTATTTATCCTTGCGAGGAACCATCAATTATTTTTAATAATTCGTGGGTTCGAATCCGTCTCACTCGTGAACCCCGTGCATGTTTTGTTTTCAGGCTTGAATCTCCCGACGCCAGATATGGCGCTGCCGTCACCTCTGAGCTCAACGCGAGGAGGGCCTCTTCCTCTTGGCCCGTTCTTCAACGCATTTGGTGCGTGCACGTTTCCTGCGCACTGGCAGGAGGTTCCATACCGTCCTCGCCTTGGGCCTCGCGATGTCGCCATCGAACAAAAGGTGTTTACGTCCCAAGTCGAGTTCATTGACAAATTGGGAGACTTGGCCGAGAGCTTGCGCCATTGTCCTCGACCCGAGCGCAAAAAGACGCTGCCCGTTGAACTGGAAAAGATTGCGTTGCCCCCCGCGGCGTACTACCCTCTCACGCCCGTGGACGAACCGCTGCATCGTTTTGTCCACGTGTGCATCAAAGAAGGTACGGGCATATTACGCTACGTTGAATTGGGTGGTGTCTCGCGTCATGAAGGGTCGTTCTGATGGAGTTGTGGCAGGCACCGTGTTTACAACGAAAGCGCGAGCCCCAACTTTGATCTGGTTCGAAGTGGAATCGGTTGAAGTCGCGCCTGAAACGCTCTGGCTAAGCCAAAGCACGTCGTCGGTTGTTGTTTCTCCTTTTACCGAGGAATCGGGGCCGCATCGGCAGTCGATGGACCATGACGCCATTGACAACGTATTGCGCGACGAATGCCTCCTTACCTCATTGCGTCACATCAATAACTCGGAAGACGACGATGGCGAAGATGACGTGTTGCAGGTCGCGATTAAGCTGCCGCTTTCAAACGGTACGCCATTCCAACTATGACATGCAACTATGAACTAGCCAGTGCAGGGTCGACGCACAAGCTGCGTCGGTCTGGTAGTCTCGTGAGCCACAATCCGAACCAAGCGTACTCGGACGAACTGATCCAAGCGGCGGAAGTCGACGTGCGGCCTCCCATCGACTTGATCACTGCGCACCACCATCTTGGCGGACCTGGAACCGGCGGCATGGGTGGTCCACCCATGATCGGGTCGAATCTGTTTCCCCGATCGAAGGGCAGCATCAAATTGGAGTTGCTCCCGACAGACGTCGAGAAACTTTCCCCCGAGCAACTCGAAACCATCGCAGACAAGTTGCTCAAGCACTTGATCGCGCACCCACCACCACGACGCGCGTTGGACCAGCATGCTCACACACCGCCTCGCCGGGCGTCGATACCGGGAGCGGCGACCACGTCGACGGCGGTCGAAAGCAAACACCCTGCGCTTGGACGGTTGACGGTCGAAGCAATCAAGGAAAGCATGGAAAAGATGAAAAAGAACTTCCTCCACGACGACGACGGCGACGAGTGGAATACCAAACACGCTTTCACGGGCAGCGACGGCATTGCCACGCTGCTCGAGATGCAAGTCGCGCACAACGAGCAGCACGCAACGTGGCTCGGGTCCGAACTACTCCAGAACGGATTGATCCAAGCGCTACCACACCAGTCGAGCGGACTCAACATTGGCACTCGCGACGACAGCGACGTTGTGTTCCAAAACGACTCGACGCTCTTCTACGTGACGCTCAAGCCGGACCACGAATATACCTTGCATATCAACGCTGTCAACGACGGCCGAAGTACAATCATCAACTCTCGCAACTCGAACCGACCGTCGCGGCATGCGTCGCACATGACCAACTCACGCGACGATACTGGGACCGACAGCACTGATGCGATCATGCTGCAGCAACCCCCGATGGGGCACATGGATCGTATGGAGCCGGACAAGGTTATGATTTACATGCAAACGTTGCAACACAGCATGGAGGATTACATGGCTCCGGTGGAAGAACGCGAAAAGGCGCTGGCGACGTGGCAACTCCTTCAGGACCAGCTAGAAGTCATTTGCGATTACGTGCGCGAAAAACAAGTGCAGCGCCAGAACCAGGTGAAGAATATGTTTGGCGAAGGCGCCGAAGACAAGCGGAAGCGGATGCTCTCGAGCAGCACCCACGCGTCCATGTACAAGTCCAACTGGAACATCAAAGCGATGATTATCAAGAGCAACGACGACTTGCGCCAGGAAGTGCTGTGTCTGCAACTGATCCGTCAGTTCAGAGACATCTTCAAGAGCGCCGACCTGGACCTGTGGTTATACCCGTACAGCATCATCGCGACGTCCGCCTCCACGGGCATCATCGAAGTCATTTTGAACGCAACGTCGCTGTCGAGCTTGAAGGGGTCACCTGGCTACACCAACTTGAACCAGCACTTCATCACGGTGCGAACGAAACTAATGTCGCCACGAAGAAACAAGTAAACGGAGTTTTTCTTGTCTCTGGATAGGTTTACGGGGGCCTCGAATCCCCTGCGTACAAAACGGCCATGGGCAACTTTGTCCGAAGCATGGCAGCGTATTCTCTCGTATGCTACATCCTCCGCATCAAGGATCGGCACAACGGCAATATCATGTTGGACGCAGACGGGCACTTGATCCACATTGACTACGGGTTTATGCTGGGCATCCAGCCGGGCGGACGCTTCAGCTTGGAGCGGCGCGTGCCGTTCAAGCTCACGTCGGAAATGGTGGACGCGATGGGCGGCACGCAGAGCGAGTACTTTCGCGAGTATGTCACGCTGTTGATCCAGGGGTTCTTGGCGTTGCGGGTACGTGCGCCGGCTGTCCCTTGGACAAACTAACGACGGCCACCAATCTCGTAGCAAAATCAAAACGTCGACACGATTTTGATGATGATTGCCATCATGGCGCGCAACTCGAGCTGCCCGTGCTTTTTGAACCGGAATCCCCAGGACATTTTGAACCAAACCAAGGCGCTGTTTGCACTCGACCTGACGACGGACCAAGTGATTCCCCACGTGATGAAGCTCGTGCGCCTCAGTCTCAACAGCTTTGGCTACCGACGGTTCGTTTTTTCGTTGTCTGTGGCGATGGCGACCTCACATTGACTGTATTTCTTTTGCAGGTACGATCAATTCCAGCACATGACGAACGACATTTTGCCGTAATATAATATCAAGTCCCGTTGCTGCCAGAGGTCCCTTCGCCATCGGTCTCTTTGTACGCGCTGCAGAGCGTCCCGTCCATGGAATAGATTGTCGGGTACTGGTACGCCACCATCGCCCACTGGTCGACCGACACGATGAGGTCGGTGGCGGCAAACCGACTCAAGATCGTGTGGTGCATCGAGTCGAGCGTGACCGTTGGAAACAGGTCCACCGTGGCTGGCACACGGAGCTCGCACTGCTCGGACACAACCATCGCGCTGCTGCTTGAGTTGTCAAATCGCGTAAAGACCACTTGCACGCAATCGACGGCGGTCGGAGCGGACGTAGCCGGATCGATACACGAAGCTCGGTGGACAAGCACCCCGTACGTCGACACGTTCGACATGGCGCTGTGACTCGAGAGTCCCGGAACTGGAATTTGAAGCGAGTGAGCGAGAATCATGCCCGACTTGGAGTACACTCCAATCTACACCGACGGACTGAGCTACGTGGACAGCACTGCAGGAAGAAGCGCACCGTGTGCTTTTGCGTCCCGATCAAGGCGTTGCACGGAAGCGATCGAGGAGACAGCCCGATGCAGCAGCTCACCGCGCGATCGTGCACGGTCATTTCGAAGTACACGGCTCGGTCACGGGGAATTGAATCGGTGGCGCGAACTGTGCGGTACAGCCCAGGCAACACCTACAAAGGAGCTGTCATCATACCCTCGATGGAGAACGTGCTCTCGACCTCACCTTGGTCACTGCGTGAGCACCGCAGCTGAGTTGCAGCTCAACGTGACAGTCGTGCCGGTTGAACTTGACGATGGTTAAGTGGGTGGAGCCCGTGAGGACGGCTGCTTGCTCAGCGCGAAGTTGATCGCGCACTTGGTACAGAACGTTTTGAGATAGCGAGGCAAGCGAGGATTGCCAATGTAGCCGAGCGGTGGGAGAGGCCGGCATCGATTGCGGCGATTTGAGAGTTGATGTGGCGGCATACGAGGCCGTGGACTGGAGTTGAATCTTGGCGTCGAAAGGTTTGAGATTGATGGGGTAGTGCATGGAGCGCTGAATGCGATGGTTCAGGGACGACGAGACTGGGATATCCTTCTCCGTGTAAGACAGCACAATTGCTGTAAACTTGTCGACTGGTGCTGGCTGCGACAACGACGACTCGTCTCCGCACGCTGTGGGTGGCGCGTAATAACGTGTTTGAATCCACACCAGGAGTCGGGATACACCTGGAACGTACGTCAAGTGCGTGTACAAGTAGTCATACGTGGACATAGCGAGGTCGTGTAGCCATGCCCACGCTATCATGAGATGCGTGAAGGAGTGAGGGATCGCAAGGTCGACGTACCCGACATCAAGATGGACGTGACGTTGGCTTCCTCATCTAGCGACGTGGAAGTAGATGAAAGGTATTGCTCCGCTTGGAGGAGGTTCCGGAGGTGTTGCTCGGCTTGGACAAGAATGTGAAGCGACGATTCCAGGTGGAGCCGTTCTTGGATCCCATGGAGCGCATGCACGAGTGCAATGCACACGACCAAGATCTACGACACAACGACACACGTGAGCTGAGTGACGACGATGCATGAGAGAAGATATGGAGTACATTGTGCTTGGCGTCATCGACACACGACAAGGACAGGTCCTTGCATCGCGCGACTGCCGTCGTCACGGCCGTGTACATGCTAATTTGCGAAACGCTTAACATGGAGTTCAACGACGTGGCGAAGAATATTCGATTTCACAGGTATTCGTCGTGGCGTCGTGCCCTTATATTTCCAGTAGTCATGAACTCATAGAAATTATCAAGTCATCGCAACTGGAGCGCGTTGATATTTTTCTTTGTCCTGTATCTATCGTGTACGATATGAAAGGGGTGAGGGTCGGCGAAAGCGAAGAGCAGGTCGACCAGGATGAGCGACTGCCCTCCATTCACACTTGCAACGATCCTTGCCGTTGGTCATGTAGCAGCGTCGAGTGTGGCCACGGCGAAAAACATTCGCATGACAAACCGTCAAGCTAGGCAGCACACGTTCCCCGAGCCGTCGCAACTCACATAGGTTGCAATTGAACGTCATCGCACGCTGCACAGGCCGCAAATGCGCCGCACACATGCCGATGCAATTGTACTCTGGCGTAGAGGCGGCACGATGGTTCGAAGTGACCGATACGCCAAGGCACAAGCACCAGGCCACGATTTTCTCGGCATGGTCTCAAACAACGGGTTTCCATGTGAAAAGGACGCCGCGGTTGACGAGAATGACGCTTTTTTACGACCATTTCACATTTCCCCACGTGCCAGCGGTAATTCGACCTGGCCTGAAAGCTTGACCTCGTGTCGTCGGATTTCGATCGAGGACAGCACCCTTCCCACCTCGTTCAGACCCAAGTCGAAGCCTTGGTCCTGTTGCTGCAATAATACTGTGCCGCCCACAGAATCCCCTTGCTGTTATGCCGTGAAGAATTATCCCGTGTTCGTGATCACGCTGACCGTTTTCCCCAGACATAAGAGGTGACCAGGCAAATTTAATGGTGGGAATTCTCTTTCCTCAGGCGAGTAAATTCGAAAGGGACGGAATTAATTGTGAGAGGTTTTCCCCTCGTTTGAATGGAGGCGAATTTAAATTTTCGAGCCTCGGCGGTCAACGAGCAAGATGGTGATGCAGCTCCTCGTACGGTGTCCCGAAGGCCAACAGTTCCTTACGATTACGGACCACCCTGCTGAGATGACGGTTGAGTCCTTGGCCAGGCAGATCTCCCGAGAGTCCAAGGTCGTGGGCGTCACGCTAGTCGGCGCGCCGGGACTTCAAAAGAAGTTTGGCAACGACTCAGGGGAGTCGTCGTATTTTGTGCTCCCAGGCTACGCCAAGGTGCAACATGTACTGAGCGAGCTCGATTTGGTGCACGTCCATCCCGAACACGTTTATACGGCAGCCGACTCGCGCAAATCGACGATGTCCACCACGACAAGCGACAACAACCAACCCAAGCGAAAGCAGCCACATCAGCCACACGACGAGGCCTCGAAGAAGGCCAAGATGACAACTCATGATAAAGCCCCCAAACTGGTGACTACCGGCACTGCACCCAAGCAATCTGGAGCTTCGAACGGTGGCAAGCCGCCTGCTCCCGCCACGGTCTCTACGACTGACCAGCCTGGAAAGACGAAGAAAAAGAAAAACAAGAACAAAAATGCGGACGCGGCGTCTGCTCCAACTGTGGCTGGTGCTGCCAAGAGCAGCGCCTCGATGATCGCAGAAGCCGCTGCTGCCAAGGCAATCTCTCCAGCTCCGAAGAAAACGACGGACGGAGCCACCTCACACCAAGACTACACATCCAAGAAGGCGAAAGCCAGCAAGACCACCGACGCTGCCAAGGAAACCAACAACGAAGGCTCTCCTCCCAAGAAGCAAGGAGCGATGCCTATCGTCGTGGAAACCCCTGCTGTGGACTCCACATCAACCGAAGATGCTCCAGAGGCTACCAAGGCAAAAAAGGCTTCGCCAACCAAGAACGCGACGGCTGAAGTCGCCAGCGCCGCAACTGAACCCGGTACCAAGCCCACCACAAAGAAGGCCAAACCCGCCGTTGACAACACGTCTCATGTCGAGGCCGAGGATGACCCTGCTGACGCGACATCAGAACCAAGGAAGGTGCATGCGAAAGCTGCATCGAAACCTAAACATGTCGAAGGCGCCACTACTGACGACGCTCCCCTTGCCAAAAAATCCAAAACGTCTGCGAAGCCAGGCGCTGCAAAGGAATCAACTCAAGCAGTAGACAAGGCTACTGATGGCGCCGATGAATCCGCTATCAAGAAGGCGAAGAAGGCCGTCGAGTCCGAGGCCGCTGCTAAAGCCAAGCATGCATCCACATCGTCTGAGGCGACGCCTGCCATCGTTGGCAAAACGACCGAAGAAGCTCCGGCACCCAAGAAGCGAGGGCGTCCTGCGTTTACCCCGGAACAGAAGGAAGAGGCGGCTCGCCTACGAGCTCTGGCCAAGGCTGCCGCGAAGACTGCAGCTCTCGCTGCTGTCGGTGACGCTTCGGACGATGATGTCCCGATCGTGAAGAAGACGAAACCCAGCAAGAAATCCGCAGCGGCGGATGATTCGAAGAAGAGCCCCAAGACGCCCGTCAAGAAGACAAACCCTGCGCCTTCAGCTGACGCCGGCAACACCACCGACACCGAACCGTTCAAATCTCCCCCCCGCAAGACCTCTGCAGCCCGCAAAGTCGTTGCGTCGACGCCTCCGCCGGCCAAACCGTCTACCGCAGCGGCACTAGCTCGTTTGGCGTCTCAAATGCCCGATTACTCGGACGACGACTCCGACCTAGAGATTACTACCAAGCCAAAACCGATGCCCAAGAAGACTGCCACGGACACGGACAAGGCCGTGCAGAAGAAGCGACCGAAGTCCAAGACCGCCGACGCCAGCGGCACCAAGAACTTGACGAAATCGACGGTGTTCGACTCGATTGCCCAAGCAAAGCGCCTCAGCATGAGCGGCGACTTGGAGCTGTCCAAGGCCGCGAACCCTTTCCAGAAGGCGAAGAAGGCTGCCAGCGGCGTGATTTCGCTCTAGAGTTTTTGTTCCGTGTGGAAAGTTGTGACGAATGCATTGAACAACCTTGTCATAAACACGAGAGACTTTTGTCGAGGGAGGACAAGTTTGCGATCGGTTTGGAGCCATTGGGATATTCAAAACGTTGATCTCGTCGGTGCTGTTGAAATAAAAAGATCGGAAACTCGAAATGGGAAATACAATTCAATTGCCAAACTCGAGTGCACTTGCACGATCGGGTTTTTCGGCCATTTTCGATGTGAATTTGATGAAGAATTATTGTACAACGAGGTCATGTTTTTGTTCAGCTCCAATTCGCAAACTGCTTCATCGCTGCATTCAAACGAGATACAAAATGCATGATATACACATTTTCTTACATTGTCACTATGGGAATACTATATCCACTCCAAAGTAATTTTACTATGTTATACTAGTAAACGGTTCGCAAACAACATTGCAATACATATTTCAAGAAGTGAACAAAACTTCGCTCATTTTTTTCCTTTCTTCTTCTGGGTGGCAGAGGCATAATGATCACACTTTGCGAGCGACAAACTCCAGCTCCACGACGACCATCTGGTGTACCTTGGAAGTGGCAGCATTTCCGCTCGGCTCGTTCGATGTCAGCCACAATTCCACACCAAGGCCATAACTGCATAGCGCTGTCGCCAGACATGGACTTCAACTTAATGTACATAAACAATGACGTCCTCTTTAGGTGCTTCTCGCAACGATGGCAACAGTTTCACCGTTTATGGCGAGGTTCGTTGCCGCCACGACGTCGGCTATCGATGGTTTTACGTACAAAGATGACTATAATCGCGTCAAAGTGCACGAAATGTACTTCGTGTGGTTTTGATGGTACATTCGCCATTTTGTGAAAACTATAGTCATATCCGAAAAAAATCTTTCCCTCCACCTCCGAGATGTCCTTGCAATGGTAGAGACAACAGCCGCAGCGAAATTAATTACGTTCGCGATCTTGATGGATTACCTTGTTGTTAGCACAACTCTATTCGAGTTCGATTGGAAATTGTCAATAGCCAAAGGGTTAAATGCTTTTCATTCGGTTGAGCGACAGGAAAATACAGACGATCAACTTGGCAAATAATTGGCAACATAAATAGAATATTTTGATTGGCTGAATCCATTTTGATCGATTTACTTGGACTGGTGCTCGCCGATAACATGAATTAAATTTGCACCCATCGGACATGTGAAACAACTCACACGACGTCGTTGTTGACCATGGTTTCACGAGGCGGAGTGTGCAGCCCTGTCGACAACCCAGAGCGCATGATTGCTTTGACTAGAGTAGCCGGCACTTGGTCCTTCGCAGGAGTCGACCAAGGTTAGTGTCAAGAGCCGTGCGTGACGACGTCAGTGTCATGCAGACCGGGACAGACTCGGTGGAATCGCACGCACTAGTCACACGAGGGGACTGTTCGCCTGCTATTTCCCCACAAGTCGTCGCATTGGCGATTGCAGGGTCTATCGAGGGGCTGAAAGAGTCGGAGGGGGGCGGGAAGGCCGGAGGCGCGACGAGGATTTTTTGATCACCATGCGAAGCACCCTGTCCATTCCTTCCAGGTTTCGTTGTCGGCTATAGAAATTCGTCCACTCCATCGATTGTCGCTTGAATCGTGGCCACACGTCTTCGCACAGCGCCACGAGCAGCGCCACCTGAAACTCGTCAAAGAACGACGTGGGCATGACGTTCCCGACAATATCCGCGTCTTGCCGCAACCAGCTCTCGAGCCTAGCCACGTAAATCGGTCCCCATACCGTCGAAGTCGGACATGCCAACGCGCATTGCGGTGACAAGCACGTCGCGACCAACGTTTGCGGCGACACAAGTCGTTGCTTGAATTGCTCGACAAGTTGCCAAGCTCGAATTTCTTCGGTGCGAAAATCGCGCTGGCAGAACGCGAGAAACGTCGACTGGCCCTGGCGCGATTGCAAATAGTGATCGAGATCGTCGACATGGAAGTGGCGTTTCTTGAACGTGATGGTGGCGAGCCGCGACGGCGGCGCGCTCGTTTGAACGGACGTTGCCAGGTGCCGCAGCGGCACGGTAATGTTGAAGTAAAACACATACTGCACCATGAGGGTGAACAGGATGTTGCGAACATGGAATTCTTGGCCGAGAGGCATGGCCAGCACCAACTCGAGGCCACCATGGACCAAACCCACGACGACGAGGAACATGGTCGTGCGATTTGTTCGCCGATACTTGGATTGAAAGCCCAAGTTGTCCATGTAGGGCGGCATGTGCCTGGCCATCCAAAGACTGAGCACCGACCCGACCACCCCAGTCACACCTGTCCATGCCAGCAAGATCTACAACGTTCAGCACGGCGCCAACGGTCAAGGGCAGGAGTAGTGAGCGGAACGGTATGTACCATATTCAGCTGTTTCCTCTCGGAAACTTCATTGTGTGTAAAGCCAAGGACGACGCAGCATGGCACGATCAAGATCGAGCCAAAACCAGCAACGGCCCGTAGCTGCACCTTCGGGTACAGCAGCCACCGGTAAAGCGTGAGCCGGGCGACTTGGTCGGGTGTAAAATGCGTCTGGTTCACGACCAGGTCGGTGATTTTGAACATGATAGTAGCGGCCACCGCGCTCAGCACGTACGATATCCTACGGCCAGCCATTGCAATTCGACTCGAGAAAATACCTGTGAACGCACAACCACGTACCCTGCAAAGACTGGAAAGATGTAGCCACATATGACGTGGAGCGCCGATAGCTCCTCGGGCGAAAAGATGCGAACGAGGGGCGCGGTCAAGCAGAACAGCGTGCAGAAGAGTCCTGTCGACGCCACCAGGTACGGCTGACAGTACTTGATCGGGGCGACGTGCATGTTGACCACGTAAATGTACAACACGGCTGGCATGTGCAGGTACGCACACCAGCACAAACCGAACGGAAGAGAGACCACCCACGACAACGCCATGGCGTTTGCGCCAATGACGCTGACTACCTCCCGTCCACGTCGTTTGAGAAAGGCTCCAACTAATTTTAGGCGATGGAGTTTCATGTCTAGCCGTGGTTTTCGTCGTGAAAGTGGTTCGGGCGGGGGATATGGCTGACGCGAGTTGTCGCTTAGCCGTGCAGTCCCTCTCAGGTGCTTAAACATCGATGGGGAATCACACGAACCAAGACAATTTGTGACTAGCTGACGCACGGGACTGTGTTTGCTCGCTCGATGCGTCGTTTAGCGTCAGTTTGGCTTAAATGAGCTGGCATGACGCATCACGTCCCACAGCTGCACACGTTCCTGACGTGGCTGGCATCGACAACTTGACGCACGAGCTGATAAAAGTTTGTGTCCATTTCTGGTCATGGCATCTCTGAATGCACGAATCACATGGACGGACCTGGCAGCCAACGTCAAGGCCGTTGGAGGTGTCGCTCAATCAAATGTCTACCCTGCAGCAGCTCGTCGCGGCGTCGGAGTTGCCCTTGTGTCTTCAAGCACATGTTGTGTACCAGAGCAGCCGACCTTTTCACGATTCGGCGTCCGTTGCTGACTTGGTCCACAACTGCGTTCATTGCAGGGCGCATTTAGGGCCCCTGCGCGAAGTTGAGCGGAGAGACTCTGTTGCCGCGCCCCCTTCAAGCGTCAGGTCGAGTGTGTGGGTCAGTCGTACGAGACCGCCCTCTTGACCTTCGACACGTTTGCGTTGTCGTGCCATTAGCGTACAAATGAGCTAGATCTCGTCGACCGAGGGTTTGTGTGCCTGTTTGTCGTGTGCGCATTTTGCCACAGCTTGAACTCGCCGCGGATTCTCGTCGTCCACTACTCCCTCGTCAAGATCGAGGGGCTCCAGTCTGGAGCAGCAACAACCTGAGCTCTTCCTCATGCCGTGTTTCTTTCCGGTTCTAGCGATGTGTGGGTATCCGACGTGCGCTTGGAGATTGATCTCCGGCATGTTGCAAATCAAGCCTCCCCCCGGCCTCGCCAACGTACGATCGACGCGAGTTCACTGCGCCGTCTCCAAGACAGTATTGCCCAGTCGTGGGCCAACCTCACGTGCTTGCTGTGGATCACTCGTCCCCTTCTCGGCCGTCCCCCCTTCGCCAACTCCGTCACTTTCACGGCATGTGTCTGCAATGCAACCACAAAACGACATGCCGCATCATGGCTGCCGCGTTGTCGTCAGGTTTGAGCTAGAGCAGCTGGATATATCGGATTCGCAGTGGTCGTGAGCATCGACGACCGCAACGTCACTGTGGTGGTAGCATCGAATCCGCAATCGTCGACGCCGGTTTGGGTACATTGCGTTCGTGGCATTGTCCTCAACGACACCCCCGCGTGCCACGAGCTGATCGATGCAAATTTTTTTTGCGACCCGTGGGTCCATGGCGCGCCTTCGTCCCATGCGATCCCGTTTTGCGATCACGCGGGCTTCACTCCTGTGACTAGCTTGACCTGGGTGTACCAGTTTGGACGAGACCTGGCCAAAACGTCGTAAGTCCGTTCGTTTCATCGCCAGCACAATCGCCGCCTCGAAGAATGCGAGGCGAATTCACCAGCACTAGCATCTAATGCATCGAGCTCATGGAGCCGCCGTGGGGGACGTTTTTGTCGTGGGACAGAATTTTTTTTGCGTTTGTGCAAGCCATCGCGGGGGCCGCGGGGAATGCCGTCCAGCATCTCAAAAAGAGAGACGTGTCATGCGCGGCGAGCAGCCATCGGACGAACAGACCTTGAGTCCTGACCAAGCAAATAAATGCTTGTGCAACTGCATTGCCCACTTGGACATGTAGGTCCTGGACGTCAATGTCACGTGTGGTGTCCCGGCGGCTACGATTTGACGGCGGGCAAAAGCAGGATAAAAGTGGCCCGGCGTTCTTTCGATACCACATCATCGTTTGTAGCCTGTGGGCGAGAACACGTGAGAGATGCACACTGTCTCAGGGGGATATGTGTGAAAGCGAGCTTGGTCAAGTTGAGAGCACAAAAATGCTTGAGCTGAACAAAGGGGAATGCTCCCCGCCTCGGCATGCCGTTGAGACTTCGGTGCTGAACAGTCCGAGCGTTTGACTCGACCGACGGCATGTCCACCGTCTTTGCAGAACCTTTCATCCAACTTCACAGCCCATACTTGTTGACATTTCTCGTAGGTTATGGGGGGGACGGCCGGCCATGACAGTGTGCACGAAATGCATTTGGTTTGAACGAGTCAAGGACGCATATGAGCAATTTTGTTTGCAGGCATGGCGCCCTAAGTTAGCGACGACAGGATCCGAATCGTCGTCGTCGCTGGCGTGCGATGGACTCGACGCCTGTCAGATATTCCCATCGGGAAATTCGTGCCGATGTTTGCTTCTCTCGCGGGATGTGATTCCAATGGACCACTGACAACGACAGCGCCATCATCTCGGACGTACTTAGTTCCCTTGTCGATTGCGAATGGCGCAGAGACCGATACCACCTGCCCTCGATGCCGCGACTTGCGATGGTGGAGAAAGCGGGGTAATCTCCAACCCATTGAGACGCTGGTGGTGTGCACGAGGTTGAGCGGTGCCGTCCAGCCAACAACCAGCTCCACCGGCTGCCAACATGTTGCATTTGAATCGTGGACGTGTGCCGCTATCATCGCGGGGAACGTGTTGATATCTCCTTGAGAGGGCTCGAGGCGACTTGACTGCGAGAGAACCCACCAAGATGTGAAGGCATCATCAAGCCGTTTGGAATCACGGGGACCGATGTTGTCATGGCCGTGAAGACATTGTTGACTTCGACAAACTCGAATGAAACACCACGATGCTGTCGGGATGGCCTCCAACGACCGCACGCAAACGACCGACGGGGGCGGATCGCTCGACCTGAACTCAATGTACATGCCTGTGCCGCGTTCGCATCTTACGCAACGTTACCGCGCATCGTTCGACTTGCAAGCAGACTCCATGGAAGAGGGTCATGTTGTTTTTTCGACGACTTCCAGCTACCGCAGTTCGAAGACCCGTGGCCACGATTCAAGCAGCAATCCATCGAGGGGGCACATTTCGACCTGACGAGGAAGGGGCACCGTTCTTCGCAAGGTGGTCCAACACAACGAGTTGGTATTCCCCGTTGGGCTTGACGCCACCATGCCGTCCGCAGATTGGATCCCCGTGGCGCATGGCACAAAGGGCACCGTTGCCTCTGCAGGATTCTGCGCAGTGTTGTTGCTAAAGGAGGAAGCGGCGCCTTCGTGGCGATGACTTCTGCTACGACGACTGGTCCTTGGCAAAACGATATTACCGAGCAACTCCATGTGGTAGGGGAAAAACAACAAACTTCGTTCGCGACGTGAAATAACCTTCGAGTCATGAGCCCAGGCGAGAGCAAGGGTTTCAATTGGGATATCCCATCGTCAAAGTATACGCCATAGTGTGATGATACCATGGGCATGTACTTCCCGTCTACAGTGTCCACACCGGCGGTGGCGGCCTGCTAGGCCACACAGCGGCTCTCAGTGGCATTCCCAAGGAGTCCAGCACGGTGTTTTTCATTTTGCCCGGCTCAAGCATTTGAAGTGTGCGCTCACAATGCTGCTGGCGAGTTGTCCTGGTGACCATGTCTGTGTATGACATATCCCCCGCGCTACTACGTACAGAGTGGCGTTGCATGAAGGCTCGTGCTCCGCGTCCGTGGCCATGACCTCAAAAGCCAGGACGACGACGTAGTTGACATTCCAACTCGTGCCGAACGACGCTAGGCCATCAACACGTACGACCTCATGGGCCAAAATGTCCTTGCGCTTCAAATCGCGAAGTTGATGGTGGAGTGGCCCTCTGGCGGATGTGGTGGACGCGCGCTTGCACCCGTGGTCCGTCCGTGATTGTACTACCTGCACGCGCGTCGCGCAACACGGCTGGGAATAGAGTTGGCTAACCCACATCCTGGCGGCGTGTTGCGGGAAGCCCTGCCTGCTAGACGATTCCATTTCGACCATTGTATCATCTCGAGCGCAAGCCCTGGAACTGAACTCAATGTCAAAGCATGAACGAAGCAGTGAAGACACCATACTTCCGATGGAATCCTTCCCTTGCCATCACAACGTAGCCGCCACTCGTCATGGCGACGTGTGAAGGATGGAGGGAACAAATGTCAAGAGCGCGGCACACCCCCGTGTCGAATAATACGAGTCTCGTCCGCTGAAGCCAGTTGGACATGGGGAAACGTATATTTCCGCAGCTTGCAAGCATGTGAAGCGCCTGAGCGTTGACGTTGTGTTGTCATGCCGGTGCATCCACGAAGTTGGCAGGGTCTGCGCCATCGGTCTCTTGTGGTAGCATGTTGGCCACGAAACATCTAGGGTATTTTGACGACATGGCGGTCAACAGCCGAGCATGAATACATTTTCGTTGCAAACACCATGTAGCGCGCAACGCGATGCGTTGAGGAAATGACCGTTAGAATCGAGCGCTGAAAATGCAGCGATCACACGCTTGCGCGACTCCTCGTCCAGCCCTGTACGAAAGAAGGTGTCGTCGAGGCAGCGTTGTGAACCATTTGTTGCGTGATGAAGAGGGTACATCTCGATTGAATGTCTACTTCTTCTTTTGCGAGCGCTTACCAGCACCCTTCTTGGGAGGTCCACGGCCTTGCTGCTTGAGGGTCGCGTTCGTGTCGAGTCGGTACTGGTTGAGCTTTTGGTAGTATTCCGAGTACCCGCCCATGCCCATCACGAGCGGCTTGTTGAACCAAGATACAACCTTGTCACCCTTCAACTGTGCGCTGATAATCTTGTTCCCTGACTTGATGTTGTTCTGCGGCAGCCGCTCAAAGATCTTGCGGCTCAAGTCGGCCAACTGCTTGGCTGTCGTCGACATGGCGGCAGCGCGGCGGAAACACAGGTTTGGTTTGGGCCAGTCATGCCCCCAGGCAGCGATTGCAAGTTATGTATTCCTCGAATTGCACAGAATATATGCACTTTAAAATTTTGCTTATCTATGTTCTATATTATGTTTAATTTGAAGTTATTTCAAAAATACTTCTTAGCTCCTGTACAGTGTGAGAGGAGGGAGGCGGACCAAGTCGTTACAAAGCCTTGTATACGAGGAGGGAAGACAAGTGTTTGCTATTTTTATTGAGAATGTTTACAAATATACAGATATTAATTACAGCACGCGTTTTTGCGGGTTTAGTCGATGTGAACAATTTCGCATTTGAACGACTTCGTCGACGTGCTCCATCATGTGCCATTCATGCGTGTGTAAGATCGGTCCGTCGATGCTGGCGTCGGACTTGTCCTGCTTGAAGGACGAAGCGCTAAAGGTGGTGGCTGCCGGTGCGGACTACCTCCATCTTGACGTCATGGATGGCCATTTTGTGCCCAACATTACGTGGGGGGCGCCAGTGATCAAGAGCTTACGCAAGCATACGACTGCTTTCTTTGACGTGCACATGATGGTGTCTGAGCCAGAAAAGTGGGTCGACGACATCAAAGATGCTGGTGGCGATCAGTTTACTTTCCACTTGGAATCGACGTCCGACCCTGAAGCCCTGATTCGTCAAATCCGCGCTGCAGGTACGTCGTATGCCCAGGCCTGTTTTTCTTGGTCTCACACTGCAACCACAGGCATGAAGGTTGGCGTGGCACTGAAGCCCGGAACTGCCGTGGAGAGTGTATTGCCTCTCGTCTCACTGGTTGATATGGTGCTCGTGATGACTGTGGAACCAGGCTTTGGAGGCCAATCCTTCATGGCCGACATGATGCCCAAAGTGTCGTTCCTGCGTGAACGCTTCCCCACGCTGGACATTGAGGTTGACGGCGGCCTTGGTCCTTCCACCATTGACGTTGCTGCCAAAGCTGGCGCAAATATGATTGTCGCGGGGAGTTCAGTCTTCAAAGCCACTTCTCCTGCCGACGTCATAGGTCTCATGCGGTGCAGCGTTGAAGTTCATGGAAACGGCAAAACTGCTTAGTAATACTACACTCTCTGCCAGTCTATTGTTTTCTGTTACCTTTTGCAATTCGTCCTGCCAATTTAAAGATATAGACCTCCCTCGATCCAAAAAAATTGATGTAGTAGTACTACTATCCAGTCACTTTCATTACTGGGATCCGAAATGCCAAGATTGTTGCGGAGGAGCGTGGCGACAACGGCCGCCAAGAATGCCGCAGTTCGTGTGTTTGCACCGCACTGGGGAAGTGCACATCTCCCCCAAGGTGACTTTATCGCGCAGGTGGCAAACGCTGGCTTCGACGGGATTGAGATGTCATTGCCATTGGATCCTCGCGAGCGAAACCAGTGGACTCGACGAATTCGCGATGCTGGATTAGAGCTCATTGCCCAGCAGTGGGAGACAGCGATGGTGTCCAACTTCCACGAACACAAGGCGGCCTTGGAATCGTATCTACGCAATGCAGCGGCAGCGTCTCCGCTGTTCATCAACACCCACACGGGCAAAGACTTTTACACGTTTCACCAAAACTGCCAGCTCTTGGAGCTTTCGATGCAGATCTCCAACGACACTGGTACGAATTCCTGCAATGTACTTGTCGCTCGCTCATGCAATGTTTGTAGGGATCCGCATTGTGCACGAGATTCACCGAAGTCGCTTCAATGGCCACCCGATGCTCCTGCTGCCATACTTGGAAAAATTCCCCGACCTCGAACTCAATGCTGATCTTTCTCACTGGTGTGTGGCATGTGAATCATTGCTGGAGGATCAACAAGAGATGCTCGAGAGCGTCGTGTTCCCCCGTGTCCGTCACATCCATGCGCGCGTGGGCCATGCTGAAGGCCCGCAAGTGACCGATTTCCGCGCACCCGAACACAAGGAAGCGTATGAGCGGCATCTTGCTTGGTGGGACGCCATTATTCATTCGGGCAATACGACCACAATCACACCTGAATTCGGCCCGGCACCTTACACGCCCACTCTGCCTTACACGAACCAGGTCGTGAGCGACCCTTGGAAACTAAACGTTGCTATGCGAGACATTCTCAAGCTGCGTTATGAAGAGCTTCAACCATATTTGTGATACTTTGTGGGGTCGCCGTGGAGAACGAACATTTGGAGAGCTGGCACTCGGCCCAAACAACTTACCAATGCATGCTATCCTATGGTGAAAGGGTTTGCGCCATGTCGGCGAACACCACGAAGTAGTGCACGGGGGCTTCGAGAATATTTGGTTTATCACTGAAACGCGGTGGAGTCAGGGGTTGAATCATGCGTCTAAAACCAGTGCATGAAGTGCACAAATTAGCTTGAAAAGTGTTTAGAACCACCGCGCATCTTGGGCGCTGTGGATCCAAGCCCAGTAGGCGGGTAGACCAGGCCATAGACTGCGATGGTTGCTGCAGAGCGCGTTTCGAAGCGCGGTGGCTCGCCAAACGCGGTCAACTTCTCAAGTCGCTATCTTTTTTCCAGATTTTCATGCGATCGATTATTCATGTCAATTGTCGAGGTTCCGGATACACGTACGGATACGGAAAATACCAATTGGTTGGTGTGCCATTCCCGGGAACCTATTTTGGGCATGGCATCACTGTGGATATCTGGTCGAAGCGAGCACGATGACAAAGCACGACTCATCGGTGCAGCGCTTTAATGTGAAGAAGGTCAAGCTGCACAGAAAGAAGCGTGTGGAGGCCAAGAACCAGAAGAAGGTATTCATCCAAGCCAAAGGCGACAAGAAAACGGTCGGCAAGCCACCTCCGTCCAAGAAGAAGATTCGCCGCGACACCAAACGCGCCAAGCACAACGCCAAGTATGAACAGGAGCGACTTGTGGCAAGTGGATTGGTGACGAAGGAAGACATTGAGAAGCTGCAGGCAGCCGAAAACGACGACGAGAACGACGACATTGCCGAATAAATCGTTGAGAGTGCTGACGACTTCGATAACATTTATATATTCTATCCCTGTGCCGCGTCGACGTCCAGAGTGCGACATGTTTGCCACGCTACCCTGCGCTCGTCCCTCCTGCCTCCAACACAAGCAGGTCCTAGGAATGACAATGGAATTGTTTTGGAATGGACCAAACGGGTCTCCCTTGCATGCTTTTCACAACAGAACGACAAAATCCTTGGGGGTGATGGAGGGTGGCCATCGTGGGAACGGGACCGGTGTAGTGTGCACGATTGGAGAGCTCCGTGAATTTGAATGAAGCCAAGGACAACTGTATCCAAATAGAAAGGCCCACACGGCGTGCAATCTGCGAGCCGATTTACTTCAACATGACCAGGTTGACGACATTCACTAGGAAATGTGGTAGTTGCACCAAACGTCACAGTGCCCTTGGCGCAGCCGATCCATCAGTGTTGTTCCCATAACTTAATTAAATAACTCTTGAGCCTAACTGCAGTGGTCGCGTCAACCCTGTTGCTGCCTTCGCTGGAGGGCCTGCCATGCCTCCTCATGTGCCTTCAGGGACATCGCGACATCACTGCTACTGGGATCGTCCGTAAATTGGTCCCAAAACAGACCGCACGAACTCGCCACTGGGTCTGCTCGTCGCGGCGACAGTCTGATTGAGTGACGAGGACGCAGAGGCGGTGGATCGTCTCGAGGCCGCTTGGTATTCCGTGTCGGCGTCGTCGGGAACGCCATGTCGACTTCATCCGCGACAATCGAGCGGAAACAATCATCACTGTCCGTGACACGGATCGAGGCATGCTGCAAGATGCGTCTGCGTGCGACAAACACCCACCGTCAGCCGAAACCACCGAGAAAGGGCTATGTACACGACACGGCGTACCGTGTGAGGACGCGGTGGTGTGGGCCGTCGAGGCGGGTGATAAAGTCTGGTGGCGACTGTGGCTCCATGGTCGGATGGGCGTGGTAGGTCATCGATCGTGGCGGTCGCGCTGGTCGTTGCTGTGCTGACTCCACAGAGATTATGAAGCCGCGAGATCGTGGTTCGTTTCAAGATCTTTGCCACCTTCGATATTGCGAGGGGGCGTTCGATATTTTGGCGAGTTGGTTGTCGCGGCGAGGTGGCCGCCGACACGCTCGAAAATTGAAATTTCGAATCCGAGAGAGGTCGGATTATTTTGACTGTAATGCAGTCAAAATATAAAATTCGCATGGATCGATATGGGACAAGTCAAAATACCCCTCGCTATTTTGCCCTTCAATTGCACACTGGAGATATATTTGGACTCGAACTAGATGGACAGTGGCATGCCGTCAGGAGGAGGATGCACGGGCGACGAACTTTCAGCGCGCGTTGGAGGGATATAAACTTTATGCATTTCAACGGCTACAAAGCAGTGAGGGGTTCAAAGGGACGCGCCTGTTGTGGCGACGAGCGCTTCCTGAGTTCCGTTTTGTTGGCTGAGCAGGCACGGCTTTCGTGTCGTGGATTTTGTTGGCTTCGCCCTGGTCACCGAATCCAGAAGGGGGCAGTCGACAATGTTATGCTGGAGCCACGAGTGCCCTCAGCACGAGAAACCCAACGTGTTGTTCATGGCACTGGCTTCAATGGTGACAACTGGTTGTCCTGGGAGGACGCCTCCATGCACGATGCGATCCAAATTCCAAGAGCGGCGTCGACCCAATCGCCTGGCATGGGAAAGATATTGCACATGGTTAGATTACATGTAAATACGGCGATGTTGGATTTCTATGTGTTGGGTCTACTTCAACTCGACGCGGTCGACGAGTCCGTGCAGCATGGCTTTCATTTCTTGTAGCACCGTCAGGACTTGCGGAATGCCACGAACTGCAAGCTTGTCGTGGTTGGCGTCGTTGTCCGACGAAAGCGCCAATAGATGGGTTGCATGGAGCACGCGGAAGCGGGCGGGAAGAAATGCCGCCGGCTTCCATCGCACGGCCACCACTTCTTGGTTGACAAAGAAGAGGGCCAGGTGGTCGAAGCGCGCATGGAGCGCCGAGAGAACGTCTTCCAGGGGGTGGAGGCCCACAAAAAGCTGGCCAAACGGATTGGATTGTTTGAGATTTTTGTAAAATGGAATTGCAAATCGACCCTTCGCCGACGGAAACACGTCCTTGTTGCCCAAATGCGCCAAGTGGAACACCACGTCGTAATCCATCACGTGAGCAAAGCACGCTTGCCACCCATGGGGCGCCGCGCCTAGAATTCAACGCCAAACGAGGGGTTTAGTTTTGCATACTCGATCACGAAGACGACGTACCGTGGGCTAGCCAATGCGTCCATTGCGCTGACGTAGCCTTTGCCAGTGACACTAACCGCTGGGCGAGCACCGGTTCATGCACGTGGCGCGTCCAAAAGGACGTCTTGGGCGCTGTTTCGTACGATGCCGCAATGTACAAGGCAGGGTGGGTGCTTGGACTGCTGCGGGACGCCGTGAATTGCTTTTGGATATCTCGGCGGTCATCTTCGGTGAAGTGTTGGTGCAGATCCACGATCAAGGGCTGCGTGTTCCAGTCGAAGCGAGCAACCAAGTGCAGCACACGGGTAAAACCCGAGAGCACAGACTGAGGGGGCGCAGGCGACAGAAACACAGACGCCACGAGGAGTTCACTGCTTTCAAGCGGGAGAAGGGACGTAGCCAAGTGGGCATCTAGCCACTTCATCCACAAACGAACGGTTGGGGCGAATGCAGAGTGCTGAGTGCTGACGGCGTGGATCATCTTTGCGTGGAGGGCGCCGTAGTGCAGCGCGTAGAAGTGGGAGTGGGGCCAGTTCTTTTCGCGCTCGGTGACAATCACGACGCGAAAGGGGAAGCCTCCCACGAGGATGTCCATGCCGTGTTCGTGAACTTCGCATGCGCCGAATTTTTCCAGGGCCAGAGCGATTTGGACGTAAAACCCGAGCTTGGCGTTCGCAACGGCATCGGGAGTCGTCGGCCACGACGAGCTCGTTTCAAATTGCATCACGACCGTGTACGGCTCAAGGGTTGTCGTGACGAACTTGGCGCCTTGGGGGGGCGCCACGTCCGAGTTGCCGGCGAGGGGATGTGGTGTGGGAGGGTCTGCGGCCGTGCGGCGCAGCGCCGGAGCAATCAACTGAAGGTCCACGACCTTCAACGGGAGGATTGTGTCGTCCAAGTCACGAAGCTTCGACTGTAGTGCTGTCCACGTGCGAAGGAGAGGGTTGATGGAGTAGTCGACTTCGTTCCACGTTTGGTTGGACGACACAATCGCGCGTCCGTCGACGGTAGCGTCGTCAAAATGAAGCGGCAGGATCGTGTGTACGATTTGCGACACAATTTGCGACGGCGGGACGTCATCCCACACGACCGCTTCCACAATCGATCCGTCTTTGAATCGTCGCAGCTCTGCCTTGGTCTTCCAGAACGCGCGAAAGGCCGCGGCATCGACGGCGTTGTCTGCTTCCGGCCCTTTGTCCACGATGCGATGAGCATTGTCGGGGTTCACACCAAGTCCGATTACGACCTTGTGAATCGATGGAGGGGTTTCCGTCAGTGCCCACGTCGTTGCCGACGGTTTGATGGCCACTGGTCGAATGCGATGGACGCGGTCGCCCAGCGCCTTCGCCACCACCCGCTCTAGGTCGTTGGGCAGTGCCAGGTCGCCGGGAATCTCCACATTCTGAACCACGCTAGTCGACACGGGCACCCAAATGTACTCGTCGTACCGAGTCCAGAACGAGTGGCGGTCGATAAAGATAAATTGAAAGGCTTCCGCCGTCGCCTTCGGCAGCACTTGGATGGACTGCTGCGCCAACCACTGGAGCTCGCGCCACCCCGTCCGGGAGACACGACTGACGACGTTGACTCGACCGCTGGGGTCGAGGAATACAACGTCAAATGCACGTTGGAAGGCAGCAACGCCCGCTGGTGTCGGCATCACAACGATATCTTCATCTAAACCATCCATATCTTTGGAAGACGCCGCGGGAAAGACTAGCGCGGTGGTTGCCAAGTCCGTGGTCGCGACAAACTGGAGCCAGATCTTCACCATTGCATCGGCTGGAGTCGAATACGAAAATTTCCCGGATCGAATCAAGTACAGCATCAGCATGGTCGCTTGGAACCCGTTGAGCGCGTCCGGCGCACATGTCGTCGCCTGCCGTTGTCGCAGCCACACTTTGATGAGAATGCATGCCTGGACAAACGATTCGGACTGGGCAGCAACGGCATGCAGCGCTCGAAAGTGGCTGAGTAACGCCATGTCTTCAAGCACTGAGTTGTTGTACACGGGCGTGGCGTCGAGCGGCGGGTCATGTCGGAGGTTGCTCTTGCCTGGATGGAGCTTTGAAACGGGGAATTTGCACTGAAACGACACCACCGGGATCAACTGCACCACGACTTGCGTTTTCTTTATCGGAGGAAGATGGAGGCGCAGGATGGGTTTGGATGTATCGCCAGCGAACGGCGCCACCGACACACCGGTCCACGGCAGTTGCTTGGACGTCTTGCCCTTGGGTGGTGTCTGCAGATGCGACGCGAGGACGCCAAGGTACATGTTTCGCTTGTCGTGATATCGGTAGTTGGTAAAGTCTTTCGGAACAAAGCATTCGTCGGGGAGGTGGATCGCAACGTCGATTGTGAAGGTGTGGTCGAGGAGGATGCCATGGCGCAACGAGTAGCTCCCGACGACGTCGAGGCGAGCTGGTGGGTGAAACGGAAGCACAACTTCCTTGTGGTGGTGGTGGACGACCAAACCAGGCATGTTGAGCGCCTGGGATGTGACTTGTTGCTCTGGAATCGCATCCAATGCCTCTTTCAGCGCAAACAACACTGCATTCACCGAAGAGAACGACGAGTAGTCAATCGTGACTTCCTCCAGCAGCTGGTCAACCTGGAGCTTGAAGAAGTTGGACTGGAACACACTGCTCTGGTCTGCTGCATGCAGCTGCCGCATTTCGTCGGTCGTCGGAAGCGCATACTTGCTCATCGTCGGTTGGTACCCTGGCTTGGACACGATCGATCTTACGCCTTCAACTCCGCCAACCATCTCCAACGCCTCCAATAATTTATACCCTTTCGAAAATCTGATACTTTCCGGATAAATGATCAAGAGCGTCATCAACGGCGCGCCAAAGCCTCCTCGCCCGGCCACGAGATCGAGCCGTCCACGAGCTTTAGATTGTTTCCATGGCACAGCGTCAAGAAGCAGCGCCAATGCACGGTGCCCCGTTGTTCAGTATCGAGCTCGTAGCCTACGAGGGACATGACCCCGACAAGTTGCATGCACATGCAGGGACTGCATTCAAAGTCGAATTGCTACGTTCGAGAGCACCGGACGAGGAAAAGAAGCACTTCGCGTTGGAGGAACGGCCTCCACTTATTCCCCCGTGCACTCCATTGTCATTGTCATGTTGACCTGGTTCGGTTCAACGGATCAAAGTCCCGTGGGTTGTTGGTGGGAAAATACTGCGATTGGATTGGATAAAATGCCGCCAATCACGGGTCTGGAATTCCCGCGAGCGACCTCTGGGCCTTGTCGCAAGTGCCCATTTTGACAGTCGCCACCACAGAACGAAATGTCCACGTCCCCGACCGCGGTGGACTCGCCCTCGATGTACGAGTCGTCAACGTATCCTCCAGACGGCCTGTGGCTGCCTGCATGGTCCTGTCCTACGGCAGATGCCACGGCCCATTCGCAGCAGCGAATTGTCATTGTGCGGCGAAATGGTGACGTTGTGCATGCCATCCCGTTCCCTGACCCGCCGGCTTCCTCTGAGGAGGTCATGCAGTCATTGAACCAGCATTGCGATCTGTATTATGGAGTTTCGCACCCGCATTCGTAATTGGCAGTACGCGCCACATGCCGACCAACAACTGCCACATGCCTGCATATTCCCGGCACAATCCATCGCATCCCCGTGGTCCTGCGCAGTGTCATGCTTACCTGACATCAGCCACCTCCACCGCACGGCCACAGCATTTGCATGCTTGTACAAGACTCGGCACGTTTATATCGGACCTGCCTGCGCTCTTGGGTATGGACGTCTCAAGTGTAGCCACGAGCTTAATTCCATCCTAACGATCACCTTTTGCCCCTCCTGGCGATTGTAAGCATCCTCAGCACCACGTGGGAGTCTCCTAGGCGATAGTATCCATCTTTCCGAGCGCTCCTGGCACATCGTATGACCGTTGAGACTTCGCCCGAGTTCACATTGCAACTGCGAAACGATGGCTGGCATCGTCAGCACCTGGACGGGGTTGCTTCAACTGCTCATGCAGGTCTGTCTTGGACAAGCTACATGCATGCAGCTCCGCATCAAGAGACTTGCGATGCCCACAACAAATTGACAAGGACAATTGAATTCATTCCGAGTTGAGCTGCGACGGCAAATGCTGTTGACGAACAAGACTGTCACCCTCGACGTCGCCGATTCGAAGAGTCTGCATCTGGGGCGTCCTGAGCTTCTGCAGACACATACTCCAGTGCCACACCTCGCTCTTGTCCACCTAAAACGTACTTGACGTCGACGGTTCCATCTACATCCGCACGGGTCAGACGACTGTCGTCGTGGAAAATTCCACCAGTTGAATGCGGTACCTGCGTTTACAGACTTCACAAACCCCGCGCCCCCCAACTTGTTCATTCCACGAAAAGTTCGTGCAGCCACGTGAACGACTTGGCCCACGGTCAACGGACATGGACGGGAACCGGCGCCATCGATTTGTTGGGGCGTTGTCGCCGCTGGACTCGCAGCAGTGGTCTCCACTTTAACCAGTTGCAATTTGGTCTGGACCATCGTTTTTTTGCCAGCAGCCGTCGCTGGCGCCTTTCGCGCAGCAACCACGGGAGACTCCTGGCTTGCTGCCTTGGGTCTGCCTCTCGCTTTGGTCGAGGCGGCGGGTACAGAGTCGACCAGAGCATGCTTGGCTATCGCTGTCTTCGGAGGTCTCCCACGTTTCTTAACCGGTACGTTGGGTGTATCAGCATTTTTCTTTGCGCCAGTGGCCTCCGACGAAGCGGCGGCGGTTCGTTCAACAGGTGCATGGACTTGTGACGGTGTCTGTGTGACCTTTTTGGCCTCCGCAGCAGTCGGTGGCTTCTTGGCCACACGTTTTCCCTTGGCTGTTCTGGGTTCTGCGATGGCCCCGGTCCCTTCATTGCCTGGCGAGGTTGCGGGCAAAGACGGTTGGCCAGCTTCCTTCTTCGGCCGGCCACGCATTTTAACGGAAACATCAGGAACGACGGCAACTTGTGATGTCGCATTCGTTGAACTCTTAGTGGTTGGTACATCCCTTGCAAGCGCATCGGCCAGAACCTTGGGTTGGGAAAGGACCTTTGGCGTCTTGGGGGCGAAAAAGCTGTCCAGGGAACCTTGCCCTGCGGGTTGGACGACGACGCCTTCCTTCTTCACTCGGCCTCTTCTTTTCACGGATGCATCGACCACCACCACGACTGCAGGAGAAAGAGTTTGTGCCTTTCGTTCACGCGGCTTTGGTTGCTGAACGTCGGACCCAACCGCCTTGTTTGGTGCGATTTCGTGATCGTCATCGTTGCTGTCGTCGGGTACTTCAATCTCTGATCCACTGTGCTCCGCGTACGACGTTTTGGCCTTTTTTCGCGTGGCGACAACTCGTTCGGGGGCAGGTCGTTTCATGCCCTTGGCATGATCCTCCGATTGAATGGCCGCATCATCTTTTCCGTCACCATCGGATAAATCTACCACATCTTTAGTTCCAGCAAGTGCCAAGGCGCATGCGATCGTGGCCAACCTTCCACACCGACGTCTTCGCTCGTGCTACTGGTTCCTGCAGACCCTTCGTTGTCAAAGTCAGGAATGTCTTGGTCGCTGTTGTACTTGAGGGGCTTCTTGCGGCGACCTTGCTTTGAATTGATGTCGTACTTTCGCGGCCGGCCGATGGGTTTACCCGTGCTTGAACGCGGCACACCAAACGCATACGGCTTGATCGCCACAACGCCCGTCGCTCCTGCCCACAGCATGTGCGACCCACTCGGAGATAACATCACGCGATGGATGGCGAGGGATCGGTCTGGAAACACACGCTTGCCGTTGGTCGCGGTGCTCTTGCGCGTCACTTTGGCATATGAAATACGAAGCTGTTGCGATGCAGCCGTGGGCGATGTCTGGAGCTGCACAATCGCCGTCGGCAACGACCTCTTGGTGCTGAGCCGATCGAGGCGGGATTGTAAAATCATTCCACTCGCACACGCCGACAGCATGACGGGAATGTTTGGAGGAATGCACTACGAGGACCGCAGCACGATTTCAATAGTTTACCCGGCACAGTAAAAGCAAGGCCACGTACTCGCGCTGACGTAAAAGACCACACGGGGCTGTCCAAGTGGGGATGCGTCAGCAAGAGGCGCTGCATGCCAGTCTTCCAGATCGTCAGTCGAGCCATTCGGTGCAGCAAAGACAACGTACCAGCGGATCGACCCCAAAGATAGCGCCTTGGTCTGTTGCGATAAATATCGTCGTGGGGTTAAACCACAACGCGCCCAGACCAAACGTAAAGTTGACGAGGCGGTGGGCGCGGAGGCACGCGCGGGGTTCCCGGATGTCCCAGATGCGAAGAGTTGTGTCCTACAAGTCGCTCAGGACGAAGAAACACGCCGCCTCGACAGCTCTCGCCTGCGCTGCACAATGTTGCTAGAGGGCACGTACGTTGCCAATCGAGCAGAAGACGTACGGGTCGTGGGGGCTCCACTCGATCTCCCGTACTGCGACCCAGCCGCAGCCCCAATGGTGCCGAGGTTGCTTGGACATGGAATCGGCTACGACAATTGGCAGTGACGCACACTCATCGAGATGGTCGTCGTGTTGCGGTTGGCGCCGTTGTAGGCAGCGATGCATGCACTATACCATCCTCAAAGCGACAGTGCGGGGCGAACGTGGCAACGGCGACCGAAGTCGACCGATTGCAACCTTCTTCGAGGACGTCTTGCACGTTCCACATGTGAATAGCTCCTAAACAGAGCGCCATGAGGACGGTGGATCGCTGCCCGACGACCGAATGACTCGTACCGTCGACTCGTCCCGTCAAGAACATGTACGGGTGCGTGCGCGACCACGAGATTGCCAAGAATGAGCTTTGGGGGTCGTGGTATGTGCCCAAGACGGAGTACGAATGGTCCTCGAGAAAGCGGTAGAGATGGAGCGACCCATCGCCCAGTGCGACAGCAAGAACGCCCAGCCCTGCCAACATGGACTCGTTAGCGAACAAGATGTAGGCGTGAACGAGCGGTACCTATTGGCAACGAAGCACATGCATGGGGAGCCCACTTGAGCACCCACGCAAATCCCCCGTTGTGTGGAATGGTAAGCACCAAGGACGAAGCGGGTGTCGACGCCTTGGATTTTGCAATACACGACCAGATCTGCACGACGTTCGAGCCCTCGTATCGGTCGTTATACACGTGGTTCGGAGTGACAGTGTCGCCGTCTGCGGTGACTTGTGTCGGATGCGCGCTTAAGGCAACGTACGACGCGTTTGTAGACGGAGGGTGCAACCAATCGAGCGTCCACACGGGACCTCCAGCATGCAGATACACGACCTCCTCCAACTCCTTCGAGTTGAACGGCTCGATAGAGATTGCTTGCTTCGAAGTCGTAGTCTCCACTTGCACGGGTCTTGCATGCTTCAGCGCGTCCACCTGGTCTGCCCGCAGCGTTGCCATCAATCTCGTTGCGCTCGACTTGCTGTGGAATGCAGTTCTTGCCTATGATTGGATGAAACACGAACCATTTTTCTACTAGGATTGGTCTACAATTCATACTACGTAGTATTTGTAATTTTAATATCCAATCCTTTTGTCGCATTCAAAATCATAGATGCCATGCAACCGAATCTGGAGCTGGCAGTCCGTCCTGTCACGCTGAGGACTGCAGAGCTGGTCCGTGTTGCTTCGTTATGCTGCATGACGAAAATACCAACGGCATGAGAGTCGCGCACTGTGCGATCAACGTGGTGTCCTCCGAAGTCGCACAAGAAGCGACCAAAAAGGTCCACACCCGTGGCGCAAGTGTCCTCAACTTCGCGTGCAAGCGCCAACACCACAACCTCTTCATGGTGCGCGCGCCAAGCTGTTGTAAACAGGGTGGAGGCACAGAGCTCGCGACATAGGGAGCTGACCGTGGGCTGGAACGATTCGAAAACTCCCTCGGAAATGAAGGACGAGGCGGCTTGATCCTTCCCTGGTTCGCACCGTGGCTCAGTGAAAGAAGCATGACACGAATAGCTCATGCTTGCCATGCAATGAAACGTATATAAGAGGTTCATGTCTATATATACCGCCCAAGGTGGCGTATGTTCGCAAGTGGGGATGCAAGTTGCTGTGGTCCCGCTGGACCATGCGGTCGAACTCACCGAGATGGACCTACCCGTTCGACTTGGACGGTGGATCATTGCATATGCAATGACCAAACACGTCGTGTCAGCGCTGTATTTGGTGGTTCAAGTCGCCATCATTTACAAGCTCGATGACTCGGAGAGACAAGTGACGCGAGTGATCAACATCCCCGGCACGAGCGCAGCGTACTTGACGCTGGCTGGACTCCACATCCTCCTTTTCGTGCGCACCTGCTTTCCCACCAACAGACGAAAGCTTACTAACCGCAACCTGCTTGCCAACAACACACGGCATCTCCAGTGGCTATCGCCGGCCAAATTAGCTTGGCTTGACCGACGACTCAACGAGGCCCTTGCGTGGCTTGGAAGCGACAACTTTATGGTAGCTTACAACTTGATCGAGCTCGCGGGCCAGACGTACGAAGCGTTTGCAATCTCGCATCAACTCGTCGACCACACGGCCGTGGCGACCTTCGTGGTGTTTGTGGCGCTGCACGCCATCGTGACGCCGCTTTGCTTCCTGACAGCCCACAAGACGACCAAGATCATCATGGTCAACTGGACGTCCAGCGTGTGCAGCTTCGTCATGTCGAGCCTGCTCCACATCGTGGCATATCTCATCCCGTTGGTCCGGTACGTCGTGTACAATCCAAACATGGCCCGCAATCCCATCGCCCTCGTCCGTGGCGTGCAGTTTACACGGCACAACATGGTCACGTCGATTCCGGACGGGGTCGCCAAGTGTGCGATCCATCTCGGGTCGATTGTGTCGCTGTGGCGCCTCGTCACGTCCCTCGGGCTGGCCACAAATGCCCTCCATCGCGGCCGACGTCTGACAAAGCAGACCTCAAGCAACCTGGCCTCGTCCAAGATGAAACACTTTGGCGTGCGTGGATGGGTCAAACTGTACATGACGTGCAGTGCGACGTGGGGAGTCGTCTTGTTGGTGTCTCTGGGTCATGCCGCTTGGTTCCGCGACGCGTGCCCGGTGTCCTGCGTGCTGTTCACCCGGCCATTGTGGGATACGCGATGCCAGTGCAGCTACGTGCATGTCAACTGCGCTGTTTTAAAGATCGCCGACGCCGAGACGGCGCTGCACGCGTCGGACCTCGGATCGAACGTGCTGGCGATTCTCATCAGCCGATGCGACTTGCCCACAGGTCTGCGCAATCAAACGCTGCACCAGTTTCCGTCTCTGTACTACCTCGGCGTCAAGTTCACCAACACGTCGTCGTGGCCAGACGCGTCGTTGCCTCCGTTCATGAGCGTTGTGGTGTTTCGAAACATGCCGATGGCCGTGGTCCCGACGATGTTGCTCGGCCAGTTGCCACGCGTGTTGGTCTCGATGACGTTGTCCAACTTGCCCCTCGTCGAGCCGTTCGAGGTGCCGGCGACGTGGCAAACCCTAACGCGGCTGTGCCTGACCAACGTCTCGATTTCGTCGCTGCCGACCACCGTTTTCGCTCACATGAACCTGAACAGGTTGTTTCTGTACCACAATGCCATCACGGCCCTGCCGAACGCTCTCCAAGGCATGCGATCCCTCAGTGTCGTCGACGTGTCGGGGAATCACATGACGAAAGCGCCGTGGAATTTGCTTCAACAGACGAGTCGGACCGTTCTGTTGTGCGGGAACCCCCTCGACGACCCGACTGTGCCCGACTTTGTCGATGCCAGGCAGCGCCAAGCGTACGTCGAGACGTTCCAGGCGTCGTGTATCAATCCGTGTGCCCCCGATTGCTACCGTCATTTCCTCGGCGACTACGAGTGCCAGCTGCCTTGTTTCACGTCTGCATGTGACTACGACCACGGCGATTGCGACGTGTTTCAGTTTGACAGGACATGATGAACCAAACGAGAGAAAAGAGACGTTGTCACTCGTGTGTCGTTGCGATCGGCTCGATGGACATGACGGCGCTGGACTCAAATCCATGTGAGGACAAGGCGACGGTATAATTCGTTCCACGAGGTAGCGCCACAGGGACACAATCGAGTCGAGATGGATCGCACACTGTCCGGAATCGACGTGACCATGTTGTGCCGTGTAAACTGCACGCCATGGACACGACGTGTACCGGACCAACGGGATGAGATATGCCACGATGTGGAGCAGGCTCGACATGACGAAGCTGCACACGCTGGACGTCCAGTTGACCATGATGATCTTGGTCGTCTTGTGGGCTGTCAGGAAGCAAAGCGGCGTCACGATGGCGTGCAGTGCCACAAACACCACGAAGGTCGCCACGGCCGTGTGGTCGACGAGTTGATGCGAGATCGCAAACGCTTCGTACGTCTGGCCCGCGAGCTCGATCAAATCGTAAGCTACCATAGAGTTGCCACGCAAGGATGCTCGTTCTCGCATTGTTGAGACGATTTTGCCGGCAAGGACGGTGTTAACGACGGCTGTGGGCTGTCTCTGTGGTTGGCAATGACGAACTAGAGTGTGGTGCGCAGGAGGATCACGAGAAATGGCCGCTGCGGTCTTGGTGGAAATGGCGATTACTGGGGTGACTTGCCTATCAGCGCATCCATCAAGGAGATGACTGCGACGTGGGCTAGTATGTACAGTGCTGATACGACATGCTTGGCCACGACAAATCTATCGCCACAGCCATGCCCGTCAAATCGGCGACCATGGGGCAGCAACTCTGTTGGAGGATTCCACGGACGCCACCCCGATTCGCATCGGGTAGAGTTCAAGCACAAAGGCAGACTGTCTGTGGCGGCAACGATGGATCGAATTTAGAACGATATGTTAATCTATCGTGGCGTGTCGAGTGTCGGAGGGCAAGTCCTCGCACAGGTAGCTTGCATGCGCCACCAGGGAAACAAGCCTGCCAGCTGCGAGGCTTGGTATATTTGCACGAATTCTAGCAGCGACACGTCTCTAGCCTGCATGGCTGCCTTGCAATGTGCATGGCTTTCGTCGAGATGACGCACTGCGCATGATGCGCACTAGACATGGTAGGAGGAACAAACTGCCATCGAGTCGGACGTTAGTTGGGTCTGTCGTTGGTGTGATGCCGTTAGATTTACGTGGCACTACACGTTTGGGTACTGCTCGGCTACGTAGCCCAAGTCGGTGACAGGGTTGAGTTTGGCCGTGGTCCACAGCTTGTCCATGTGCCGTCGGCCCATGAGGTGGCTTCTCGTGCTCTTGCAACTTGGTGCTGCAGTGGTCTGCGCAACGGGCGTCGGGCTCACGCCGTCGAATTCGTACGACACCATGGACGACGACAGGATCGTGTCGGTCGACGATGCAATGGATGCATTGCGCTTCCGCATCCCAACGACACAAGCGAGGCAGCGCGGAGCCGTCAGCGACAAGTCGGAGCACGCTGCGCAAACGACGTGGCCACATGCGACACACGAGTTGCACTTGCCCAAGGGTTTGGTGCGGCACATGGAGCATCGATGGGACCGTGGTCCGTGCTTTCGAGCAACTTGTGTTGGTGATGCGGCTGGATGCTTTCCTGACGCCGCAGACATACTTGCTAGAGGTCCCACGAGCTTGGAAGTTAGCCGAGATGCGACCCACGTTGACACGTTGCCGCTCCAGTCAATGTCGATGACTGTAAAATGCGTCAGTGTGTGGGGGGTGACTTGGACGAGCACGGACCCCCAACTGTGGATCGTGGCTCGCACGCATTGCTGAATCGGAGGAGTTGTCTCGACTTCGGCAGGAAGGGATGTGCGGTACCATGCATAGCAAGGACGGCCTTTCGAGTCGACAAAATGACGGCGAACTTGCGTGAAGATGGCGTCGCGGTCGCGGACAAACGGGACGGGCGATTTCACCACGCTGTATTGAACTGTGATCACGTTGTCCGGTGTTAGCGCGCTGAGCTGTGTAGTGAGTTCGACGTGGCTCGGAAGGACGGCATCGTTGGCCGACAGGACGTCCACCGTCCCGACCACGGTGGCGTGGTGGACGGCAAAACTCGACGTAGTCGTGGGCTGCGCCGTCGACGAGTACTTCTTCTTGTCCTGGTCGACGTAGACGTGGGAAAACAGGACGAGGTCGTCAAAGCCCTTGGTGGCCTTGGCAATCGCATCCGCACCTTGCGACGCCGTGAAGCGGACCATGATTTAATCGCGTGGGTCAAAATACAAAATGGCGCATCTCGTGTCGAATGGACAACTCCGGAACGCCTGCCAGACGGCCTGTCGGTGGGCGTGCCACCCGCCACGAGTTTGCCCCGCCAAGCCCTCTCCACACCCCGCGCCCTCCTTCCCTCGAGCCAAAACCCAACAAGAATCAAGTTGCGTGTGGGGGCTAGCTGCATCGGCCATCACTTCCGTCGTGGATGATGGCATGTCCCCTGGGCGTCCATCCCCACCCAGCGTGACGATCTTGATGACAGGCTGCCACGAATTGCTTGTCTCTCACTTGGTCCCGTCGACCTGTCTGAGAATGGACCGGCTTCAGGCTGTATGCAGCAGCTGAGTTGGAATCGAGAGCGCCGCACGTGCGGTATGCACATGGATTCCTTGCAAGCAAGTCGTAGAGGAGTTTGCTTTCCAACTCCACCACTCGCTCGACCCGCGCGGCCCACTGAGGTGGACGTATGAAGCCTCGAATGCGACGACTCAAAACACATCGTGGATGGAGCGTGTGGTAGCGTCGTCCTGGCGCGGTCGGATCAGTTGTAAAGTGAACTCGCTAACGTGTCGTCTGGTCGGAACCGTACTATAATACGATGGACGTAGAAGGGTCAGGAGCTTCACCCGCAGACAGCAGGGCAATTCTCCGACGGCAGCATGACCTTCCATCGTCGCCACCTTTGCGAGCCACACCAAGCGCACGACAGGAGGAAGGTCCCTTCGGTACGTGCCGACGCTCTCAGAGCATGCATGTGCATTGTTGCACAAAGCCAAGCGCGTACAAGAAGAGCAGAGGTGTTTGCGTCGACAGTGGCGTAAGCACTGGATCTCTCGACACCGTTCGACTACCTGAGGGCCACATGGACGTATGTCGGCGTGCGTGAAGGCGGTACCTACGTTGCCAACACACCCTGGACGCTTCGATTGCCGTGTTCATGCATTTGTACGAGCGGGACGACTCTTCGATCTGTGCCAACCTTTCGGCAACTTGTCGATTGGTTGCATGCGCGAGTCCATCGGCAGGCGCCTCGCGGCTGGCCATAGAGCACTCCCCTGCAATGCCCAGCCCCGAGAGCCACACAAATCCAATCGGGTGGACATGATGCGTCATGATCACAACAGCCGCTGGACCATTGCGTGTTATCGTTTTCGTTATATGCAGTCGGACCATCCGCGTGGCAGCATGTGCAACCGGAGATCGTCGACACCGACGCAGCACTTCGGACGAGTCTCCGTCGAAATCAAACACTCGAGCTCGGAGGTTCTAACGTGGATGGAAGTGTACCCAGAGCTGTAAAAAATCCCCAGCCCAGAGCGCGGTTGGCGGACGCCGACGCGCGCGCGTGTTTCGAGATGTAAATTCAAGTCCCAACATGGATACGATCTCTACATGAGCGCTCCAATTGTTCGCCAAGCGCTGGGAATCTGCATTGCTGCTAGCTTCCGTCGACGGACTCCGGTGGCTTTGTTTGATTTTGCACTCGGCTACCGCCCCCATGAGCGGCACACTCTGTCGTTGCGAACGATAGCAGTACCTGTAGATCGTGGGTTTTTGGCTCTCCCATTGCGCGAGTCGCTTTTCTTCGACTCGATTCAGCGCGTAGCTGACGAGTCGATCCTGAATCGGCACGTGTCGTTTCGGGGGAAATTTCTGCGCGACGTCCTGTACAAACTTGCTCCACGTGTCGTCGGTGGCGAGCAATGCCGGGCCGTCTAACGTCGCGCGTGGGATTTCCCCTGGCACGACGAGCGACGCCTCCAACACTTGCGGCTCCTTGGACAACGGAATGTTTTCTTCCACTAACGACGTGGTGTCGCCACTGCGGAGAAACTCGTACAGGGCGTGGAGTTGGTGCATTTGCATGGTGAGGGCTTGAACGTCCTGGGGCGTTGCAAGCATCGCGTCCGCAGTCTAGTCCATGGAGAAGGAGACGTCATGCAAGCTACGAATTGTCGAGCACACCGTGTCGTAGTGGAGGTGCAACCGGTTGAGAACCCACTTGACGCGCCGGAGGAGGAGCTGGTCGTCGGCTGTGTCGGCGTGCATGTGGTGTTCCAGGACGTGCTGTTCGTACGACGCGTGCGCCGCGTGCTGTGTCTCGGCTGTCCGCAACAGGTGCAAGTGAATCACATCCTTCAGTTCTCCGGCCAAGATGGACTCGTCCGTGTACATGCGCTCGATGCGGCGGATTGTGCCGGGGTGGATGTCTCGAACCGCATTGAGCAGGCTCTGCGTGCGTGCGACCTGTTGCTCGGCGTTGTGCATGGCAAACCTGCCCCAGGTCCAGTCAACAACATTTCGACACGGAAGTCGCACCGAGTGGCCTGCGTGTGTGCGTGCAGGGCTTCGAGCTCGGCTTCCTTGGCTTGGAGGCGCAACTTTTCGTCGGCCAGCGACATCTCCAACGTCGAAATTACGTGTTGGTACCCGACCGCGTTTTCCTCGAGCGAGAGGCAGTACGCTTTTTGCTGCTCCAAAGTTTGGATGAGCGTCACGCGGCTGTGGATGCCGTCAACATGACCAAAGAGCGTGTGGTGCTTCCAAATGCGAAAGAACGAATACGTCGTGTGTCGATGCTGGCGGCGATGGAAGGCCCGAATGAGGCCGTCTTGAGTTGCATGGCGCTGCTTTCGTTGGAGCGTGCAGAGAACCCACGCTTGGAACGGCACCTACCACACGGCTCGAGTCAGCACGACGTCGGGAAGTGGCGGTCCTCTACTTTGAACACGCGAACACAGTATGCTTTCCACTCGCGAACGGTGGCGTCCCGTAGCCGATGTTGATACGCGGCGCGAATCCGCCATGCCCGGACCAGTTGGAGGAGCATGCGCAGCGACGCCTGTTCAAATCGTTTTTGAACGAGTTTGCACCGGCGGTGCAGGTTCAACCACGCGACAAAGTGCTTGCGCTGCATCGTCCGGTGGTAGTGGAAGTCGATGCGGCGGATGTTGTAATACTGTGGAAACCGGTCAAACGTTCGGCGGTCGTTCACGCGCTGGAGCTCCCGCTCGAGCTGGAACGTCCGAAAGTGCTGGACCCACGCTGTCCCGACCTTCAGCACGGTCTTTTCGCGAAAAAACAAGTGTGCCTTGGCCGCGTTCGCCTTCATCGGGATCCACACGTGCGCCACGAACAAGCGAAAGTACATTCGAGACCGATGGTACACGGCGCGGCTTCGGATCGTGCGGATGGCATCTCTGTGCAACTCGGCCTTGACCATGTCGGGCGTGATCATGTCGTAGCTACCATTCGCCGTCATGGCGACCGCGGCTGCCAGACAAGGGTGTTTATCTTACCGCATCAGCGATTCCAATTGTGCACGGCATTTCAACAGCCGGGCGCGATACGCCTCGATCATGCGTTTGCGAGATCGAGGTCCAATCGCAACGGATTTCCAGCTACCAAACATCTCGTCGAGCAGCGCGCGGCGCTTGACGTCGTATCGAGCTTCTACCTGTGCAGCAGTCAGTACGAATTGCATCGCGATCTTGTATATGAAAATGCAGTGGTAACGCAGACACCAACTCGTTCGCGAACTGGGGCAAATGAGCGGGTAAACGTACTTGGTGGTTTTGAGCGCGGCGCTGGGGCCGCTTCAACATTGTGATGTCGCGCATTTCGTCCATGCACAGGCGCAGCTTTCGCATTCGTCCTCGCTCTAGCATGTCGTCGATCCCGTGGTCCACACGAAACGTCCTCATGCTGAACCGAACCATGCTGTCCAAGAACGTTTTGGCGTAGCGGAGCCGCCATGTGCCGAGGAATTGCATCGCGACAACGTGGCGCTGCCGAACGAGATGGCCGCGAACGACGGCGACGAGCAGCGTCGCAGCATGACTTCGTTTGGTTTCAGCCGATGTGATGTCGTAGAAGACGCGATCGAGCCGATGGACGACGGAGTGTACTTCCTTCACAGCGTGTGTGACATGGGCCGTGAGTTTTGGATCGAGGTCGGTTCGCACGGGTGGCCGGATGAGCGTGACCTACGGATGTGTGTTGGTAGGGTGACGGCGGGGTGTTCTTGCCTGCGCCAAGTCGTGCTGGAGGGGCTCATGCAGACAATTTGTGGTTTCGAGGTTTTGGAGGCGTTCGTTCAGGCGATTTAGCCGTCCTTGGAGGTGCTGCACCGCATGGGCAGAGGTGGACCCAGGTCGGTCGAGTGAAAACGCGTCAAGTTGGCGGTGCGACGGCGACGCCGTCGTAGCCGCCGACTGAACTTGTCGCGGCTGCCTTGTTCCAGGACGAAGCGCGCCAGATGGTGGACCATGGTGGTGCTGCGATTGCGACGACTGCGTCTGCCTCGGCGCGGTGCCTTCACGAGCCAAGGTCATCAGGATTGCCACATGAATCGCAACAAGGAGTCGTACCGTTGTGAGATGTGGAGACCTTTCTAGTGAGTACAACTTCTTCGATCGTCTTCTTGTTTGGAGGAAGACGTGTGGGCTTGAGCACCATTATTATTCAACCCTTGACGGGTGGATCTTGAAAGGGTGCGTCAGTCCCGTGAAACGCTTGAAACCGACTCCATGAAACCAAGTGAAACCGGCTCAACTCCATCCAATTCGGCAGCAAAACGCCACACCATCAGCATTCCATAGTGTACGCATGTACGCATGTAGGAACCAGCGATCAGCATGTGTATCGATCCGCTAGGTCGCGCGTCGTGCCGGTTGACGTGGCGCTGCACGTGCATCCCAGGAACGCTGGAGATGGATCTCCTCCCCACGCATTCCCACGTCACAAAGAGACATCATGTCATGTTTCAAGCAATCAATTGTCCATGGAGATCGAAATGCCGCCGTCCGCTTGGCGTTTTCCGCACAGCCCAAAGAATTTCAAGCACGGGAGGTCGTAATAGTACTTTTTGACGGGGTCGTGGAGCGTGTCGTACGCGGCGCGAAGCTTTTCGTACTTTTGCGGCTCCGTTTCGTTGTTGAAGCGAAGGACGAGCGCATGGTAGGCGGCTTCGATCTCGTCGGATGTGGCGCCTTTGACGAGCCCGAGTTTTGCATACAAATCTTTCCCGTTCGGTTTCTTCCACAAATCTTCTTCGTAGTACGTCAAATGTTGCCGCAAGGCGTTCCCCATTACGTCTAAGGGCACGCATGCTCGATCAACCGAGGCATTTTTCAGCACAAAAGTACCTTCGCACTCGGCCCAACTCGGCATGTGCTTGGCGCAATACTCGATGCTTTTCACTTGGACATAGTGCTGGCATTTCTTGCTGCCAAAGCTCTCGGCGCACACCCAGTCTTCTTCTGGCTGGACAAGTTGAATCGAGTGCTTGAGACCGAGGTATGTTGCTTGCATCGTAAAGAGAATGCGGCGGGGACGAAGGCGGGTGCACGGAACGTGCTGGCACGTGATGTTGGCCAGGCTTTCGTTGACGGGGGCGGTCTGAAATAGGTCATGCTTCTCCAGGAACGCGTACACTTGGTCGATGGGCTCTTGGTCTTCGAGCACTTCGAGCGTGCCGATTTCTTTGTCTGCAGTTTCCATCACTGGAAGGTGAAACAACCTGGCTTCGGCCCGCGTGCAGTTGAGCAATGGTTCGCCCGCCCTTTGAATCTGGCACAATTCGGCCAGCCATTGCTTGCGCTCCATCAACGTCCAGTTCCGCGAGGTGCCATACCTACGCAATCCCCACACCTTACTCGCTGAAAGTAGGATGAACTGATTGGCACGGGTAGGACGAACCAGTACACTACATCGGCAGGCTCATCATCGGCAAAGAATGGAATCCCGAGTTGGTCGCGCACGGCAACGTGGCGCAGGCTGCGTGTTCGAGTGCATGGGAGCTGACTGGCCTCACACACCCCAGGCAGCATAGAAGCCTGTGCTTCCGGGCTCAAGTCATGCTCGTGGCCAAAGCGAAAGATCGCGTCTACGGGTTCCTCGCCTACACCACGATCGATACTCTTTGGTCAAGGCCGACAGTGTGAAAGCATGCTGCTACCTTGCAAGATTTGGAGCATCCCGACGGGTGGCTCCGAGGCATTCTTTGTGATTGGGATTTGAAACACGACAGGGGCAAAGCGCGTGCACGTCACGTTGATAGCAGCTTTGATATCGACGCACACCGTATTGAGTATTTGATCCCGCACGACGGACGACAAGTTAAACCGGTCGGCAAGCTCGAACACGCGATCGGCGGGCTCGTCGCCTTCAAATACTTGTAGCGGACCCACCGGGTCGGCAACTACACAAAACACCACGCAGATTGTTTTGAGAACGGCAGTCGCAGACGACCCGCCATGGAGCTAGGTTTCGTTTGCCAGGATTGGTCGTACTGTTCGCAATGGAGAATGACCGCCTGTACACGACGGCGTGGCCCCGCGTGCATGTGATCGGAGGCCGGTTGCACAACATGGTAAAGAGCTGGCGTCGCATTGGAAACGTCAGGTTCTCGTTTCGACTAAAATGGAAGAGGACATCGGCGACTTCATCGCCGGCATACAGCGTCAGCACCGGCGGACTTTGCATGTCGTCCGAGGTGTCAAACTGAATCGGCGCAGAAAACACAATCGCGCGGTCCCGCGTGCAAGAAGGAGCCACCAACGGATCGGTGCACACGGTGGCCAACAGATTGCTATGGCCACATTTGAGAATGGCGCAAGGTGCTATGCACGTCGACGCTTACCGTTGCATGGTCGCATCCATGGTCATGGACAATGGCGCCGACGAGCCAACCGCCGAGCCACGGACGGATTCCTCAAACTCCTGCGCGAAGGAGAAGATGGCGTCGACGGGCTCTTGACCGTACAAAATGTCAAGGACGCCGTAGTCGGTGCCGTCGGGACCGACAATGGGGTGGTGGAAGAGGCGGGGAATCGTTCGGGTACACGTGGCGATCGCAGGCTGGCACACAACTTGGAGAAGTTGCCGAAGCATGAACTCAAATGCCACAGTGGAAGACGACGTCCGCATGGGCTGTAGAAAAGCGAATATTGCGTCGACCGGTTCCTGGTTGTCGTATATCTCAAGAGTTCCGAGCATCGCGCCCGTTTCGTCGAGAATGGGCTGTCGAAAGAGCAGCGCATCGCGACGCGAACAACGCTACGATCACATGAGGCGGTGTTTCTATGGAGACTGCACGACGTACGACGACGGGTTGATTGCATATGGAATGCAACATGTTGAGTTGAAATGCGCGGGGAATGCTGTGCCGGCGGCAAAACGCCGCAACGGCGTCGGCGGGCTCGTCGCCTTGCATCAACTGAAAGTCGCCGAGGAATTCGTTGTTGTCACCGTGAATGGTAGTGGCAAACACGATGGGGGATGCGCGCGTGCATGGGATGGATTGGCATACCGTCTGCAACGCGCGTTGTTGAAAGTCGAGTGGCAGCGCGTGGTCGGTACGAAAGCGCTCGATGACGTCGATTGGCTCGAGACCTTGTGGAAACGCCAGCGGAACGTGCTTTCCTTGGACATTGATGTCGACGCTCAGAAGGATAGGAGATGCAGCACCCAGCCATGCGAGGGCAAAGCTCCATGCTGCGACGGTGGCACGTCGCCTCATGAGATGCTTCCGTGTTGGATCTTTTGAAAAGTCACAGGTTTTGACAATTGTTGTTCGTTGGAGGTCAGATTTGCAAATTTTCAACTTGGAATTTCGCGAATAGAACGAATTTTTGTCCCAAAACCGCGGATTCGTTGTTGGCTGTGCCAATGCTTCAATTCGCTTTCGACCGAGAACCGCATGCCTCGAACGCTCCTCGACTCACGATGGCGCGCCGGAATGTTACAAGTGTAGGCCACCATCGACGGATGAATCGTGGTGTGCTTGTCCTCAGCACCCAATGTTGAATCTTGCCCAAATATCCCTTTCGTGACGTTCTGGCTGAATCATCTAATTTAAGCCCTTTTTCGGCCCGATTTTTTTACCATCGTGCCAACCTGCATCCATGTTTATGACCATCGTGATTTTATGGAGATATCCCGTCCTTGGTGGCGTCGTCGTGCGCCAAATTCGGTCCATCGAGTCGAGGGCTGCCCCGTGTGTGTGGCGTAGGAAAAGCTCTGGAGCTAGCGACGATCGAGTGCAGTTTACAATATTGCCATATCAAGGAGTCTGTCGATTCGAGCGAAGTTATAAATTACACGTGCTGGCTGGACGACGTGTCGTCCATTGGAGGTGGCAAGGTACAACCGCCCCCGAGGTAGTTGTCGCCTGAAAGCATGTCGTTGTTGAAGCTATGGTTGCACCGTGCTCGAATTAGACCAGCGGCGACACTTCCCACGTAACCATCGTGATGTCACTTGTTGGCTCATGGGGACTCGTTGAATTGTGTGTACCTGCGAAAATTTGGCTAGCCGGAGTCAAAATGGCGTCGAGGTTTCATGAAGAGTGAATATGGACTAGGATTTTTGTAGCTCTCGTTAGCCACGTCATGATGCAGGCGTGCCACGAGAGTGTACTTTCAAGTGCTGCGCCGTCCAACGTGTAGGAGGCAACCAACGAGACAAACGTGCTCTCGGCTCACTGCGAAGGGGGCATCAAACACAAGGAAAATCCAAAGGGAATGCATGGCACGTGAGAGTGTTGAGGGGAGAGAAGTACGTTCACGGGCAATTTCGTCGCTGATTTCCACGTGCCCATGGACGTTTGGCGAATAGTTCCATGAAGCATCCACCGTTTCACGTGAAACGGTGGAACCACCCGCAAACAAAAAGGTGGAATTCCAACGGCATCGCGATGCCGCTTTCGACGTCAGAGATCTTGGTGGCCGTATCGGCGTCGTTGTCGGTGTGCGCATGCGTGGCCATGGTCGTTTGTTTCTTTGTCTTTGAAGAATCGAGGCGGTGTGGTCGACGGCTGCTCTTTTGTCTCCATGTCACCGATCTCATCGGGTCCCTCGCGTGGTTGTTGACGCTCTTGCCGTGCATTGCAGCCCCTCCTTTGCACTCGACGATTCCGCTGCTTTGTTTCGTCCAGGTGGGTTTGCCATGTCCTCGTTTGTCCATCATGCCAACCGCGCAGGGCTACATGCTCCTCTTCTGCTCCCTGTCGTCCTATCTCTGGACGTCGTGCTTTGCCTTTCACTTGTACCAGATCATGTGGAAGCAGAACAAAACCCCCGAGGTACAAAGTCGCACGCTGTCACATTCCCACTGCTCCCGCGCTTGATCATGGACGACTAGATGTACGAGCTGCGATATCTCCTCGTGGCATGGGGCGTTCCCTCGATGGTACGGCCAAGCCCATCATCTCCGGACCCACGTTGACGAGATGGAGTAGGTTCTCGTGTCGTTTGGTGTACAACACGCGTGTGGGTTTGTCCTCCTTGGCTTTGGTGGTCTGCCCTGGTAAGGAGCTTGTGTCGACCCCATCTGACCGTCGCCGCATGCAACAGGTGCTGGATTCGATCGTGGAGCGGACGCGAGTGGTCCGTCGACGGCTTTATGCTTCAAATGGCGTTCTTCTACGGCCCCGTCGCCTGCGCTGCACTGTTCAACACGTCGATGTTTGTGTTTTTGGCGTCCAAACTGGTAGGCTGGACGACGCCACGTGCCGGGCTTACTGTCGCCCAGGGCTCGGCTTCTGCAGTCATGTCCACCGCCATGGAAAACAAAGTTCGCCGCCGCATGATGGGCTACATCAGTGTAACACGCCCTGTTCGCATACCATCGAACGCACCATCCACTACGGCCATGCAATAGATCTTTCTGCTTACGTCCGTGTGGGGCGCTCTCGGCCGCACGTTTCAAGTATGCCACGAACGATTCCCGCCACTCGTTGCACATGCTGTGTTAGGTCATATCTCCTGGCCATGAGCTCAGTCCTGTCCTCTTGACGCTCACTGCGTGCTTCAGTCCATTGCAGGTACTACTGCCTGCCCGCTTCATCTCTCATCTTGTGGACTCAAGGGACTGCTCAACTGCCTCGTGTATGGACTGAACAACACGGTAAGCGCTTGATGGTGACCCAACTTGGACCAGTTCACAGTTTGGGTGTTCATGAGCGCTGATCTCGCGTACGTAGTTGCGGAATCGTTTGTGGACGAGTGTTCGTCGGCTCCACGGAACATCTACTGCTCCGACCTTTGGCGGCAGCGACCACCGAAGGCCACTGATGCGAAAATCGGTTAAGGCCAGTCGGTGACGGACGCCGTCGTCGAGCGTGCAGCGTGGTGCACTCGACCCTTCCATGCTGTCGTCACTCGTCGTAACTGAAATGTATGGCGTTTGGATGCAGAACCAGCATGCTCCTGAGCTCGCACAACGGTGGCGACCGCACGCAATGCCTCTTTCTCAACCCTGTGACGCATCGCAGTCGCATCGAGATCCACCAGCCTCATGGGTTTGTGCGATTGCGACATGGTCATCATGTTCAGTTTTCACAGTGGCAGAGGTGGCAGAATATTTAATACGACAAGCCATGGTCACTTGTATTTTGTATGCAATCGAAAAAAAAGCTGATCCGACAACAATTGCCGTAAGTAACCACGCGACCGGCTGAGGCGACCAACCCCCGCGCAGTCCCATTTACGCCTCCCGCGCCCAAACATGGCCGCCGTCGACGATGTGACGACGTACTGCTTTGCGTCGGTGAACGACGACGCGAGTGGAAGCCTGGACAAGGCGAACGGTGGGCTGTGCCCCGGCCAAGTGACGGTGGTGCCATTCCAGTCCCCAGCCATTGTTGGCGATGCCGTGCAGGTATCGTGGACCGTCGCAATCACGACATCGTCCGTGACGTTCAAGACCATTAATCCATTGACGACCGACATCCTTCACTCGACGTTGTACTTGTGCCCTGGTAACGATCGCCGTGTGGCATGTGGAAATCGCATCGACTTGCTCGCTTCCACGGGGGGTATCCGTGGCACCAAGTTTGCGCCGGCCACAGGCACAGCGCAGTTCTCGTCGACCGTCAAGTTGTTAGCAGGCCCGGGTCCGTTCACCCTCGTCGTGAAAGCGACTGTCGTTTCCAACTACACGAAAGAAAACGTCACCCAGCCAGCGTTCATCGATATGGTGACGTACCGAAACGTGCAGCTCGTCGAGCCCGACCCGACGACCGATGCGACCCCCATTGCGCTTGGAATTGCCGGCGGCGTGATAGGGTTGGTGCTATTGATCGTGCTGGGCTGCTGTTGGCACCGACGGCGCCAGCGCGAACGCACCGAACGCCAAATTGCCACGTATGCTGGCGCGTACATCGTCCGGTCGCGCGTCAACAGCTACGATCGCGATCCATCTCGTACGACCCACCGCGAACTGAGTCACTACTCGTCCCACGTGACGCAGCCGTCGACGTTTCATGGCCCCGACCAGAACCTACACTACCAACCCCACCACCACACGACCGCAGATCCAAACGTGAACTACGATTTGAAGCTAACGCAATATTCGTCAGCGTCCGTGTCGCCTATGTCGGATAGCCCGTCGACCACGTCACCGACCCCGACGGCCGAGGCAACTCCTAGCTACCTCAACTTTGCCATGTCCCCCTTGGTCGAAGACGAGCTCGATATATCGCGGTCAGTGAGCTTCTCCAGCCTCGATCCGCCACAATCGTTTGACGAAGGCAACGGATATCTCAACTACGCGCTGTCCCCGCTCGTCGAACACAGCCATTCTCGTGGGTTTGACGCACTGCGCGGCGGCATGGAGATGGTGCATGAAGAGGACTCGGACGACGGGATGCTGCCGCTCCCGCGTGACCCTCGCACGAGTGGGTAATCGGCCGTCGTTTTGTCTAGTCGGCGGAACAACGTCTGATCACGGCGCGATCGAAGATAGATGACGAGTTGAAGCGCATCGGACAGACGTCTAGCGCCTTTTAATTTATACGCTACGGATTCACGACGCCGGCCCCAGGTCATCTCACTGCGGTGATGGTGATGTTACAGTTAAATAGTTGTCGATCGTTGGCTGTACAAGCGAGAGCGTAGTGCGATGCGCCTTACTTCGCCGGCACCCCATGGCTTCGTCGTGGAACTTGCGTCTGCCGTCGTGGTCAGGGTGCGAGGCGCCATTTTGCCAAACAATTCCTTCAACCTCTCCGATTTGTCGGTTGTGAGCCCAAAGTATCGCTCAGGAATGGCCTGGGATGTATCTGCGAGTACACTCGTGAGGGTGCAAGCACCACGACGTTGCAATCGCGTACCTCGAGGGACATGACACGGCTGTTTGAAAATGCTGAACGTGACAGGAGCAACCTTGGCGGCCTCTGCGGTCACTTGGCGAGGATGGTATGGACTCTCCCGGTCAAAGCATCCTACGCATGATGCATTCCTTCATGACGATTCCAGACGCGTGAATCGTTAACTTCCTTACCGACGACCGGCTTCGCTTTGACTTTGCGATAGAGTTTTCGCGCTTGGAATATTTCACGGTACGCTTCCATGGTTGCCACATCTGAGCGTTGAATGACGGAGGTGGCGGTGGCAGCAACTGGCGAATTCTTTTGCGGTGGGATGTCGTCGCTCGACTCTTCTTCAACAGTCAGATCCAGTAATAAAGGCGGGTGCGACTGCTGCTTTCGTGAACATGTCGTGGATGTGGCTGGAGCTCGCGGGGACTGAGCTCCGCTTGGCACAACTGGGGCCGATGACGTGGGCTTCGTCCCTTCTTTGTCTGGCGCCTGTTCGGAAATGCGGTATAGAAACGGAGGTAAGGCATGGCGCTCCGCGACAAACCCGGCCACGAGCCGGTCGACGACGCGTCGTAGCCGGTCTGCTTTGTTGTACAGAAAGCGCAGGCGCAATCGCACGGCCGGTTGAGGTCGGCCTTTCGATGGCGCGGGCGATAACAGGAACCTAATTCCACACGGCCAGCTTATGAGCCGAACCCATGAGATCTTGGGCACATCCAACTCACCACGCCACCGTTCGCTTCTGGTCAACCAACGTGCGCAACTCAATTTTCACGTCGCCAAGTTTCTCGTGTCTATCGGCAGTCCGCTTGTCGTCCATGATGGTGACGCAGAGCCGCGTCGACATCGTCTCAATCGGCTTCAAAACAAACTCTTCTTCCCACATCGGGTACAACGTGTTGGGCCTCGTGTTGCTCCGCAGCGCGTTCGTGGGGTGGTACCGCTCCCACTGCCCGCTTTCACTACCATGAATTGCAAGATTAACGCAGAACGAACGGCATGTCTGGTCGAAGATGTACAGGTTTTGGTGCTCAAGGTGCAAAAGGGCGTACGGATCACATGTGCTATGGAGCCGTCGTGTGCGCGGCAAGTTGGTGGCGGCGATGAGGGTCACTTCCAGTCGACTCAAGATGCGTTTCGTGGCAGGATCGATGTCCATGTTGGTGGTGGCATCGATCAAGTTGGTTTGCTCTGCTTGCTGGAGCTTTTTGCACGCCAGAAGCAACCTGTCACCTTGTCAGAGATCCATCGACGAGAAATAAATCCATCCGTGCCGCACCGTGTGTTTGCATCAAACGCAAGTTGACTCGCCCCACTGAGCAGCGCGTAATTGGCGGACGTGAGGTCGACACCCGGGAGAATCGCGTATTCGTGTTGGTAGGCGTTGAGGCTTGGGGCGATGGGTTTGTCGTTGGAGTGACGGTGAGGGGACCGCCCTGGCGAACGCTTGGGCGATGTCGCTGCATCGTCTTTATTCCCGAGCACGTTGGTGACATGAGTGCCGACGACGTGGTCTTTCAGGTGGTCCAAGATGTCTTGAGGCGACGTGAGTGCAAAGGAGGGGTCGTTGCTGTCCATCTTGTGTCTAGTGCGTGTCGGTAAACTCAAGTAACGAGTGGGACAAGCGATTGGTGGCGCACTCTGTCGTGGAAATGTCGCCAATCTCGGCTAGCTCTGCGTCGATTCGAGCCAAGTGATCGTTGAGCGCTTGGTGGGTCGCCTCCCTTGTCATGAGCACATCGACGAGGTCCAATCGACGCTGTTGAAGGGCGTGCAAGTGGGCGAGCTTTTCACTCACGAGCATCCGAAAGAGATTTGTTTCGGGAGGAAGCGGTGCGTCGTCGCATATTCGAAACGTTTTGCGAAGCGATGCCCTGGGGCTATTGCAGGCGTCTTGGACCTCCTTGAGACGGAGTACGGGCAGCTGCATAAGGACCCATCGAGTCAGTATCTGGCTTCACCAACCGCGCGATTGTTCGCAACGAGTGAGTCTTACTTGCGTGGACGTTTGCAAGCGATGTAGTTCGTCGACCCACTCGGCCTTTTGCGTCGTCATGCGTTCGAGTTTGTAGCTGAGCGCCGAAATCTCCTTGTCGAACACGCTCGCTTGCGCCATCCGCTTGTCCAGACCGCGACCATTTCGAGGATCCACCCGTAAATCTGCGGCCAGCATTTCCTTTGTCTTGTGGACGAGGCGCTGCTCGAGTTCTTGGACCTCGGCGTCGGCAAAGGTTATCTGAGTGTGCAGCTCTTCCAGACGCGCGCGGCCATCATCGTAGTAGTACGTTGGGTCCCTTTCGTGGTCTACCTTCATCGACTTTCAGAGGCCATTTAATCTTTGTGCCATGGGAAACTTACCGAGGTCGAGTGAGCATGTTGCTCACCGACGAGAGACTGCTTTAAGATGCCGATGTCATTGTCGAGCAGCACGATTTCGTTGCGAATGGCCGTGATTTCCGCGACGATTTCGGCGCGCTCCTTCTCCATGGTGTCTTTGCTCTCCCGCAGGACGGACACCTTGTGCACGAGCCGAAGGGAGTCACCGTCGTACCCAGTTGAAGGGGCGGCGGCATCTTCTGGCGACGTCTCCCCTGGAGGCCCTTGGGTCGGACCATGGCCGAGGGAATGGTTGACGTGGCCGTGCAGGGAACTGTACCGCTGCCGCATCGGACTGTCCGGCAAGTTGCGATCGATGTGAAGCATGGCAAGGTCTTGTTGTAGCTGAAGCAGCTGATGCGTCGCACTCGACCATTCCTTGGACTTATTCTCCAGGAGCTGCGACTTGACGAGGAGCTCGCTCTTGAGCCTTGTGTTTTCTGCTTCCAGAATCTCTTGTTTCTCCTCGAGCCTAATCCAAGTGACTAGTGCCAACTACAAAACTTCGTACTCGAGTTGATCGAGCTGCATCATCCGGTCCGCTTCGCGCCGGATTTCGTCCTCAGGCAACGGGCCCGTGAACCGTCGGCGGCTCTTTTCCCGCTGGGCTTCTGTTATCTTTATACAGATATCGGGCATTGGATGTCAGAGTAGAACAAGCACTCCTTCATTTCTCCGCACCAGGTGATCGTCGAGGGTGGACAGCGCCAACAGCGTAAACACAACAAAGTCCCGATAGCTCTGCAGCACAGCGAGGGGATTCGCCGACAAGTTGAGCTAGAGATGACGCCACACGGTCAGATGGCCATAGCATAGTCCCCGTTTGAGACGCGACTTGGCTTTTACCGTGTGGAGATTGATCAGGGGGGCGAGCACCTCGATTTGTTTGAGGACGGCGAGACCGTTGCCAGCCAGGTTGAGGCGTTGGAGGTGCGTTAGGTGCTGGATGCCTTTGGGAAGTTGGGTGATGTAGTTGCCCGACACATCGATCGACTCCTATGTTGGCATGCATTTCAAAATACTTCGCTTAGACCGGGCTGCCTCAGCCGTACCAGCAGACACGGCTTGGGGAATTTGAGCACTTTAAGGTTGTTACGTGCCATGGTCAAATGCTTGAGATGGCTAAGCTGGTCGAGTCCGTCCATCGTGTAAATGCCATGGCCACTGACATCCAGTGTCACGAGTTGGGACAAGGGACTGAAAGTCCCAAGTGACTTGAGTTTCCAAGTTGTTTTGACGTCGCTGGAGACGGACCGGCCGAGGTTCAAGCACTCGATGCGTAGAGGATCCGCTCCTTGCAGTACCTCTTGCAGAATAGCCCTGCAACGCGGGAGCATGACGCCATGGGAATTGTCGATCGAATCATGTACCAGTCTGCTGTCGTGGTTGGCATGGACAACGAACTGTCGACAGCGTTGCTTTCGTCTCGTTCGTTGGAGGGTACGTTAAATGAGTGATGCGTCTTTGGTGGGCAATGTCGCAGCACTGGAATTCGCGACGACTCCACGACGGTCGAACCAGCGACAGTAGCTCGTCGTGGCAGGTTCGTCGTATGTATGTTTGTGCATGGAGCATGGTCGTACACCGCCTGAGGTTGACGTGGCAACACCGTTGGCTGATCGATCGCAGCCTCCGCCGCGATCTCGGCCATCTCCGGGAATGCCGACAAACCGAGTACTGTCCGTTATTAATAGGTGACTCACGTCAGGTATCAGTTTCGCAGCGTGAACGTCAACTGTCCGGCATGGCAGGTGGACCTCATGTTCAAGGAAGCACACTGTCCGTGGCTGCAGATAGCCCCTCGGAGGCCGGGGCTTGGCAAAGTCGAGCGCCTTGGGATCTCAGCCCACCCAGCGTGAAACACATCAAATTTACATGAAAGATAGTTGCCCATACTTTAATCAAGTGAATAGTGTACATCGAAAACTCCACGTTAGTTTACACCACCTTTAGTCATAACTCCAACAAACGATCGGAATTTCCAATGAACACAAAATCTGAAGCAAAATAGCGTCTTAGCTTGTGATTGGACAAATACCATTTATAGAGACCTCTGATTGGATCAGACAAAGTTTCAGTCTATGATTGGCCAAATATACGTGAGAACTTCGAAGCTGTCGATGTTTCAGTTTCCTGGAAGCTGTGCCCTCAAATGCGCTACACCAAGAATGCAAGGGGCTCAGCTCCCCCATACGTACGAGTAGAGCGCACTCGGCACGACCAATGCTGCACTTGACGCATCTAAATACTTACGTGTACAACGCTTGCACGTATTTCTCTAGTTGCCTGTGGAGTGGTATATAGAAGTTGAAAATAGTATACAAATAACTTGTTTATTTGCAAGGCCAAATCACGCGTGGGAGTGCAATTTGTAGCAATTCAATGGATCCGATCCCACATGAGAGTATCTCGCAGAGTTAATTTCATTACGTACTAATCTTTCGCCTTTTACTAAAGATTACCGTGGAATTGACTCGACTCGATGCGACTTCACAAATTTATGACCTCCCTTAGGGAGGACCCTAGTTCCTCTGCTTTCCATTGCCTCTTTCCAATCTGTACTCTCTTGTACATACCGACCTTTTTTCATGCTGATATTATGCGCGATTCTCATGGGGCCATGCGCCTGGCATACTCCCTCGTGCTCGTTGCTCGTTTCATCACATGCGTCATCATGGTCCATGCAACTTCAACAGTTTGGGCTTTTTGGAGCGACAGTCCCCTTCTGCATGTCACGGCCATATCCATCCTGCCAACACAACCAATTCGTCCCGCCCTTTTATTCCTTCGACTATATGCTGTGTGAGTCCATGTCGAAGTGCATCGTCAGCTATGCACCCAGTGAAGCTCGGGTGCTGAATGGAGCGACCACATCAAGCATAATCTTCTGAAATGATTGCCTGGGGCGAAAGCAACTCAGCAACACTTACGTCTACACTGCGTGAATGCACCTCGCAAGTTTCCCCGATGATGCGCTATGCCTTGTCCACGTCCTTGGATTATGGCGGCAACATTCAGGCACGAGTTGGGATTTCGGATACGGTGTCTCGTATCCGGTAGTAGAGTCGCCAGTTCCGGAGATCCAAGACAGTCGTGCTCAGGTCGATGGACGTCGCAGGCTGGGCGTCCAAAGCCCTTCATCGACACGGCCGTACTCTTGCACTATACATGTGGGCATGGATGGCCGTGATCCAGATAGTCCAAGTGGCGGTGCTCATGCAATGGCAGCCGCGGCTACGAGAGTTCTTGTCATTTGAGTTGGCATGCGTTGTCGTCGACCGTGCTTGGTGCACCACCACTACATCCCATTGGAATGCCACTGCAACCGATTTCCAAGGCCACGAAGATGAATCATGCTTGGCGATCACGAAGCATTCCCACACGAAAGTGGTTTGCACCATATCGATATGAACACGATTTTGCAATCTGATGAAGGCCAACGTATATCCGTGGTTGTTGTATTAGTGCGAGGTAGGTAGATACCATTAAGTAGGCTTCGTCGAAGTTGCACGAATGACCGACAGAGCACACTGCGCATTCAGCGTCAAAGGGGGCCTGCTCCATAAAGTATTCATCCATCCTCCATCGGCACACAACAAGGTAGCATCCGTGTGCAGTTGAAGCACTTGTTGCGTTTTTGCACGATTTTTGGGTTTTTGCAATTTCGCACAAAAATGTTGAAATGAAAAGGATGAAACCATCCGGATAATATCCGTGCAAGGTTGGTTTCCAGTTCCGCAGTGCCGAACCCCGACCCGACTCGGTAGCGGTATCATGGAGGTAGGAAGTACATCCTGTGAAGCCTGCAGTCACACCATCGCTAGTCATGCAAGGAGTTCCTTGTGGAAGACAGATCGGCAAGCACATATACTGATGTCGTGTGGGCGCCGGGAGTCTCCAAGTTGCTCGGCGTGGACACCATGCAGCGATTGATCCTAACCGAAAGCGATACGACCAAGCAAGTACGACTTGAACGCGTTCGCGATTGTGCTCCTACGAATCTCACACGTGCATTATGGCAGGTAACTTTTGAATACGCGGCGCCGCTCTTCATTCCCCAGTCCATCGGGCTCGAGCTCACACAACCCATTGATCAAGTGTTCATTGAACGAGTGTTGTTTCGCCGACGGACCACGTTCTTGGACAACATTACATCGACATCGCCATCTTCCACGATTAGTCATTCTTCGTTCCCGATTTCACAGCCTTCAGAGACGTCTCCATCCCTGTTTGATGAGAACGAGGTACTGTGGACTGCAGGCCCTCGTACTCCAAGTGATCCGCCCTTTCCAACATGCATGTAGTTCTCCGCCACATCGACCCCCCTGAACATCAAATCGATTGGGTTGTTCTCAAAGGACCCTGTCCATATCGACGTTGAAGAAGACGTATACGTGAGTCAATCGATCTTGTTGTCGCTGCTGCTGTCGCCTTCTCCAGCCACGGACGAGCACCGCGTGATCTTACAAGACACATTCCTGAGCCACACAAAACTGCTGCTGGATGCACTGGTCCATCGAGTGAACGATGCAAAGGACCAGCGGATCTCGTTGGATTCACTCAGCCACCTCGTGTACGCATCACTCTACGGTGGCCTCGTTGCTCTGTTGCAACACGGTGCTACCACCCCTGTACGTCTTTCAGTTGCGCTTGTCGTCTCTCATGTCTAATTCCCAGGACGATGGCGGATTCTCCACGCACTTGGCGCTCGAGTGCTTGCCTCTGCTGCAGAGAGTAAATGCTGCGCTCGAGCCGCTTGCCCAGTCGCTTGTCCACTCCGATCGACTGGACATCCAACCACCTAAATGCAACCTCCACAAGCGAACTCACAAGCAAGCAAACTCGCCCGCTGGTCTCACAGACGAAGGAGGTGTCCCTCCCACCCCAATGATGGCTGTCGCTTCGCGCATTCCACTCAAACGTCAACGTACGTTGTATCGTGAACCCAAACCAGACCGGCAACAACTGCATTTTGCCCATGCGATCAAAAGCATGCTCGAGAACGTCCACAGCGCCATCACAGGGTCGTCGACCGATGTCATCAACCCAACCAGCCTTCTGAACTGGGAGTTGTCAGGTATGGTAGCCTTGTGGCTGCAGTGCCCATGGCACTCGACTGATTCGCGTCGTCATGCATGCCTAGACTCGACTAGTACTAGTTTGATGGCGTACTTTGACCTGAGTTTTCAAGCCGCGAACGAACTCGTGCGTGTGTCTCGCCGGCATTCGTTTGCGTCGGTGCTGGTATTTGTCGCCGAGAACCCGACCCAACTGCCGCTGATTCAGATCGAAATGGAAATGAATTGCATCAAGACGAGCCTGTCGTTGCTAATTGAGCTGCAAATGACGATTGCCAGTGTCCAGAATCAAACGGAACCGGTGCTGGTACGTCGCATCCAAGCGCGTTGTATCACGTTGCCATGGGACACAGACGCTGAATCCAGCAACGTTGTGCGCAACTGGCGTTGATCGGCACGCTTTGGCTGTAGGTCTTGCATCCAGACGTCCAACAGAAGCTCATGAGATGGAAAGGAGCGATGGCCGTATTGCTGTCGCTCGGGTGGACCGTCAACACGACGGGGTACTACCACTTGGAATACCTCGCCGTCCCAAGCGCGCCGCAGAACTTGAACGATGCCGCGGATTTGCTGGTCAAGTACATTCGACTGTGCGAACAGCGCCACCAACAGCTCACACAAACCCACCACTTACTGCATCTGGAATCCACGACGGCATTCTCGACCACCAAGCAGGACAAGACAACAACAGCATCGGGACTCCAACAACAAGTCGAATTCCACTGCCCGCTCACGCATCAACAGTTCACTTCGTCCAAGGACTTGTCCCTCCACGCGGCGCGTTTGGAGCCATGGCTCAAGTGCATGGTGTATTGCCGCATGAAAAAGCTCTTTTGGTACTCTCCGTATTCGGTGCAACCCCAAGGCAATCTGCACTATCCATCGTACACAAGCTGCCGACTCGAAGTGCAGGCAAGCTCGGATGTCTTGTGGATTCGCCATCCGTTCTACTTGTACCATGCATGCCTTCGCCACATGATCACCGGAGCGAATGGCAAACCAGGCGATATTGCCTGGCGCGACGAAGATGATTTCTTGTTCGGATTGCCCAGTGTGCATGGCGAAGTTCACTTTACCCATGCTCGAGTGTTTCCGTCCGAAGTCGCTGTCGTGCATGCGCTGGTTCCCTGCGTGGTGGACGACAATGAGGTGGCTGCACCGTCGCAGGCCTTTTTGCAAACGCTTGTACGATCGCTTTCTATCTAGTTGCGTGGCTTGTAACATTCGAACTCATGACGGCATTTTTAGATCCAATGCCAGGAGTGCCCATGGTTGGTCCGCCTCGGTCCTGTACAATCTAGATCCCTCGAGCGCATTCAGCTCGAACGCAAAGTCGTCGGACTTGCGCTGGTGGTCTCGGGGCTGCTGCCTGCGGCCACAACGAACATGGACCATCCTGCGTGGATTCGACTTCGTTTGGAGTACCAAACCTTTCACCAGTGGCTGCACCAGCAGTGCCAGCATCCTTCGAACGACACACTGGGGCATTTGGAGCTGTGGGTGACTTTTCTCCTTCAAATGTTTGCGGACGCACCCCTCACAGACTTGTGGGCGACGGGCGACGTTTTTGATTACGTCATTCACCAAGTGTTCACCTTTTTCAAGCGCATCCACGACATACCTCTCACCGTGGCCATCCAACAGCGCATGCTCCGTCATCGACGAGCGGCTTGGCTTCAAATGATTGGGCTCGTGGTTCTCGAAGCCCATTTGCAAGCGTGTCCTGTGCTACCGTCGTGCCAGCACATCGCGATTGAATCGATGGCGGCTATTTTCAAACACAAGAATGCTGGAGCCCAGTCCATACGATATGGAAGGCATTGGACCAAGCTGCTCCAGGCGACGCATGGGTGGAGTCGAGAGTGCGACGCATGGATCGTCGAAGGCCTTTATCGCCTATGGAGGCAACCAAAACCCGTGCCCCAGACGTTTGCTGTTCTCGACCGACCTGCGGCCACAGGTGTGCCGAAACGACTTCGACTTCAATGTGTTTTGAAGATGTAAAATTATTCGTTGGTAGGAGGACTGGAAAGCATCTTTGATGCTGACATCACCCCCGAGGCGTGGACCACGGCGCTGTTTCTCACGCTGGATTGCATCGACACCAAGTCGGTGGTCACACTCTTGGTAGATCAATTGCACAAGTGGCTCGTTCAGGCCAAGGACGAATGTGTTTTGCGAGGCCACCGCCTCGTGTCGCTGTGTATGGAAAGATGCAGCACCTCCAACGACGTGGCGTTCCTACCGTCATTACCCACAGTGTGCACTCTCATGTGCACCAAGCTGCACCTCTTTTCCCACCGAACGCAAGAACATCTTGTCCATGGCCTCCAGGTACTGTGCCGTTTGCATTCGCATCGCGTCTGAATTTCCAAACGCACTCATGCTGAGGCAGACGTTGCTCCCGTTGATCCGACCGACTCCGATTCTGCTGGAATTTACAGTCCTTCTTGCAACAATGGGGCAAGACCCCCTTGCTGTCGGCGGCGAACCGTACCTGATCACCGAGGTCACCGACATCGAATCGACCAAGGTTGTGCTAAAACCGACTTCGGCGTATTCGCATACCTTGCCTCCGTTGGCATTACAGGCGGCGAAAGCTGCGATGGTCGCGTGGTCGTTGCAGTCGACGATCTCAACATGGCTTATCTCAGCCGCCAACGACGTGTTGAGCTCTGGAGACAATCTGAGTGATCGCAGTGAAAGGAAGACGGGGGTGGGGCACTTGCTTGGCCTTGGAAGCGTCATGTTGGCTGCACAAGATTGTTCAAAGTTTGTGCTGGGGCACAGCCTGCACATGTCTCGGTCGGATATCGTTCCTGTCACAGACGGGATCTTACTCTCCCTGCAACGCGGCAATACGTTGCGAGCGGTAGGTGGAGCCAATGCAACACTTGGATAAACTAACTACCGCGATTGCGAAATGCAATACGTAGACATGTCGATGTTTGTTTCGCTCCAAGTGCGCTGCAACACCGTTTTTTATCGTGCAGTGCACAGCAGGCTTGCTTGAGTTTCCCTGTGACGACCACGGAACATTTACTCGGACCCTGGTGACGCCCAATGTCCTTTCCCTGGTCGAGCGCGCCGCGTCGATCACGCCGTCGACCGTCGTGACCAACTGGTTTTTCAAAGTCTGGCTGCGTTCGCTGGATTCTCCCCGCGACGACACGATTTCGTATCTGTTGGATGTCGCGTTGCAACCGGCGTCGTTGTCCATTCCGCCACATGCGCTCGTTTCCCCGCAGACTGCGCTCCAACCACACACCTACTGGTACGACAACCTTGTGGCTCCGTATTTCGCTGAAAAAAACAATGCAGGCGAGTCGAGGAGATGTATCGGTACGCTGTCCGCGAACTCGGCCGCCTCCACTTGCTCGAAACGGTGCATGCTGACCATCCACTTCTGTGCGGTCCATTCTATGCCCACGAACGAAGCAAGGAGGCGTCCACCATACAGCGACATCGACATGGCCATCGTTTGCCGACCGCACTGACTCCTTCTCGAATTCTGACACGTGATAATCTCAAACGCATTGCTGCCATTGACAGCAACGAAGCGTGCAATCCCACGACGGTCGGGAATGCGGTCGACCTGGCAAAACTCTGCGACATGGGGTATTCCCCGTCCGTGTGCGCGTACGTATTGCGTCACTACCAGCAAAACACGCAAGGCGCGCTTCAGTGGCTCGTCAACGACCAAAATTACGACGATATTCGGCAAATTGAACTCATGCACCAACCGCCGTCGCGGGTTGGGTTTGGCGAAGCGCTGACACCAAGTGCGACGTTTTTCCGATTGAACGCGGACATCAAGGAGTCGCTGCTCATGTCGTGCTCGACGTCGCGAGAACTGCTCAACACACTTCGCCAAGTTCCCCGCGAAAGCTTCGTTCCACGGCTGTATGAAAAAGAAGTCGAAGACGACCATGCGATTCCACATCCCCTCGGATACACGCTACCATCAATGTACCAATCCTTGCGGGTGTTGGAGGCGCTCAAGCTGGAGCCAGGTTCGTACGAACAATGCTTTTCGTATGCCAACTCCGTCGTCCCGTCGTGTAACCAAGGTAACCTGTGTAGGCGTGCGGATTTTGGACATCGGGACTGGTTCGGGTTACTTTGTCACACTCTTGGCTCGCCTCATGGGCGACAACGCGAGCATTACGTCGTGGGAGCAAGATGCCGATCGGTTGGCGTACGCGTATATTTATATGGCCCAGAGTGTGCAAGATGGCCACAACGTGATTTATCCCAAGTTCATGGAGACCATTCGATTTGAGGTTGGTGCTGACTTTGTTGCGAATAATGATTGTGATGGGATCCTTATGTAGGTGTGCAATGCGTTTTTGAACGATCACGCGGACGCTACCTTTGATCGCGTGCACGCGGGGGCGAGTTGTCCTCGGGAAAGCGTCAACTTGTTGCTGCAGTATGTGGCGCTGCATGGGATTCTGGTCGTGCCCATCGACGGCACGCTTTGTCGCATCCACAAAACCCAACCCACGAACGATTGGATGCACTTGCCAGTCGAGCCGCTCGGGGCGTATTCGATTGAGAGTTTGACTCCGCCGTCGTTGCAAGTACTGAGCGCGTCGCCGTCCGACGCGACGAACTGCCAGAGACGCTACGGTTTGCATGGATTTGAAGAGGAAACGCGGACGAAACCCTTACGTGTGCTCACGATGGACGAAGACATGGTGGAGATCCCAACGGTTCCGTACCCCCTGCAAGTCAACATGCTGTTTCAAGTCACCCCTCTGACGAAATCGCGAATGTACCAACAAGGGCAGTCGAACACTGGCCTTGTAGTGACGCGAGTGGGACCGACCCCTGTCCAGTTGAAAGAGCTGTCAGTAGGAGTCAAAATCAGCGACGCCTCATTGCGTGTAAACTTTCCAACCCAACAACATACAGCGTCTGATGGTTGATCTCGGTTGTATCGTAGGTGTCGAATCGAGGAAGTTTCGGTACCGCCTGTGCCAACGTGTATGTTCGAGGTGGCGGTGTTTGGTTCTTTGAAGTACGCATCGGCACGTCCAAGGTGATTCAAATCGGATGGATCTTGCCTGGTTTTGATCCAAACCCGGAATCGGGTCTTGGTGTTGGCGACGACAAGTATTCGTATGCGTACGATGGTCGTCGGAAGAAGAAGTGGCACAATGGCATGTCGGATGATTACTGGAAGCAATCGTGCAAGGCTGGGGATGTCGTCGGGTGTCTCCTCGACTTGGACCAGGGGTATGTGTATTTTATTGACCTCGTTGTGTTGTCGCCTCCATCCATCCCAAGTGATTTTGTAGAAACATGTCGTTTCTGTTGAATGGAACCCATCTTGGCATCGCTTACACCGATCTGCCGCGGGATTTTTCGATGGGCGGATATAGCCCCGCTTGTTCCATGGACGGCGGCGAGTCCGTCTGGTTCAATTTCGGCGTTAAGCCGTTTCTATACCCTCCGTCGCAGCATTTCTGTCCACTGGCCGACTTTGTCTATCTTCCGCTCATCGACATTCCCACCACCGTCCAGTCGTCGACGATTTTCGTCGCCAAGCGAGTTCACGCGGACGCCGTTGCGGCCACCACCATCGACGACCCAAGTGTGACAATCCTCATTCCTCGCAACCGCATTGCTCCATTGGATCACCACCTCGCTTTGTTTCTTTATCACGAATCCACGTACAACCAAGCGAGGAGTGGGTCATGGGAGCAGCTGTGCACGGAACTGCAGCGCAGCTTGCGGATATCGATGGCGAGGTCATTCCTGGCGGCCCACATGTCGAGTTTGAGTCCGCGCGATTTGATGGCGTATCTGTCGTGGGCAAGTGAATTCCCCGTGATTCAGTCAGACCAGTTTAAATTGTCTCGGCATCAAATTCCATGGCTGGTCGACGCATTGGATCGTCAGTTACACGAAGCTGCCGACACAATGGTCATCGAAGAGTCGAGGCACCCCATCAGCCACCGACTGGTATACTTTCGTTGGATGGAATGACAACCTTGGGATAAATGACGACATGTAGTTGGCGGTGACCCCTGTCGTGATCATGGCGCTAAAGACGCTGCGAACAAGTCTCTTGGACATGGAGAACACGATGGAGAAAGGCAATTCGAAAGGCGCAATGGTGCATCTCCAACGCGCGACCGAGACACTCCTGAGCCGAACTGAACGCGAGCCAGGTGATCATTTTCAACGGTGTCGGTCGCAGCTTGAATCCGCGTACCAGCGAATCCGAAGCGTGTCGAACGAGTTTACCTTTGCTGATCCGTCCACCTACACACGTCGCCCAATGCTGGAGAAGGTCGTGCACTTAAAACAAGCGCTTGAGCTGTTTGAGGCCCAAGTGTCGTTCCCTTCGCGCATCCCTATTGAGGCGATCGAAGCGAAATATGTTGGTACGACGGCCTGTGCGCCTGGGAAACTGGATCTGTTTTCGTGACGACGGATGCTTATAGGGCTCCCCGAAGCGTTGTCGCTCAAGGTCGAGTTCGACCCTCGAACTCTTCGCACGAACTGGAAACTCCTTTTTTTTAAAGACGCTGCTTGCCAGCAACGTTGGCCATACGTGCTCAGTCGCGACGGATTTGCACCATTTATCATTCCGTCCAACCATTTTTACTACACATTTGTGCCTGACACGACCAAAACTCATTTAACTCCTGAGTGGGGGTATGCATTTCGAGTCACGCCATATATCTTACATCCTCAGTACGATATCTTGATAGCGTCGATGCAAGGAGCGCACTAAACCTGTTGTTTCATTTTCGTAGGCACTGCACCCCGACGTGGTCCCTCTGGACCGCCGTACAAGCGCAGCCCCAACTGCAGGACATGCTCATCCAAAGCAACGACGCGGCGTCGTGGCTTCAAAGCATTCTCCGGTACATCCGCACGCCGGCTGCGCCGGAGAAAGTCCACGTTCTGTCGACGTTGGTGCTGTGTTTACACCGGAATCGCATGCGCCTTCCGGCGGACTTGCAGCCACATCTGTCGGAATTCCTCTGGTATCTTCACCCCGAACTTAATTTTGTCTATCGCACGTCGATCAAGTGGCGCCTTCACTCAAACCCGTACTTTCAAACGCTACTCCAAACCGTCACGACAATTGCGAGCCTTGCCGAACGCCGCATTCAACGGTACGGCAAATCCAACAAACTTGGTTCCTGTGGATAACACTGCATGTAGTGTTGGCATTCACACGTTTGGCTACCACGCCGAGATGCACATGTGGCACAAGGAGCTCATCGAAACCGTTCAGGGCCTGGATGCGATGCACCCGGCCACGTGGCAGCCCATCATTAGCAAGCAGTACAACCCTCTGCACATGCTCAAGCAGCTCTTTAAGCAATTTGAAGCGTCCATCAAGTCGGATGTCCAGCGGTGGCACAAAAATCGACGAGAATTGTGGATTCGCCAAGTCGACCAAGCGTATCACCCGGCCCTGTTGTCACATTGCCTCTACGTCTTTAATGACACATTGCTCCCAGGTAAGGCGGTCGATCTTAAGTGCATGTGGCTAAGGAACTACATTTCACGAGGATAATGTAGTGTGCGTGGCGTCGAGGGAGTGTGGGTGGGCGGCCGAGCGCAACAAGTGGCTTCGGCATTTGCACGCGGCGTGCACTGTCGGCGATATTGCGATGCAGCTCATGGTGCTTGCTGGCTTCATTGACGTAGATTCGCACTCGAGTACCTGGCCGTGTCAGTCGTACGACTGGCGAAAAGCCGTCATGAACTTGACGAAAACGGATTTGTCGGAGGATGGGCAGTTGGAGGTGTCGGGACAGTGGACGGATGGCCACGTTGTGTTAGAAAACGATTTGGGTACGAAACATCCTCATTCTCGCGATTCCCATCCACTGCATCAACTTGTTAACTTTCCTGTGTCTCTGCTACACAGCAACGACCTCTCTCAACCGCATATTTGAAGACTCTCCAAAACTCTTTCGCGTGCGGCAGGCCGAAAACGTCCACGTTATCGGCGCGTTCGGGTATAAGCGGACGCTGATCCGAAAAATCCAATTCCGCCTGCGCAAGACTTTCAACAACACCCCGTGCACCGCGGGGATGGTATTTGTCTTCCCAGAGTACCCGACCCCCGAAGACATGATGAAGATTCAGCATTACGATCACTTTACGAGCGAAAAATACCAGTCGTATGTCCTTAAGATGCGGCGGCGCGCAATGGTGCCTATACCAGTTCGTCCGAACCTTTAAAGTTTGAGCCTGGAAAGTGATCTCCAACGAGTGTAGGGAGATCCCGTGGCTTACTTCGACGTCACGTCGCCGCACTACTGCCAAGGCAACACGGTCACAGTCGTGCCGGACTTTGCTTTGGTGGGCCAATACGTTGTGGTGAAGCTGCTAAGGTGCTACAACATTCGAGTCATGGAAGATCTGGCCGACGTGATCAAGCGGCAGGAAGATCACCATGCTCCAACCAACGTGTACTACAACGTGAATTCTGTTTACCTTTGGTGCTACAAGCCCCACGAAGAGGTGTGTTTGTGTACACGTCGTTCTCGATTGCCCTTGATTTGAGATTGAAAAACTAGTGGTTGATCTACCCCAGCGCGATCGAGTATATGATTGAGAGCAAGTACCAAGCGTACTGCCAAGGAGACATTGTGAGCCACGGGGAATATGTCGTGGCGGGCGAGGACGTTGTGCTGGACTTCCAGAACATGGTGCAGTACACCCCAACAGATCAGTTTTCGAACCCGGTGACGTGCCGCATCAAGCGCGTCCAAGTCACGATCGACATGAAGATCAAGCTCGCGGCGCCGCCATCGATGGAAGTCGAGTACATGGGATTCTTTGGGCTGCAAGAAACGGTTCGGTGTCGAAGCCTATGCGCGACAACGATTCATACTTGCGTAGGCGGCCGATGAAGCGTACAACACCTGGAAAGTTAAGTTTCAGACCCTGGCCATGACGGCCCAACACGCGCAACTCAACTCGCCCACCACTCAGCTCTACCGTGTCTTGAGCGAAAAATCCCCTGTTCACAACTTTCCCAGCTTGAGCGCGTCCATATCAACTTACGTCCTGTACGGCGAGATCGTGTCGATCACGGCGAGGAACGGCCGATGGGGGTGCATTGCCAACTCGGAAGCGTGGTGTCTCCTTGATACGCATCAGCCATCGTTCTTCCCGATTAGCCAGGCGAGGGCGGCCGCTCACGGGACAGTCCCGTGGCTTCCAGGTATGTCCAGACAAGTGTTCGTTTTGAGTCTTGCATTGATACGATGGGCTGCGCAGATCAACCGGTCCACTGTGTCGCTCCCAATGGAGAGGCATACTCTGGAATGTTCCAAATTGGCGCATCGCGCGAAGTCGACGAAGAACTTGTTCACATGGTCAACAAACTTCGCGAAACGAGTGGCCGGTGCGTGACCAACTTGATGGTGTCGGACGTGTACGCATCACTGCACGGAAAACACAAGGATTATCCTTACTTGAGCATTTTTCCGATCCCCGCGATCACGGGCCGACTTGACGTGCTGCGGGCGATCAATGCTCGTCTGTCGCAGTGTCTCATGTTCATCGGGATCGGATTAAAGTTGAAAGAACCCGACTGGTTGAGCGGCGTCGTGCTGAAAGCCAAGTCGTGCTTGTTCTTGGAGACAAAAATGCACGTGTGGAAGGTACGCTATCATGCCATGATCGGTGGATGAATGAACTTGATTGCATTGTGGCAGAAAATCTGGAGTGAGTCGTACAGCATGGAGCGATCGTCCGAAGTTGTGACCATCAATCGCCATCTTGCCTTCAAAGCCCGCGACACACTGCGCGACTGTGCCAATGTGTTGCAAGACGATCTCGCGGTGTATTCCCCCACAGTGTTTGTTCAGTTGTGGCGCGAATTACACCGCACGTCACCTGGGCTACTGCGGCGCAGTGACGGCAAGTCATGGTTCACCAAGTTTAAAGGTGAACCTTCCATTGACGACGGTGGGTTGTACAGAGAAACCACAGCGACCACGGTACGGTCCTCCTTGCGCACGTGTGAGAGGCTGAATTCGGTTAGTGCTACGAGCTCAACAATGGGTTGCTACCGCTCTTTATTCCGTGCTCGAATGGCAAGCACACGCAAGGCCTGAACCAGAACACGCTTGTGCCCAATAGCAGCTGCACCAAGTGGCATGAATGCTGCGAATGGCTCCAGTTTGTCGGGGTCCTCATGGGCATTGCCACACAAAACCTCGAGGTCCGTATGCTTGACGCAGACGAAAACATCTCACGTCCCCTTACAGGAAGTGTTTCCGATTCAACTGGCGCCACCCATCTGGAAGCTTCTCGTCGCGGAGCCACTCACCCCCCACGACTTTCACCAGTTTGACGTGGCGACTGCTCAAACCCTTCGCTACCTTCGGCACGCAGACTTTGATTCGGACGACATGTTTGCCTCGATCTTTCCCGACCAGACATTTACTTGTTTAAACGAGCAAGACGAAGTTGTCGAGCTTGTTCCGCATGGGGCGACGATTCCTGTCACACTGGGCAATCGACTCGAGTATGCTGACGCTCTCGAGTCGTACAGGCTCCACCAATTTGACGAGGCGGTCGGGTTCATTCGAAAAGGGTTGGAGTCCATTGTTCAAGTCGACTTGCTGCCCATGTTTACGTGGTCCGAGTTGGAGGTATGCCGGTCCGAACGATTGGACCTGCACCGTGTGACTGGGATTTATGTAGCTGCTCGTGTGTGGTCGACCGACGCTGAATTTGGCACTGCTGCGCAAGAAAACCGAGTACTCCCCCGACATGGACATGCAAGATGCACTGGTCGAGCGCTTCTGGCGCACTCTCGCTGGGTTCACGTCGGAGGAGCAGCAATTATTGTACGTCTTTCTCTGATGATCCAGTCGACATGCGCTGACGGATGTTGGGCTGCAGTTTGCAATTTGTCTGGGGGCGAACGAGGCTTCCATTCAGCGAAGTGGATTTTGGCTCGTACACTTTCAAACTCGTGCGCCACATGAGCCCCTCCAACCCGGACAACTACCTCCCCGTCGCCCACACATGCTTTTTCCAGGTGACGTGTACTTTTTAGTTGTCGTCGGCAACAAAGTTGTGCTGTCTTGAGTGTGTCTGACATGGGGTCGTAGCTGGAATTGCCCAACTATTCATCGGCTGCCATCATGCGGTCGAAATTGCTCTATGCCATGAACCACTGCACCTCCATCGTGGACGAAGAACAAGCGGCGCACCAACTCGAAATCGCGCTGTGGGACTCGTCCTAATTTAATGCGATTGTGTACAACGACGCCCGTGCATAAATTCTGACAACGAGGTGGTGAAAGAGGTCGCTGGAGACCGTGGAGCGGAGGTCGATCGCGCGATTTTTAACGTGGACTTGCAGGATTCGTGGTTACCACGTCGCGTTTCAGGCCTGCTTCAAAGAGGCCAGACGGATACGCGCCGAATCATGTAGTTGCACTTGGATCCATGTTGCGCTTCACGTGCACTCCGTTATGGCGTTCGATCTCGGCTCTCAACGTCCATAATGCCCTTCCACCGATGAAAGCGCAGTGTGACACAGTGGACCTGACAACATGCGCCAGAACCGTTCAGGACATCTTGAATGATATGTCGGGAAGGGTGCGTATGACGCAGCGATAACGTTCCTCTGCCTACACGCAGCCCACCCCGACAACCGACCCTCGCCCGTGTGGCGTACCGCCGCGGAAAACGGGGCCGTCCGCACGTGGCCCTTCCTACCGACGACCAGATACAGGCAAGTTTTGCCACATGCTCCGTGGCGAAGAGCTCACGCCCAAGTTGACGCGCTTCGCGCCAAGGTGCCGCCGAGCACACGAAATTTCCTGACGTGGCACCCCGTGAGCCATCCAACCATCATTCTCATCGCGGCCCTGAATGTTTGCGAAGTATGGTTGTTGTGCAGTGCGCATGTTGGGATGGACGAGGTGAGCGCAAGGAACAACGTGGCCAACATGCTGCGCTACCCTTTGGAACTGGCTGTGTCGGAGCCAGGGTTCTCGTATGTTTTGATGCCGTGGATGGAAGCGATGGCTCCTGCTTTGACCCGCCACGCGAACGACGAGTTGGTTGCCAAGTACCTGACACCGGCGTTTCCGCACCCGTACACGCTGGAGAATGCATTCAGCTACATTGCGTATGCTCAACACACCACGGACGAAGCGATACTTGCTATTGTTCGTGTGGACAACTCGACCCTCGAGCGAGAAGCTATCGGGAGCATCGGTGTCATCTTCGACAACGACAGCACGGGCAAGTTTGGCTATTGGTTGGGTCGACTTCATTGGGGAAAAGGCATTGCAAGTGCGGCCACTCGAGCGTTTTTGGAGGACCTCGCAGCCAACAACCATCGAGAGCTCAAGCGGGTAGAAGCGTCCGTGTACGTGGCAAATGTAGCGTCTCAGCGCGTGTTGGAGAAGAATGGGTTTCGCTGGCAACGAGTAGAGCCGACGCTGCCATATCGAGACGGTGGTGCGTTGGAGGCCAATATCTTCGTCAAAGCCATCGGCGACGGACCACTTTAAGACGAGCCTAATGCAAGAATACAATTGCGAATCGGTTCCTGAGATGGAGTGGCGCGAATCCGCGCATGGCGGTGCCTCGACTGTCGGTGCTACGGTCGTTCGCGCAAGTCGACTCGATCCGTATCATAAATGGGCTCTGACTGTCCATCGCGCGCTTGAGTGCATCCATTTTCTCCCTGGTGTGATGTCGGTGCTCAAAGTTCGACAGGCACATTTTACGAGAATCCACATCATATATACACCGTGAGGGCGAAGATCAGTAGTACGACACAGATGACTCTTGAGACCAGAATCACCTCATGGCTTGGATCAACTTGCACGCCGCCGCTGGGAACGACATCCCGACGCGAGGCGAAAGATCTAGCAACGGTTGGTTCCCACCGGCCACAACTCCGCGGACTCTTGGATGATGCACGTCACGCGGGGTCCCCCCCGCTTGCGTCGGGAATTATTGATGATTTTTCAGCTCAACGAGACGGCGAGACCCGTCATGACGTCATGAAATCTCGCAAGACGCGAACACATCTTGGGAGCTGTGCAGAACAGTTTGGTAAATTCAGTTGATGTCAGCCTCACTCGAAACCACCACGGCATCTGCAAGTTTACAGCAGTCGATCGAGTGTGCGGTTTTACGACCCGTGCATGCTGTCCAAGCCGTATGGTGGATTCAACAAAGCAATCAAACCACACGTCGCGGGGCGGACGGGACCTTAAGAATGTGCGAAAGTACCAACGGCCATGGAAAAAAGTATTTCGGCTGGATGGAGGTTGTTGGGGTCTTGCGTACAGCAGGCACGACTCTGTTTCTACAGGAGCTTTCCACTCGCCCCACTTCCACCGAGGAACAACAACTCCATCGATATCCAAACCTCAACTGGCCATGCGTGCGCCATTCCAGAGCATTCACTAGAATGCAGCGAACACATACGTGGTGCTGGCGACCATTCGACATGGACGACCACCCCCATGGCGAGTGCAAAGGTCATGGTTTCGAGAGTTTGAGCGGCATCCATTGCGAATTCAATACAGGGATCGATACCCTGCTTCTCCACGTTTGACTTTCACTTGGCATGCAGTGCCGTCTGCTTCCTTTGGCGTCTCAAGTCTCGAGGAAGCGTCGCGAGGACCTGCGTGGCATCCGTTGGCACGTCGGATAAAGTCGCCCATCGCCGTGTCTTACCGAAACGAGCGCAAGTGGGGAAGAGCAGGGGCCTTTCCAAAAAGGACCTGCTATCTCTGTTCGTTCAATCGTAGTAGACCAACGTGAAGGCACTGCACGAGCAAAAAGTGCTTTCTTGTACGAACGGTTCACGGACCGAACTGTTATCGCATCCAGCAAAGTGTGCCTCCCACGTGCCCATGACCAAGTCGAAGCACCTTGAGAGCACGCAGTGGATCGCCCGGGAGGTGCTCGCATTCGATCGATCGTGCGATTTATCGGAATTGTCTGCGCGGTTTCTGCCGGTCGACCTCCATTCCATCACGTTGTACGCAAGTTCGTTCTAGCGTACGAGATAGGCAAGCTGACCGTTCCGTACACTGTGAACTATGTGGGAGAGTGAACGAGCGCAGCCAACCAAGTCAACTCGTGGGACCTCCACAGACGTGTTGACATTGCAAATGGAATCTGCCGAGAAGAAGTACCTCCGAGCGAGAGATCCTTGTGTCATGCCATTGCTGCAGCGGTATGTTGGGCGTCGATTTGCAGCATGATAGCCGGAGGAAGATCCCAAAAGCGCAGGAGCCCATGAATTGACTCATCAAAACGACATGATGCAGCGACGTCCAACATGTTTCGTGGACAGAGTCCATGCGGAAGTGTTGGTGTTTTGCCCAATTCCGTTGTCCGAGCTGCTGAATTTGATATTCAGTTGCTCCAGTGTCATGTTGCGGCAGGCACTTGACGTTGAGAAACTGGGCGTTCGTTGGGACGTTTCTCCATTGAACCGATCTGCATGAAACCACAACACCGAGCCGCTCCTGCCGATTCGCCTGTGCAAAGGGCCCCGCCTGAACAACTTCACGCTTACTGCGACTCCCATCGGCAGAACGCCAATATGGTCCAAAAGACGTGCGTGCCAAGGACAAGAACCCTACGGTGCACCAGCTGATGCGACGAAAACATGCCTGCGCATGGAGAGCGATTTGTTCAGCCCACGCATCTGCAGAATGACGCGGGTGCATTCAGCTCTTGGGTCATCGCACAAGCCATTCGATCGCACGAGCCATTCGAACGGCAACTGTCATAACGTATGCCTTGTCAAAAGTAACTGCGATCCTGCAGGGGCATTTCCGGTTACATCCGGAAAAACCGCCCGGCTGTAAAGTTTGGCAAGCTCAAGAAGGATGGTACGTCCTGTCATCGCGACGGAACGACTCAAGGAGTGTGCAGAGTTACACAGGGGGCGTATCAAGTCGCCTGCGCCATGGGCAAGGCACATATGTGTTTCCAGGAGGGTACTACAGATACACGGGGGACTGGCAACGGGGCAAGATGCACGGCCACGGCATCTTTTTTCTGGGCGACGGTAGCACGTACGAAGGGTCGTTCGTGAACGGAGAAATCCAAGGCATGGGGTTGCGTCGATGGCCCGATGGAACGACGTACAGTGGCGAGTTTGTTCGGGGGGAGATGCATGGAGAAGGTGGGGTATACTGTCCCAACACTGGTAGATTCACGGTTGCACATGTTTAGGGATGTACATTGCACCCAGTGGCAAGAAATACGAAGGCGCGTGGCGCGACAATCAATACCATGGTATATGGCACTTGCGGTCGAAACGATGGTGTCGACACTCGAATCGTTTGGCACAGGTTACGGAGAACTCACCGAGACCGACCAGTCGCTGTACGAAGGCCACTTTCTCCTCCACAAGCCTCATGGAGTTGGACGCAAAACGTGAGGCCGATCGAGTTGTCGCATGATGTGTGATTTCACTCGATTTCCGTCACTCGTATGGACTAGATGGCCAGACAAGAGCACGTACGAAGGGGAGTGGGAACGCGGGCTGTGCCATGGCCAAGGTACAACTCGCTCTCAAGTCGGGCGGTCGGCACGGTGGTTGTAGGACGATGGACTGCGGTCGACGGGACGGTGTACGAAGGAGCATGGGAGCACGGTGTTCGCCATGGTCTTGGAAAAGGCGCGTGGACGAATGGCCTCATGTACGACGGTCTCTGGACGCATAACCATCGAGTCCGTACGTTCGCTGACCCACTTTGGCCGCCTTGATTCACAACACACGCTTGCCAAGGGCTGCCTTGACGACGGTCGTGACTGCGTAGACGTGCCGACGTGTGTGGTCGTATCGCGGTTGGGCCAGGATGGAGTGACCCCCGATCCATCGCCTCTTGTATTTCGAGAAGTTGTCCCTGCCGTTCTTGGCGACGAGGTCGCTGGGGACGCTATCCCGCCCGCGTCGGCTCCAATACCCCCTGCCAAGATCCTGCCCCAATTTCACGTCGCCTGTTGCCGGAGCGGCACCGACGCGTCGTTGTGGATGCTCGAAGAGAACCACCAAGGGCCCCGTGGTAGCATCGAGGTAAGAATGTTGAACGCACCAGACGTCGCTGCCAAAATACACTCATGTCGGCGTCACGTTCAAGGACGGAGCGACAGCCGACACTGCAACAATTGTAGTCGTCGAGGAATCTGGGCATGGCATTCGCGTGAGTTTGTTTCAGGGGCGCTCGCCGGCGGATATCGCGCGAGAGGCGACGATGGCCGCACTTGCTGACGCCGAGGCCAAAGAGAAGCGGAAGAAGAGCGCGGCAGTCGAGGCAGTTGCGCCGGCAACGGACGCAACTCCCCCACTTCTCACGACACTTGTCGACCCAGCTACGCAAATCAATGTCGTCGAGTGGGTTGTGTACACGTCGCACGGCATCGCAACGATTCCAAGCTTGCAATTGCCAGTGGAAGCAGCGCCGGGCGACTACTTTCTTCAGTTCGACAGCACCATGGACACAGCGATTCCGTCCGCCTATTTTGGGTTTACCATCGTGCGCGGGGATGACTCTGGGTCAGACAAAGTCGGGGGCAAGAAGGACGTCCCAAAGAAGAAGTAGACGAAATTGCAAAGTGAATGATGCATGTTCATCGGCCATAGAGGCGTCCAGCGCACCACAAAATCTTCATCTGATGGTGGCGGCTTTTCAAAAAGCAATTCTCTTGTGGCTACAATTGAAAATCGGTAGGCTTGACGCTCGCAGCCAAGAGGCGTCGGTCGACTGTAGCAGGCATGTCGAGCTGAAAAAACCCCAACACGTTGCGCTCGAGCCGGCTGTGGTACAGCGCATGCTTCAACGCAAAGTAGACCGAGTTTACGAGCTGGAACGGCGGCTCCCCGACGGCTTTGGAGCTCATCACGCCTTGGGGGTTTTCGGCCTTGTCCAGCAACGTGACATTCAAAATCTCGGGAATGTCCTTGTGCGACGGGATCTTGTACTCCCACGTCCCGCTCGTGACGAGCTGTCCGTGTGCATCGTACTCGACGCTTTCTTGAAAAAAGAGCCCCAGCGCCATCACGAATGCCCCCTCGATTTGACCAATGTCGATCAACGGGTTGAACGACTTGCCGCAGTCGTACATGACGTCCGTTCGAAGCACGTTGAGTTCGCCCGTCAAGATGTCCACCTCCACCTGCGCCGCCCGCGCTTTACTCGTCAAAGCGAATGGAGAAGTTTTGTACCTCGGAGCACGCAGCAGCATACACGAAATAGTCAAACTGTTGCCCAGGGGGCGCCACAACGTTGGGCTGTTCTCCTGCAAAGAGCTGGACCCCTTCATCATGGGCTCGTTGAATCAAAACTTCCCACGAAGCGTCCTGGGGCAGCTTTGCTCGCACAGGTTCCAGGCGAGTCATCAAAGTCGCACACGCAGCCCTGCCAAACATCGATCGGTCCCAGATCAAAATGGCCCAAACACGTACTGAACAGAGCGAGCAATCGACTCGGACGTGCTCGATCCACCGGTCGCGTCGCTGTTGGGGATGAGTCCCGTCGACGTCGGCTGGAGTCTGATTTTCGTCAGCGGAATTTTGAGCATGTATGCGGCCATTTGAGCCGCTTTGGTGTCGATCCCCTGACGTAAGACGATGTTTCAACAAAAACCAAACGGACGGCACGTGCGGCTAGCCAGCACAAACGCGCAGTCGAGCGATGGACTCGATGTTTTGTACCTGGCCAATTTCACACCCGCCTGGCACAGCCCACGAGTGAGTCCATCGACTCGATGTTCAACCCGAACGCCTACCGTGGGACACAACGACAGAACCATCGCCGTGGAAAATCGACACGGTGGCGCCGTACTTGAGCCCCGAAGTGCCAATGCCATATTTGACAGGGGTGACTGCCAGTCCTTTTTTCTTCCACTTGTTTTGGCTGTTAAAGTACAAATGGGCCTCTCGACGACGAGCGACATTTGCAGACTCGTGCAATTTGGTCCAAATGCGGCCCAGCGTGACGTTTTTCAGCATTTGGCCGTACGGAGTCCTGTCGTTGTCTGCAGCGATTTTTGTTGTCATCCACCGCCTCCATACATGAGAAGCAAAACATACCTTTGACGAAGTTGCGCTTTTGAACCCACTCGACAGGCAGCTGCAGCGTCTGCGCTACATGTTCAATCACCATTTCCAACAACATCACCGAGTTGGGCACGCCCGGCGCACGGACAGACGTGCACGTTGGCGTATTGCTCAAGTACATGTAGCCTCGAGCTCTAACGAAAAGCGACGTCGCAATGTGAGCGAATCCGTCCAACAGCATCGAGACAACGAGAGGCGGAGAGACAGTACCGAAACGAAGGCACGTGGTATGCGCCATCGGACCACAAGATCGCCATGAAACACTCGCCACAGTTGTCTCTACCATCGAGGTCAACAAATATTTCTCGCGTGGGAGGCATGCATACCCGCCAGCAAAAGCTCCCATGGCGAAGTGGAACGTCAAGTCCAATGCCAAGAGATGGCCGTCGTTGTCAAACCCAACATGGTACTCGCCAACCATGGCATTGCGACCGGCCACATTCCGAAAGTCGGTGTTGCGGTCGTTGATCACTTGGACGGCCTACGTAGAAATTCCCCACACAGCATGAATCTCGGCAGCTTTCGTCTCGGGGCATGGAGCGTTGTCATGTCCACTCATCGCTTGCCCACACACACGGGGCCCGAAATAGGACCGTTGGAGCATGTCAAACAGTCGAGGAAACCTACGACGCCATGCTTGTGGGCTGCGATCGCGGCGGCCGTGGCATTCACATTGCACCGCGTCAATTTCCCGCCAAACCCACCGCCCGCACGCTTCATCTTGATCTCAACCGCATGCATCGGTCGATTGAGCACACGAGCGATCGCCGCTTGGACGCCAGTCGGGTTTTGTGTTGACGCTTCAACACGGTAGCATTCATCTTCGTCAGGATATACCGTTGTGGCTGCGACACAGCCATGAGATCACCCTCCATGCAACGTACAGCTCCGCCCCCAATCCAACGCCAACTTTAAGTCTAATTTCGCACCTTGTGGCTCCATGTAAAAGTGTCGCTGTGATCCAAATGCGACCGAGCCTTTGAGCTGATGGGGTGCCTTGGCAATCTTGTCCTCGACATGGTCGTCGCTCTGTGGCATGCAAATTGGATTCGCTTGATCGGGAGTCGACGGCACAAATGTGTTGGCCTCACGAGCCATCGCCACGGTCGTGATGGGGTTTTCGTTGGTCCAAAATGGGTCGTCCTCGATGGCACCGTACTCGACGTCGACGAGACTTGCGGCGTGTTGTGCGACGTCTGCTGACGTGGCCAGCACAAGGCCGAGCGCTGCCCCCACGTACAAAGCATTGCCTTGAACGGGTACGAACAGCGGCTCATCGCCGTCGCCAATACGGTTCGCTCCCGGAATGTCGGCGGCGGTCACGACGTCCACAACTCCCTGGACGTTGAGCGCTTTTTGCGTGTTGAGTTGAACGACTTTGGCCAGCGCCTTGGTGGAAAACACAAGAGCCCCGTAGAGCAGTCCAGGGAGTGGCAGCGCATCGCCAACATACTTTGCTTCCCCTGTCGCCAGCAACTACATCCCAGCGTAAAGATGAAATGACGTCGAGACAACGGTGGAACATGGGGGACCTTGGCGCTGAGTTTGGGAATCGATTGACCGACTGGGGCCGTCCCGCCGTCCACGGTAGGGACCACTTGATGGCCGCTTGACACTTGGCGAGGTAGTTCGTACCGTCCCGACGCGAGCCGCGCGGACGACAGCGCCGGGGCGACTTCTAGCATGGTCTTGTACCAAAACGAATGCACCACCGACCTGCATGTGCCATGATTGGATCTTCGCATTTGGCCAGCCAACGTACTGTTTGAATGCATCGAGGTGCTGCATGTCGCTTTCCAACGCTGTCATCGTGCTGGTCAACGTCGTGGGGTCGGTCACGAGGCGGTCGGTCAAAGCGTTTTCCGTTTGCGTGCATCGCATGAGTTTCCCAACGCCATGGAACACGACGCGGGCGCGGGTGCACACGTGGTCCGCATTCAACACGATCATCATGGCGGCGTTGACGTGTGCATGCGAATTTTGCTTTCGTTGGGCGACTTTGTGGCATTTGAACGTGCGTAACGAAGACGTCTCGTACAACGGGAGCTCGAGCGACATGAGCAGAGGGTTCGCCGTGTCGGGAAGCGAAAGAAAGTCCTCGATCGACATCGACGTCAACGTAGGACCTTGACGGACGGTCAGCGCCGCGCCGTACCCGACAAGGCCCGTGGCCAAGTCGGACGGAAACGACGGAAAATGCCTTGCCAACGCTAGATTGCCCGCCCACGTTCCTGCATTGCGCACCTGATGGTTGGCAATTTTCGACACATGCCGCGCAAGCGCCTGGATACATGGATTTCCCTTGATCGCATGCAAGGTCGAGAGCATGACTGTGAGCGAGACAGACGCTCCCACCGACAGATTCGTGTCCGTCGTGCGAATCGTCTGCAGCTCCGGAATGAAGTTGATGTCGATCAGCACAGTCGGCAAGATGGCGTGGTTGTACGGAGCCGTGCCATTAAAGTACTTGGACACTCCACGCGACGTCAGCCCGCCAACAACCATCACCTTGTCGGCACTGTGCTTGGCTTGAACAGCGACGAGCTGGTCCATCGAAATGACCCGATACCACGACAAGATTGCCGTGGATGTTGCGTGAAATGCCAACGGGACGGGGGTGTACTTTTTTATGAAGTCTGGCACTTGGGCATCGTCGAGCTCTACATGGGCAACAAGCGCTCTCGGTTAGCTCACTGGGCTCACACGGCCATTCATGGGAAGCACAGATTGTAGAATACACCATGGAAACAGCACTGCTGCCTATGTAGCCATCAACGTCACACGTCACAACGGGAAGGCTAGGTTCCACCACAATCTAGTGTGCCGCTGCGCTTGTCGAAGCTACCGGCAATCGACGTCCATCCAGCTTGGCATGCATTGTACAACGATTCCGTCCAACTCGAAATGCGCGACGCAGCACACCATTGAACATGTGCAGGCACAAACCTCACCTGGCTTATACGGGGCACCTAAATCTTCAATTTCACCGAGTTGGAGGTGATGTTGATGCGGGCAGTCGTCGCAGGACGTCGTGCACTGCTTCATCGCGCGCGTTTCGTCCGTGTGGTCGCACTCGAGGTCTTCCCTCTCGACAAATTCAAAGTCGGGCTCGTCCTTGTCGACAAAGCGACGGTCGCTGCGGGGGCTGTACGATTCGTATTCAAGGGAGGTTGGTGCAGTCGACGCCGTGCTGAAAGATTGCATCGTCTGGAGGATCGGGCGGTACCCCGTGCACCGACACAAGTTGCCATCAAAGTGGTTTTCAATCGTGTCCTTGGTCAGTGGATCGTTCGCACCAGTCGACGACGACGTTTGAAGCAACTCGTACATGTTCATCACCCACCCGGGGGTGCAGAAGCCACACTGCATGCTGTAGTTGTCGACCATCCGCGACTGAATTGGGTGCAATCGGTGTCGAGTGCTTCCGACCCCTTCCACAGTCAACACGTCCATGCCATCGATAGCCGCGAGGGGAATCAAACACGCGTTCACAGAGCGATAGATGATCTGTGATGACGCGAAAGGACTCCGATGGCACAACACTACAGTGCACGCGCCACACCCACCTTCTCCACACGAGAGTTTCGTCCCGGTCAGCCCCGCTTGATCACGAATGTAATCGATGAGGCGGAGGTCGTTGAATCGTGGAAATGCGTTGCCATCTACCTCTATCTTGCGCCCGTTCAGCGCAAACGTAAGGATGTGAGACCATTCGGTCGGAGGCGGCGGGTCCTGCTCCATCGTCATCCTGTGGAATGGCGATCGATCTTCCGATTTGTCTCTGATCGTCCTTGAATAGTCTGACATGGTGGAACGATTTAGAACTATTTTGAACGCAGCCTGAACATCATTCATCCGGTTAAAGAATTGTTTGAAAATCCGACTCGTTTCAAAATGCACAACAAAGGGCCCAAGGGCCTTGGGCAGGGCTTTTCCTCATTTTCTCACGTCTTTTTCTTTCTCCTGTCGAAACGAGCGCCCGTTTTCCAAAGTGAGTGCAGTGCACGAGCCTGGACTTGCGTTTCTTTGTTTAAGCTAGAGATTGCCACCACTGAAATTATTCTTAATCGTCCAGACATAATGACATGCACTCTGAATAAAAGAATTCTGTCCAGCCAATCGAAATGGAGCATGGATGACGTTGCCGCATTGGCTGTAGGAACTGTCCGGTTGAAGCCACTCCGACAAGTCGCCGCGCCGCCGCCGTGCAGCCCAAGACCTGCCATGAACGAAGTGAACCGATTCATCGTGGAAGCGCGGGAGTCATGCGTTAAGCAAGCGATTGTATCGTCTGTCATGGGCGCCACAATGGGCGTCGGCTTGGGTGTGTTTCTCGGCACGTTCGAAGGAGCGCATGGGGAGTTGGTCGGCAACACGATGCGGGAACAACTCTACCACGGGTTTCGCAAGTCCTTCATCGCTGGCTACGATCGCAGCATCTACTTCTCCAAGGCAAGGAAACTGCCCTTGCTGTTACTTGGTCGATCTCACGTTGCCACCACGTAGCAATTCATGGTGGTTGGAGCCATCTACTCTGGTATTGAATGCACGATTGAGCGCGAGCGTGCCGTCCACGACGTGTACAACACTGTCTCTGCCGGGGCGACTACCGGTGCCCTACTCAGCGGATGGGCTGCCAAGCAGCTTCCTGCAAAGGGTGCGTTGTTTGGTGGCAGCGCAGCCGTCCTCACTTGTCCATGTAGAGTTCATCAAGCACACAACCAAGGGAGCGGCAACATTTGCGGCCTTTGCGGCTGTAATGGAGTTTTGCTTGGAACGTTTTCGGGAGTAATGACATATTGTGTGTGGAACGTGAAGAGCATTTTTGTTTATCGACATGCAACACTATCCCATCGACAGGGGCAATACGAGCCACGAGTCGTCTACCGCAGGCACGACGAATGGCACGGCCTCGCCCTAGTCGAACACAACAGACGTTCACGGCAAAGCCCATCCCACCATCAAGACTCCTTACATGCACGGGTAGCGGCGGCGGATGGGCGGCCATGTGCGTCAAGCACCGCTGAATCGTGGCTTGGATCGATACAACCCATTTGACCTGCAACATACCCGAACGTTGGCATAATTTTACAAGTACGCTGGCCAGGTCGTACCTCGCCAAAGTACACGAGCAGTTGCAACAGCGCCTTGACGTCTTTTAGTTCGTCTGGGGTCGGCACTGCTGCAAACAGACACTGCTGCACATACGCGTCTTCCTCAGCGCTGCCTTCTTGAATCTTGGCGCGGCGGAACCGACGTGGCATCTTCTTTCGAGCCACCGTCTTTTCCGACGCACCCGCAGCACTACTGCCTCCCACATAGTACGAACTCGTGACTGCGGCTCCGAGCGACGTCAGGTTGTCTGACAGGCCAAATTTGATGTCGCGGTTGCTGTTGTGGCTGCCGACGCTGCTCGCGCTACTACTTCGGCTGAACGCACTAGCTGCAGCACTCGACGCTGAATCCTGCATGCGAATCCTGTCAACAACGTTGTCGGAACACATCACGAGCACGTCGCACCTTTCCGCCATCGTGGTCATCTTCATCGGCCTTGCCATCGATCCCATGCAGCCGAAAAAGTCGAATTTGCTCGCGCAACGTCGTCAGGCGTGTCCAATGGGTTTGATACGTCGACATTTTCACTTCAAAATCTTCTTCGACTTCCATGGCAGCTTGCTCCACCTACACAATGCAGTGCATCCATCGCCGTGAACGAAACGGGAACATGAAATGCCTCCATTCCACACGGAGGTGGTGCAGATGGACAAATTACCGCTGGTTGGACGTCCGTTTCTATCAAATCCAATCGATTGTGAAGCGCCGCCATGTGCAACGCATCCGCGTAGAGTCGCCCTGAGAGCAATGTGGCAATGCCTAGCACACCAAGTGAGCAACAATCCATGCTGAACGAAATTCCATTCGCTTCCAAAAACCCAATCGACGTGGCTGTTGCTCACATTCTACCTTCGTCCACATCGTGGCAGTACTCGATGAGGATGCGTGCCGCGTCCTTCGGGTTCGGGTTGTTTCGGTTCACTAGTTCTTCGGCGAGCGCATACGCCACAGTCACAACGTTCAGCGTCGGGACTTGTGGTGCCAACGTGAGCGCCATTTGCCAGTCATGCGCCTTCTTGAACGCTTCAACGGCTTCTTCCGTCGCTCGAACGCTCAAAAACGTAAAACCAGCTTGGGAATACTGGGACTGGCCCATCAAGTAGTGGCCATACGCTGTGAGAATGGGCTTTCGATCGTCCGCGGTGGTGAACAGCGCGAGGCCTTGATCATACAAATGGTACGTCTTGACGAACTCGAGACAATCCTCGCGGTGGGCTGGCCCCGCCGCATGCAAGTGCTGCAGTGCGCGATCAAATCTGCAGCCGCAAACGCACATATCCACATGACCGCTAAAACATTGCGATGATGAGTTGGTTACCTCTGCAGGGACATGTCGATGGCGTAGCGCATGTACGACGGCGAATGCAACGACGCAAGCGCTTCGAACTGTGCCAGTTGAGGCGTGTACTCTTTGGGGTCTCGCTCGGTGTGCTGGGCCACGAGTCGAGTCAACGCAATATCGTACAGCCTAAAATTCACCACATCGATTAGTCGCACAACGAGGAGGAGTGCGTTGGCATCGAGTGGCGTCGTACCCGAGCGCCACGTCGTATAATTCTTCCACATCCACAAGAAACACGAGATGTTTGAGCCCTTTCTGTGCCGCGACGGGGTCTTTGGCATGCAGCTATCCCAACTTCGATTGCCTCCTGCAAATATTCCGCACTTGTTCGTACCACTTGTAATCGCTGCAGCGCAGCATCAAGGTCGAGCAATTTCGCGTCACACGTGAGCAACGCGAGCATGTAAAAGTCATGGTTCAGCTCGGCCATGACCGTTCGCAGGGCAGTGCACACCTTGGATTGAAACAGGCGAAGGTCAGTTCAATTCCACGAGGGCTAGAAAACCTCCACCTGAACGACTTTGTCCCACGCCGGGTCCATCACGGCGCTGTTGAGTCCTTGTAGCGCTGGAAATTTCGTTGCGCAGACGTCTGTGGGATGGAGGTTCGTGACGAAGAGACAGAGTCGGTCGACACAGCTGCGCTTTGGAATGGCCTCGATCCACTCGGGTATATGTCTACACCACCGCAGGGAGTTCATTCGTTGCAACGCATGGTCGAGTCGTACGCGAGGAACGTGCCAGGATTGACGTCCACTAGGACATTCATATCAATGCGGTGCTTTCGACACAGCTCCAATGCAGGGGCGTAATCCTGACGAACGAGCAGTGAACGCAGCAACGCCAGGAGCAATGGGCGCGGCGAGATTCCTTCGAGATTGCCACGCTGCATTTGAAGCACCACGTCCGTGTCGGTGGTCGTTACGACCATTGCCCCTCGCTCCATCGGCCTCGTGTGCTACGCATAAGGACCCCTCCATCAGTTGGTCGTACACACAGAATCGGGTGCACCTTACCACAGGGTCAACACGGCCATCTCGAACTGCCTCCAACTGATACACGTGAAATTCCGCCTTGGAACCGAGCGTGGTCAAGACCAAGAACCCCGTCGCGGTGATGTCGAACGATTCGACCGATGCGTGAAGCAACGTCGCATTCACGTAAAGCTTGGATCGAGCGAGCGCGACAACAAGATCCGAGCCGAGGACCACCCATTTCGTCCACAAGATGTGCAGGGTCTACGGAACCGGCGCCGTGACCACTCCATCACCTAGTACCATCCAGGAATGGAGATACAGTCACTCGCTTACTTGGACAACACCAATCCCTGGCACAATTGCTTTCGATGCAGCAAGCTGAACATGGTGTCCATCGGTCGAGACGGTAGAAATGTCTTCAGCATGGTCTGTCGTCGCCACAGACCCTGTCGCGATGTTAATCGTGGCTATTTGCGACGGCTTTGATCTCAAAATGCCAGTGACCTGGTCCATCAACAATAAAACTTGACTCGTGCGCGTCATGCTGTCAAAGCGGCTGCTTACCGTCGAATTGTCCACGGCCTGTAGATGTCGAAGGAGCCAGGGCCGTGACTCGTCGTCCGCTCCCACCAACAAAAGAGGTTGAGGCTTGTCGATCCACGGGGCGCTCAATACATACCACCGACCATCGACGTCGTGGGCGACGAGTGTGTCGTTGTTCAGCAGGACGGTGGCGTTGATGGCATGGGCAAACTCGATGCTGGCAGCGCACATGGGGGGAGGAATGAGTGCGGTGGCACAATGGGTCACCTTGACGTGTCTGCCATCTATCACCGCGACGGTCGCAGCTGCATTCGCACAGACGTGCCAAGACACAGACAGGGAATGGAACGCCCCGGTAGTTTGCAGCGCATGCAACACATACGGCTACACCATGGACTAAAACATGAGTACGTCCAAACGCCATACAATTCAGACCCCGACGGGCCACAAATGTCGATAGGCAGGACGAAGAAATAGCGTCCGCAGAGGAAAGGACCAGATTACCTGCTCAAGGTCCCACTGAAGAGCGGCCACGGGCGAAGTTAATTGTCTTGACTGCTTGAGGGACCAGTGGTAGTTGCTCCGCGTCCACAGCTGTACAGTGGTTGGCGTGATCGAAGGGGTGGGACCATTCGTCGGCGTTGCATTGGAAGTTGGCGAGATGACCACGGCGAGCACATCCGACGCCATGTTCCAAGCGAGGTGCGTCACGGTGAAAAGACCCGTCGAATCCAACGGGAACTCACCATGACGCAACCCGTTCCTTTCGAAGAAGACCACGTGCAGTTGCCCTTTGAACACCTCACTCGAGGCAATCAAAGTTTGGTTGGGACACCAGTGGAAGCCACTGCCTTGCAGCGCCAGTTGCCTCTTGTCCTCGTGGCGACCGGTTCCATGCAACGTCCACATAGCATTTTCGACGGCCCACACCTGCGTTCATACTTAATTTGAGTTGAGAACGCAGTGAAGGAGATACCTGACCTGAAGAGATTGCCCTTCCGTCGATGACAATGGTCCCTGTATAGCCAGGAATTTGCCATCCGCGCGCCACGACAGCTGTATGGTTTCCTCGATCGGTCCACACGCGCATGAAGATTCATGAAGGACATTCCACGTCGCGCTGAAGGTGATAAATTGGCCGTCACCCGTCACCAACGCGAGTTGTTCTTCGTTGGGACTCCAAGCCATTCCACGGATTCCGAAGTCGAAGTGGCCGATCAATTCCACATGCTGGTCCGAGCATTGCACGCTAACAAGAGTCCCGCTGCGAGACCCGCATACAACGCTATCGAGTTCTGCATGGAACGCGCACCATGACCAGTCACGTTCGGACGCCGGCAGGTCGACTTCAATCACGATGTTGCCATCGACGACACCCACCAGTTGACCAGAAGAAGACACACACCACATACGTTCTTCGGCGGGATCGAAGCTCATGTCGGTCCAGTGAGAAGCACCTGCAGGAACATGGCACGCACTCTCGGCTTGCACCACCAAGTTTCTCATAGTGTCTCTGTTGATGATGAACTTGAAATGACATGTCGTATCCGGAAAATGGAGTGACATCCGGATCAACGAAGAGAATTGAAGAAATCCATCCTAAATTGAACCAAAACTATGAGACGATTTTTGACAAAAAATCGTCCAATTTTTTGCTCAATATATCAGAGTAAAATGCATAAAAATCGTTGAACCCAAGTCCATGATTCGTTGCACTCCGGAGTGTACTTGCAGCACAGTAAGCGTCCGACTTGACCATATGACGCTGCTTTTAATGTCACTTGAGGTATACCAGTGGAATATATTCTTAGTTGCAATACAGCTGATATGCAACAAAACCATAAAGAATTCGCCGCGTATTTTATGACGGTCGATGCTCCACCCTGATGGAAGACTTCAGTTAGTCGTGGGGTTGTCCCAAATATTAACTCCACGGAAGGCTTGTCCTAACTCGAGGCGGCCTCTCGGCGGTACCTCATGGTTCCCTAACGCTCGTCCTACTTGTATCGCTTCATGCGGCAGAGCAATGCACGTTTTGCCGCGCGCAATTGATTCTGGACTTGGCATCGAGGACACGGCCCTCCCTTGCGGTGTCGGTGTTTTGTGCCTTCCACCTTGCATTCCGTCGCCTCGATCTTGAGCTTAAGTTCGCGAAGATCCTGAGGCATGTTGCCAAAATCCGGAAGAGGTAGGCACTCCTGCTTTGGCCTGACAATGCGGCTCATGCTGGCTGTGATGGAGTTGCCGAGGTCGAGAATGTCCTGGTCGACCACCATCATGTCATACGACTCATCGTCGTCATCTTCAGAGGACATCCCAAACAAGCTTGCGCTTCCAGAGACTCCAGAGCCCAAAGATAGCAAACTGTGCTTGCGCTTCACTTGATCAGGACCACCATTTGCAGAAGCCTTCGCTTTTCCATTCGCAGGCATTTGCTTTCGCGCTTGATGCAAGTTCGAATCAATCTTTTTGTCTTTGGCGTTCGGTTGGATGATCCCCACGCGAAGATGCTGAACGTCACGCGCTTTACTCATCGTAGGCGTCTGGCTGGATAGCTGAATCGTAGAAGTCGAAACGGCCATCGGGACATGGATCAAGCCAAGAGGCGGCGGCAATAGGATTGGGTCAGCAGAAGTGGTTGGTCGAATGGTAAAGTCGTCGTCTTCCAAGTCCATGTCCAAGCTCACGTTGTCAAACGGAGAGGATACAACGTTCGTTGGAGTGAAGTTGATTAACTTGACGTTGTGCTTGTAAGGTACATGCAACTTCCGCTTCTTCAGGCACGATGCCAAGATATGATTCACCATGCGAGTGGAGGAGTCAGCCACATCGTGACGCGGCGGAGGAGTCACTGGCACAGGAGGCCGCGCACTGCATTCTTCTTCCTTCTTCGAAGTTAAACATGTTGCAGGCCACTGAAATCGGTTCGATTTGTCGCAAATGGCACGATGATCAATTGAATCTAGCAGGCATTGTTCGTCCACTTCGCCCCACCACACACCATCAACATCTTCGTCTTCTTGCAACACATCCTTGTCGCTCAATGTCGCGATATGAACAATGTCATCCGCATCGGACGTGTCCGTGTTGGCGCTGTTGAAGCCCGTCAAGTCCAACTCGTCCTTGCAACGAACCACCGTTTGGCCGACGACGCTCGAAGCAAAGGTAAGGTCATCGTCATCGCATAGCGACAAGTGCACATTCTGCAACACATCTTCAAAGCCGTTGCTCGTGGATGAATGGAGATCTGTTGGCGGTACAATTAGAGAAGGGTCTGCGACCGACGTTGCACCCGCGAGGTCGTCTTCGCGTGTCGTGGTGGTCCAGAATGTGTCGTCGACGTCGTAGTAACAAATGTTGTCGTCGGCATCCTGGAGCGACTTGACACGCTCGATGATCTCGTTCGCATCACACGAGTCGGACGAGAAATCGTCCATGATGCGGAGGAACTCGGACCGGTATGCCGTCGCCGTCATGTCTTGGAATGAGTGTGGTTTTCGAAATTGGCGAATTCCTAGTTTGACCCGATTGACACCACAGAAACGACCGTTTTCCAGTGATTTGATTGGCTCGTTGAAGGAGGAGCGACAATTATTGCTGGCCCTCTCGCTTCAACCCGGTGAACAGCCGCGGGACAACACATGTCCCCCATCCGGTTCTGACTCGAACTGCAAATCCCACGGAGTTGAACACCGCACGATCGATTCTGCAATCAATTTTTTTCCATGGATTAATTTTACATACAAACTGAAAGATCAACTTGAATAAAACGATGTCCTGAAAGCCAGTTGACCGAGACGTCGACTTGCGACTACCGCCCCTCTCGCGCCCTTGAATAGTCGCAATAAGATCATCCTACCGATCCATGGGGTGGCAACGTGCCCAACGCCCGCGTCGATGAACGCGCAGCCGCCGTTGCCGAGCGCTTCGCCCGGCGCCGAAAGGTCTCCCCGCACCCATGTCTCCTCCATGCGACATCGGCCGGGTATTCTATGGTTTCGTGATGGAGCCGAAATTAGCCATCTTGGCGGTTTTTATATGATTCGAAAAATTATGGAAAGATCGCTATCTCTTAAAATGGATTTACTCGCCGCGCGGCGTGCACCAAGAAAGCTGGTAGCATGGCGCCCGGCGGCCGAAAGCGCAAATGGTCCGGTCGAGGTTGTGGACTCTCTGCAGGACTGGACTTTCGTATGATTGTGAGGATGTCACTGAGCAGCGGGTCGTCACCTTGGATCGGGTCCTGCGTCATTGTAAAGTGCAATCATGTCAATGACTGGCTTCATAGACATGAAGACCAGACCTCGATGATGGGATCCGTGTGGGTCTTACGAGCATAAAACTTAATATGCGCGTCGACGCCGATGCCGACGAGGGCATCGGCAAACGACTGACTCGATGACCATGGCACCGTGCGGTCCGCTGTGCCGTGGAAGAGATGCATAGCAGGAAACATGGTCGCCGTCGCTTTGGGCAATCTGCGTGCATTGTGTAAACCACGAGCAACGTTATATGCAACGGAATACCTCGCGACTCGATCTGTTGGCGAGTACTTCAACACGTCTTGGTCCATAATGGCGGCAAACACTTGGCGGTCCAACCCATGCGCATGAAACACCTCCATGGACTCATTCGTGTTGTACGGGCCTGAGATGCCGATGAAATTGCGAAGACGAGAAGGCTGCCACGTCGCGAAAGAAGGGTTCTCGACCGCTTCGATGAGGACACATGCACCAATGTGTGCGCCAGCAGACTGCCCAATGTATGTCACATTATCCGGGTCTACATGCCATCACAACAATGCGGCTGAGGAATGACGGACAGATCATGACAAGATGGAGGTGTTTGGTGTGTACGCACCTCCACCAAAAGTATGCACGTTCTCGAAAACCCACTGCATCGCGACGTTGGCATCCTGCATCATGTCGGGCAGAATTCCTTGGGGAAAGTTGCGGTAGTCAGGCATAACAACGAGAATGCCATACGCGGACAAGACCCGACCCATGAGAGCACCCCATGCCTTGTACCCAATGATCCATGCACCACCGGACAGAAAGACTACAACCGGTTGCCTTTTCTGCCATGCTCATGAGCAATCGAACACATTCAGGATGGCGTACATGAGGATGGGGTACAAGGTAAATGTCAAGGAGGTTGCGGCCGCGCGGGCCGTATCGAATATTCTTGATAACGCGGGGGCTGCACAACCAGAAGTAGAACACACGTAGGAAGGCAGGAAGGAGGCACATGACAAAAATGAGCAGTCGAAAGAGCATCACGATCCATTTCGACGAGACGCGGAAGGCCCATAGCAGTTGCATCGCCAATTTCGTGATCAACCACATTTCTGCAGACACATCTTTCAGGTCAATCGCGCATTGCTGACGCTTCCGTAGCTCCTCAGTGGAAAGCTCTTCATCGCTCACGTCGTCATCGTCGTCATCCGCTTGAGCCACAGGTACCGTCGTCGTTTCCGCGTGCCCGTTGTGGTGCATGGACAGGAGGAACTTCTCCCGCGACTTCTTCCACTCGCGCGGCATCGCCATGCTCTTGTGGTGGATCCACAAAAATACCCAAGAATATGCTATTCTCGACTCTGATTGGTTCGTGACCTCGATGTCGTTGAGGGATGCAAACGCCCAAATAATTGGACAACCAAGGACTATTGCGTAAACATCGGAATGCCAAAAGACCAACCCAATGTGTGTTGAAGCCCTTATCCGGATGTATCCGGTCAATATAGATATCTGTCATCGGAATGGAAATGGCGGAACATGAAATGGCCATATAGGCTTATCCAGATTTAACCGGATATTCAGTTTGCAAATAGTGTGAGCTTCAACGTGATTGCAGAGTGCAATGATGGAGTGCCGCCGAAACGGCGCCGCGGAGACTATAGTGATGAAAGGATACGTTTATTGCTTGATGATGTTGGCATCGACGAGTTTCAATCGCGCACACCGACGCTTCAACTTGGCGACGGTCCATTGCTCGTTGTTGACCTTGATATCGCGCGCCATGGCCTACGAACGAATATGAGCCAACATAAAGCACTGATTCCACGACGTACGTCATAGTCGTCGCCGTGTTTCTTGACCAACGGGCGCAGGTATTGGATTTCCAGTTCGGACATGTGATTTTCAGCCTTTTTGTGGTTCTTGTCTTGAAATGACAACACGTCACTGTCGGGCACGTCAAACAGCTCGTCGGGGTCAATCACTTCGTCCGTGCATTCACGAATGTGTTTAATCGCGTTCGGATCCTTCCACAGCCCAATCTTGTCGTAGTTTTGCGCTGTCGTGAGCTTGTGGTCCCACACTTCCTGCGCGACGTCATGGCCTCCGTACACCCACATATCCTCGAGACCAACGTACCTTGATCTTGGCATCGCCGACAAACTTGGTCTTGTACTTGCGAATGGGTTTCAAGTTGCGCTTCACCTTTACCTTGCCTTTGCCTGGCCTGTTGCGGTTGTGCACCATCGTGTTCTGTGCCAACTGCGAAATGCCGCTCCATGTTGTTTCCTTGCATCAACCAATCGATCCGTGTCCGGATAAATTTGTCCGGTAACAATGTACCCCTGTACAAATAACACGCCTTATTTGTAGACCATCGCTCACACAGCTACACAGCGGGGCATACACCCAACGTATGCAGCGAGGGCAACCTCGACCCCTGCGGCGAACTGAACGTGCACATGCACCAGGCTTGCGCAACAATCAACGGTGTAAGGAGGCAGTTGTGTAGTGGCGAGGGGATGTCAATGGCAGCCGCGTTTTCGCAGGCGTCGCAACGGATGTTTCAACGTATCTGGGTGTGAAACGGTCGATTCTCGCATCATCGCCCAATGCCGCGGTTCGCCGTCGTTTGTCTCGTCCGCGAGGGCTTGCTCGACTATGTGAACAGGTATGCACATGGACGACAAGGTCAAATTGCGTCGTGAGTTTGTTCATGTAGCAATGGCAAGCCTCGGTCTCGATGGTTTGTGTTGGACGGAGCTCAGCACGCCATGACCAAGTATACGTCGCCCGACCGATCCAAGCAATTGGGGCCACCCATTCATATCCTTGGCGCCCGCATTGAACGCGGCGCCGACCTATCGTTCACAGTGCACCTCCACCAGCGATATCGATCCCTCAAGCGACTTACGTACACCGCCCACTCCCATGACGAAAAAGAAGCATGGATGCAGAGTTTAATCAATTGCATCAACGGGATGGCGTCAGGTGCAACCACAACTTTGACGCATCGCGCCTACCAACCCACTTGACAGGTCTTGCAAAGCGCATGTGTCATCGCGGCGTCCTGAACGGGCAGTACATCTTCGTGCGGGAACTCGGCCGCGGGGCGTCGGGGGTTGTCTACTTGTACACATATCACGGTATGGCACACGCGTTCACGACAAGCGCTCCGTGAGTTGAGTGCATTTGCTCTGCAGGCAAGCCCTGCGCAGTCAAGAAGCTGCCGACGAAAGCAACCAAGTTCAATCACCATGGCCAACTCACGGACGCCGTCAAGCGCGAGATCGCTCTGCTAAAGAAGGCGACCAATTTACCCCACGTCGTATCGTTGTACGACGTCATTCAAGCGCGAAGTGGGACATGTCGCTCTGACAGCGACGGCGAGGACGGAAATGTTTACCTGGTCATGGAATTTCTTGGTGGCGGACCCATTGCCGCCTACGACAAGGTCCAAAAGCGGTACGCCACCATCGTGGTCACCTCGTTCGAGTTGCAGACTGGGAATTGCGTCGGATAAACCATCTCTAGAACGTTCACCCAAGTGCATGACATGTAGCTTTACCACCAAGCAGCACATGGTCGACGCTGACTTCAAACGCCTCATGCGGTGCGCCACGATCGGCCTCAAGTACCTTCACTCGCACCATCTCGTCCACCGCGACATCAAGCCCGACAATATCCTCATGACGGACGATTTCTCCGAGTGCAAATTGGCCGACTTGGGCGTCGCGCACTGGTTTGAACCTGCGCCGACGTCGGTGGGCATCCAAAAACAGGACTGCTCGATCGATCCACGACTCGTCAACTTGAGTTCGAAGGTTTGCGAAAACGCCACCGCACTAACATCCACCGACACCGTGCCACCCCCACCGACGCCGCACGCCAGCGACACTCTCGACGACACGAAAGGTCCTCTTTGTCGTCGCCACCCTCGCTGAGACGACCGTAGGCACGTACGAGTTCTTGTCGCCTGAAGCCATCTCGGGCGATGCCTATTCGGGGTTCGCCGCCGATGTGTGGGCGCTCGGCGTGACGTTGTATGCCGTTGTGGTCGGCAAGCTGCCTTTTCAAGCGGACAGTGTCTTGGCCTTGTTTGACCAGATCGCAGAGAAGCCAGTCGAGTTTCCGGTACGTCCCCTGGGGACGATTCCATCGCGCTGGCACATTCGACGCTTGGTGTAGCCCACGGTTGCGCTGTCTGTCGACGTGCGAGATTTGATCACGCGCATGCTGGTGAAGGACCCTGCACGCCGCATGACGGTCGATGAAGTCCTTGCCCACCCGTGGCTTTGCACGAGCTCGACGAAATCGATGTTGATGGCACCCGCCAAGGTATCGTCGAGGTTGTGGATGGTTTTTAACATCGCCGGTGAAGCTTGTTGTCGACGACGACGACGTGCATGCCGCCGTGTCTCCGTTGCAGGCGAAATTTGACATGATGCGCCGGGCCAGCCCCGTGGACCAAATGTCGATGCTGACGACGGTCGAGTGTCCTGGGGGATCCGCGCCAGTCAGCCCACCGGCGTTTACGACAGCGCGACATCGCCCCCACCCCATTGACATTGCATCGATTGCACTGCCGCCTGTACTGGCATCCGAGTTGCCGACCCTCGCTCAGCAACTTCACTTTCAATGGTGCTTTGACAAGGTCCTAGCAGGGTGGTCCTACGGTCCCCATCGAAACGACGACCTCAAGCTGCATCCTCTCCTCAAGCCGTTCTGGGAACTCGACGACGGCGCCCAGACCCGGAATCGCGTGTCCGTCGAGGCGTCGCTCAAATGCATTCTCGCACTGGGGTACGAAAGTCGCCATCGTGTCCATTGGACACTGGCACGAGTGTGATACAGGATGCGCGCGCAGGTACACAGTCACAAGAAAACCCAACGCGCACCAGTACGTGCCAGCGTCGTTGGCGCGCATCGCATTACCCGGCGAGCTCGTCGTGCTTGGAGACTTGCTCGCTGAAAACGACCACGAAGTGTGGGCGACGGAATACGTTCGAAATGGATGGACCGTGCGTTGCCGGCCGTCGAGGGGCACGTAGAACTGATCGGGATGCGTAGCATGGTCCCATGTACAATCCCGACACCAAGCAACACCCTGCCCTCGTGGCGTACACCGACCTGCCAGAAACCACGCGAGACTCGACCCGCCTGGGGGCACTCAACATCATCAAGAGTCTGGTCAGCTTGCATTATATTGTCCAACACCGTTTTGCCAAGTTCCAGCCGACGACGTTGGCCCCACCACGGCGTTTTAGCATCATGCGCCGAGCATCCACGTAGCATGACGAGCAAACCTGGCATCGTTGCCCCACGACGGTGCCAACCCCTTCGTCGTACGCAATGAGCTCGATCGGGGAATCCGCGTCAAGAGATCTGCAAGGAGTGCGCACCTATGAATAGAACAAGTTTGTAGGCAAGACGTGGATGGCGGCGCCGCATGTAGCCACACGTTTCTGTCACCGGCACATGGGTGTGGTATCTATATATATATATTGTACCACGACCGCGGCGGCATTTCTCTGGCGTGTTGAAGGAACGGGACTTGATGGCCATGGCTCGTCGACGGCCCGATACGTGGCCGATGGTCGAGTCATGTCTTGGTTATCTGAAAGGTATTCGCACGGCGTCGTGCGCATGTGAGTTTCACAGCAAGGGTAGAGCATGCGACGGGTACCGTGAGATCGTCGGAAGGGCGCCAGGCTGCAGACGTGGTGGCTGCGCTCAAGGGAGGCCACGTGCGGTGGCATCACGATGGTAGCGACTCCGCTTTAATCGACCCGGCTGTTGTGTGGACCGCGTTGGACCTGCTCCTCCTTGACCCGTGCTGCAACTTGTACTTGTTTCCGCCCAACTTGTACCCGACTCTGGTCCGTTTACGTACGTGGCGCGCCTCATGACGCAATCCATCTCACGAACGTGCGGCTGAAAAAGTGTGGGTAGATTCTTGTGACGACGCTCCTGATCTTGAGAAGCTCAAGGCGTTGCTGCACTCACCGCCTGACCATACGAAACACCGATTTTTCCATGTCATGCACGTATTGCACGAGATTTGGACGAGAACGGGGTCGGCCATGACGGAGTGCGTCGAGCGATTCGCGCCTCTACTGTTCCGGGATGGCGTCAGCGCCGTCCGCTCCATCAGCCACATGGAAGGCATGCACGCTGCCAAGAGATGCTTTGCGGCGGTCCTCCTCCACATCGACTTTATGAGTCGTGATGATGCAACTGAAGTGTTTGACGCGCTGATTCAAGACACAGTCCACGCTGTATTGTTTCCCGAGCCACGTGAACAAGTTGTCTCGTTGCTGCCACCAAGTGAGCGTGAGTCTGCTGCGCTCGATCCAACACAAGAGCAACCATTCCAAGAAACTCTTACCGTTGTCCGAGATCGAAACGAGCTTGCTGCGGTCAAGTTGCAAGCGCTGGTGCGTGGGTGGCTTTGCCGGCGATGGTCAGTCCTCGCGCTGTTGTTCCGACCGAATTGGTCCGTGCCACGGCATGGTGACGACTTCCGGCAGCTTCCAACCCAGCCTTGCCGTCGCCTGTACTTAGCCTTGACCAAGCAGGTCCTCCTTTGGCCAGTCGACAAACTGCAACGAGAAAAGGCTCATGTCAAAGCGCGATTGAAGTCGTTTGACAAACAATTCCAACTAGCCCACGGGCGGCGCCCATCGAGCGTTGCAGAAAAAGAGTCGCTGCGGCAGTTCTACGAGCTGTACCACTTCCTCGGGCTCATCATGGACTACCAGATCACGGACGCAGCCGACCCGTCCAACGAGTGCGTGGACGGCACCGCTGTCTTGCACGTCATGGATGGTGGATGTAGGGTACGTGGACGTGTGGTCGAGATGTCGCGAGAGAGACTGGAAGCCAAGAAAGCGCGGCTCCACATGCGCCTCGTCCTCTTTGAACGGCACTTTGAACTGTGCTGCAATGAGCCTGTGTGGCAACAAGTTGGCACTGCGACGTCGACGTGCTGACCGCGACGCGCTTGTAGGTGCACAGTGAAGATGACTATGGCCACCTCCGGTCGTCCTATAACGAATACAAGGTATATATACGGGAGTCCAATTCGACTCTAGCTCACGGTGGGCTAGAAATTGTCGGGTTTTCTTGCACAAAACCAAGAGCCCCACGAATAGAACCAAGCCCACCACCCACCTTAAGGTTGTCAAGACAAAATTCCCCTGTTACCACAACATCGTACAGTTGTTTGAGTGGACAGAGAGGTCGTCTTGGAGAAAGCTCGCAAAGGCGCGCTCCGTAACGTCACCGCCGACTTTTGGAATCACGACTTTCGACGGAGTGGATGCCAACGACGATGGTATTACGTCTTGGGTTGGAGTCGATGGAGTCGAGGAGGTGACTGTTCGAGCAAGTTTTTGATCAGACTCGCCCATTGCTCGTAGCGCGCTGCAGTGACACCGGCATGTAGTTTTCTACCACCCACGAAAGCTTAGCCCTTCAACTCTCCACCCAATAGCATCCATGGGGCGTTTTCGTGTGAACAGGTCTACCTCAGTTGGGCTGGAGTTAGCAGTGCCAACAGTCGCGCTTGGATCAACTGGACGTTCTTGTCGTGAATACCAAGCTCTTCGCCATGTAGTGTCGGCAGGGCGGCTTCGACTTGCGTCAGAAGCCAAACCACTTTATCGAATCGGTGCTGGACCAACATCTAGACATTGTTCAAATGGTCAAACCTGCACCGATAGCAACAACGTACCTGAAACGCGTATTTCCCCACTTGCTCGTCAATGTATCGATCGTACTGTTGGTTGTTCGATCGATAATGGTCTGGTTCCCAAGCCCTCGCGACTCGTACGACTTGCATCGCCAGCGCCAACTGGTCCTTTTCGCAACAATCCACGAGCAGTTCAAACGCAACGGCACTGCGTGATTGGAATTGGGCGTAGCTGTTTGTTCGAGGCCGGAACGTAGATGGTTCGTTCGCTGTCCCCGACTCATCCAAGCACAACAGAAAATTTGCTGCCTACGCGAGGTCCCCTTGAACACGTGTCGTGGAACAGGTCGTTTTCTCGTGGTACCGTTCGGACTTCGTTGCGTTGGCGGCACAGTTGCAGCAACTGCGTGGGGTCACCGGCTAACGGGAAGAGCAACGACAGGCGATTCGGTTCAACCTTTCGCGCCACGTTGGCCACAATTTCGCAGTACGTTTCCATGTCATGGTCGGTGTCCTTCAGCAGCGCTAGCGCCTTCTCCAACACGGCCACGTTCCACTTTGTCTGGTAGACGTTGTCGAGTATTGTGACAAGGACCTTGCCACCACCAATTAGAGGTTGGACATGGCGACTGGGTGGTCGTACCAGCTCTTGCGTCAAAGTCGTCAGCGCACATCGTCGAGATATGGCATGACGAATCGCCGCCGCCATCTCGGTTTGGTGGTGGACGAGCAAATAACAAATGGTCGTGTGCACAAATGGCTGTACGCGGCACGACACGTCAAACACACCCATGTAATTTTCTTGAAGCGCTCCCACGAGGACACCAAAGTCGGGATGTACTCCAAGGATCTGCACTTCCGGGTTGAACCGCAAGAGCGGATCCAAGAGCATGGGCATCGAGCAGCCAAATCCAGCATCGCCCGATTGCAAGTGGACGCCGTATTCCGCCAAAAGACGAACATACGATTCCCACGTCTACGTTACACGAAATACTGTTCACGACTCACAAGCGTGTAAACATCGTACCAATGTGTTGGACAGGTTGGGCGCGACTTGCTTGGATCGAAATGGATCGTTTGCCTGGAGAAATTGAATCGCCACATCATCGTTGACTGGCGGCGCAAATGCAATGCCTTCCAAGAACGGCCACCACACTTGGTAGCCGTGGCGACCGTACAGTCCCACAACATGGGAGCACAACAGCGGCCAGCCTCGGGGCGACCAGTGAGAGATTTGAGATATGCCTGTCGCAAGCAGCGTCTGGATTTTCGTTTCAGGGTCCCAGAGGTATGCGTTATTCACTTGATCGAGGATAAGAAAGCGAGGAATCGTCCATTCTACGACAACTGTTGACAACGTGAGGACCAACAGCAAGCGCTTACGAGAAGTGGGCTCAGAAAACAGAGACCACATCATCCCTCCAAACCACGAGTTGGATTCCGATTCGTGACCAATGCGCCGTTGCAGCCGCGGCACAACGCTGAAGCAACGCGTCCGACCGACGACTGCATTACAGAGGGGCAACGGCTCCGTCCGGCACAGCCGCAAACTGAACGCAAACGCACTGCTCTCGACGGTCGCTGAAGCGGCGATGCGGTACACCCACAACTAAAAGTTGTTCATGAATCTCCACCATGCATCCTTGATGCAAGTCGAACACTACCTTGGAGTCAGACAAACAATATACGGCATCGTCGTCCACTGTGAGTGCATGGACATCATTTAAGACGGCAATGTGGGCCTTGCGCGACTCCATATCCAATCTGTTCCGAGGAAATGCGTCCAGAAAAAGCGCTTGGTTGGACTCACGAACGAGAGCCACGACCATGTCGTCTTTCCACCACGTGATGGCAACCACACCAAACGACTGCTCTTCCAGCTCACTTCCAAACATGAGCCACTTGTTTGTCCGCTACAAGTCATCATCCCACGCGTTTATGGTTGGCCATCTTCAAAGCCATGCACATCCATTTGGGTAATTTACCTTGTTCAGGAGGGCAAAACCTCGCGTTCCAGCAACTGCCAGGCGCGTGTTGGTAGAATTCACGGCCAAGTGCTGCATGGGAAAGTTGGCCTGGGCATACGTAGTTGGAACAGGAGCCGTCACCGAGCTTAGAACGCCACATGGGTCGTTGCAACTCCGAGAAGATACCATCACGACACCCTGTGACTCTAGCAAGTGGAGATCGCTGCGGTCGAGAGGAAGCACAGATCGGGCAAAATCGAGCAGCACCACCGATGGGAACAAAGGCATTTGTGGCGTCGAAGCTCGAGTCGGCGACGAGGTAATACTGTCGGGCTCCAGAAGCTCGAGGGCTTCGAGAGGCGATACCGTTGGAAATAGACTCAAGTACAACTTGACGTACCTGCAGTCACAACACTGACATGACCCAAACACACCTCTACGTCACTTTGCAAAAATATCATACCGATGCAAGGCCACGCGCTTGGAACAATCGCGCAGCGCAGCCCATCCGTTGAATCTCGCATTTGCTTCAAAATCCAACAGCGACGTGGGTGCTGTGCCCGTGTTACAATCGCCATGAAGAGCTTGCATGCGCAAGCTGTACTCCCAAATGGAATGGTCCGTGGTCCATTCAACGTGATGCGACGTGCGAAATGTTTCGCTGCTCAAAGCGTCCACGGCCAGAGAAAACGCTTCCTCATCGCACACCACGAGGAACGTGATGGCAACAGTGGACCCGACTGGGACCTCCTTGAGCTATGGTCGACAGTTCAGCACGAAAACTTCCAATGCGGCAATAGAATGGAATTGTACTCGATGCACGATCTCCTCGAAGGGACTTTGCCACATGGGTGATCCGTCGATCGACAGCAAGAGTTCACCGCCTTGCAATTTTCTCGACAATTCGGCCGGGCCAGGGCGACCGTCACTGGTCCGAGGAACGAACGGCTCCTCGCTTCGCACCCACGCACCTGGTTGATTTGGCTCCCCCGCCAGCGACAAGCACAAACCATCTTCATCTATATTTTCATTCGTAAGGGCTTCCATTCCTCTTGCCGTCAAGAGTAAACCAGTTCAAATCGTTTTGTCTCATTTCGTAACCCCATGCCATCAACCGTCAATCCCATTTCACAGATGCATTTCACCACTCACTCGGCCCCCCATATAATGGGCATGCCTTACCTTTGGACAACTCGACGTCGACCACGGAAAAGAGGGTAATATTTGGTACTTCTCGATCGTAAATCGTCGAAAGCTCAGCAGGTTGGCCATTGGGAAGAATTGCCAACGTCAACGCGGCATGGCTCCAACTCACGCGCTGAACACCGTATGGAGCAACTTCAGTCTTGGACGGACCCACACCCACTTGGTGTAATGTCGACATCAACTTGCATCCGTCCGTTGAAAACACACTCAGGCCACGGCGGGCGTACCTACACCGCACTCGCTTCACAATTCCCTTCGCAACGACCCCCCATCATTTCATAAGCACCGTCGTCACAACAGGTGCAATTTGGCGCCAAACGCACGCTTTCTTCCATCATGGACATGAAGAGTATCGACTCATTTCGGTCCACCAAGTCATACGTACCCAATGGCAATGGCACGACCGTCGTCCGTGAATGCCAGACTCGATACTGGGCCAACGTCGTCGCTGGAATACCCCCACAGCCCCAACGAAAGGTTGACAGAATCATCGTCTGGCGGAACCAACGGCGTGTCGTCCATTCGCAGGATGGCACTCGATCGGGATGACCACGATGCGTCGCTTCTTCGTTTGGGATGGTGAAGCCGAAACAAGTGCACGACGCTGGTTGTTGTCCCGACTGCCAGCAGCCCCGCATCTGCGTCAAGCGCAACGATCGTGCTGTTGGATACCTGTCGCACGACTTCGAGATGATCCAAATGGAACGCGGACGATGCTGTGGGCGGTTTGAATGTCAGCACTGCACAGGTCCCGTCGGAAAAGGAGGCCGCTACATGGCACGGTTAAAGCCTTCCCAACGTGGACGATCGTTTCAAGTGGAATATAAAGTCGAAAACGAAAAACCTCGTGTCGTCATCAAGAGTGCCGCGACGGTTGACGTACCGAGAACAACGCGACTCGTCAAGTGGAATGACGAGTTGCATGCAATGGAAGTGCATTGAAGTGTGCCCTGCACGTAGAATCGGGATGCATCAGGTCAGGCAGTATAGAGACCGCCATGAACGCAGGAACGAAATAACATGAGCCATCCGTGCGACGCAAAATGGACATGAAAGGAGAGCCAACGTACTGTTGCCGTGGTGGCATGAAGTTGGTTGAAGGAATCGAGGGGAGCAATGACGTGGCCTCCGTTGCCCATGACCGCCCAGCGGAAGATCATAGTTCGAGCGATTGACGTCCCGATAAAGATATGATCTTCGTTTACGGCAAGGCATGTGCCTTCTTCGACGCCGTCCTTTCCTACCAGTTAAAGCACACCGCACGTCAATGCAGTGCGCTTTGGTTTCGATTATCGTACCAAACGTTATGGATTCATGGGCATGAAGTCGCACGCCATCCGTCAAATCCAACACGTAGCTGTACATTTCAAGGGTCGTGGGAGTGAGCACGACAATTCTTGATGTGTCGTTGCTTGGGAGAAACGCGCTTGCGAGAGGGGTCGACTCCGTTTCTCGAGCAAGGCGTGTTGGAGGAAATGGCGGCGCATCTTTATGGTACATACACTGCAATTGGATGCTAGTTGGTGTCACTTCGACCTTCCATTGCCCCAGCGTGCTGAACGCCACGACGGATGCATCGGACTCACGCTTGATCACGCGAGGAAGCCCTCGAGCTACCCACATGACGGTGACGACTGCAATGTTGCTTGGGACATCCCGTCAATGTGAAACCTCCAATACTTTATAATCTCATATTATACAAATTTCCTCGACATTGGCGAAATCTGCTAATATTTGTCCTGTTCACGTAAGTCCACCTCACTTGGTACGTATTATATTTTGACTGAATGCAGTTGAGCAGGAACATTCGTTTGGACATTTCGCCTTTGATGCCTTTCTTTTCCAGACGGATACAGTGGAAAAACACTCACCTGTCCCCCTCAATCAATGGAATGTCAAGTAAGTGGCTGTTGGGGACAAGGCGAGCCTATATGCTTCAGATGAAGCACGCAATTTCTCGTGAAAAGGGCAGTACTGGAACATCCAATCTCCCAGGGTTCATATCGAATCTCAGAGAAATCAAGTAAAAGAGGTTTGCCTATCAGAGGATCAGAGGTTGTGGTGGAATTAAAATTCGAACCCCGTGAGATTTGGGTGGTGAATTTGGCATCAAGAACGAAGCATCATGCTGTGTGGGTTGAGCGGCGCTGTGTGTGAAGTGCCCGTTGTCAACATCAAGTCGGGCCATGTGTACGAAAAGCGCTTGATCGAGGAATACCTGAAAACACACGGAAACCTGTGCCCACTCTCAGAATCGCTTGTGGCGCCCGAGGACCTACTTCCCCTCAAACTGTCGACGGTCGCAACGAGCGCAGCCCCGCCGTCCAAGGTCACAGCCTCGATCCCGTCCTTGCTTTCCGCCCTTCAGACAGAGTATGATGCGCATGCGCTCGAAATGTTTGAACTCAAGCAGCATTTACAGACCACTCGGTACTCCTGTTTGCTTCACCACACCGTTCTAACGATTGCTGCAGACGAGAGCTATCCCACGCGTTGTATCAATACGATGCCGCGTGCCGCGTGATTGCTCGTTTGAACCGCGACATCGAGACACTCAAGCAAACCGCATCGTCGTCGTCGAACGGTGAATCCTCGGATGACCCTTGGGTGCATGTCACTGCTGCAGTCGCTGCGCGTGCGAAGGAATTGGCTCATTACCGCAAGAAGGAGCGCCACGTGGAAGAGCTTGCGAAGACTCCTGCGTCGTTGCATGCCAAGACGAGCCAAACACTGCACCAAACCGACAAACCTGGCGTTTTGACTGTGGACATCAAGGGAGAACGTGTCCTCACGGGGGGGAACGACCGACACGCCAAGGTCTCCAAACTGTTACCCATCCTCGCTGCTCTCACATTTCCATGCAGATCTTCAACACATCGACCGGTAAAGTCGAGCACACGCTCTCTGGCCACGCAAAGAAGGTGCAAAAGGTGCTCTTCCACCCGACCGCAGACATTATATTTACAGGGTCGGCAGACAAGTCGATTAAGCTCTGGACAGCACCAACCTACCAGGCAGCACACACCCTCGATGGCTACAATGGCGCGGTCACTGGAATGGCCGTGCATCCCACGGGTTCGTACCTCGGCTCTTCATCGGACGATTCGACGTGGGTTTTTCACGACATTGGAACGGGTTCCTTGCTCAAGTCAGTGAGCTCGGAAGCCAAGGCCGTGCACGACGTCCAGTTCCACCCCGATGGCGCGATCTTTGCCACGGCGCAGGCCGATTCGACCATTCGTATTTGGGACGTGGCGTCGACCAAGAATGTTGCGACGTTTGAAGGGCACACTGGCGCGGTCAACTCGGTCTGGTTTTCCGAAAACGGATACCATCTCGTGTCGGGGGGCACCGACGGCATCGTCAAGTTTTGGGACTTGCGCAAGCTCAAGAGTGTGCTTGAGTTGAATGCCCACTCGGCGGTACATGCCGTCCACTTGGAAGTCGGCGGGTCCGTCTTGGGCGTTGCCACCGACAAGGTCATGTTGTACCAAGAGACCGGCAAGAAGAACTGGGACGTTGTCAAAACGTTTGAAGAACACAAGGGCCAAGTTACGGACGTAAAGCTTGCCAACCAGTTGGAGTTTGTCGTCTCCACTTCGCTCGACCGGTCGCTCAAGGTGTACGCGTAAGAGTGACGTGGTTGCTGGAACCAGCAGCCGAGCGGCAAATCAAGTGCTCGCTCGGTCATGACGACGACATATATAATTGATTTCACCATCCCTTGCATGTGGCTGGAAGGCGTCATGGTTACAGGAGCGTACTACCTTTTCTGGACGTCCTCTTCGCTGACATGCTTTCGAGGACTTGTGTATGTGAATCGATCAAAGCGTGATTCGAGATAGGCCCACGAACGAACCATCCTTACCAATGCAAAGACGTGGCATATATCGATACATGTTTCAGTCAACATCGTTGCAACAACTCCTTTGACGATGACGTCCGGGAATGAATCGTGACATTGAAAGGACCGATGACAATTCTGTCGACGCATTCGGTTGGCAGCAAAAGTTGCATGTGCGATGACATGATAGATGAAGGAGGGACTATGAGTTTGTTTATCCATGGCGAAATATGAGAAACCCGACTTGCCCGAGGAAAAAGTACACCATCCTGAAATGCCGTGAGAATTGTGTGAGGGGTGCAGCACGTACTTTTTAACTTCGTGTGTCACGAACGATCCGAAGGACTTGCCCACGATCACGTGCCAGCTCCCGTCGTTGGACTCTTCCAGTTCTTTCTTGATCTGTTGTGCGACTTCAGTGAAGTGGTTCTTGTCGCCTTTGTAGTATGCCTTGAGCGCGTTCGTCGCGCTATTCACGATGAACTCTTCCATTTCCTTGGAGCTATCCTTGTGCACGATGCGCAGCGCGCCCACCGTCACGTCGTCCTTCTTCGCCGCCTTCGACATGCTCCAGTGTGGTTGGAACAGTGGTGACCTTTCGGACAAAAGATCGCAGCTTCTCATTGGTCAACATGAGCCAATTGGAGTCGAGGATTCACATTGCCCAGCCACCAGTTCCTCCATGGTCGTGGATGGCTACTGTGTCTGCAGCTCAGTGGCGCTGCGTTGAGCTGCATGGAATCTTGTCGAATTAATTGGTCTCAAGCGAAGGCTTTGGTCGTGCCTGATCCACCCATGGACTCACTCACAAACGCCGCGCCGAAAAAGTGTGTACCCAAATGTCGCATGCAGCGCTAGAGACACGTGGCGATCGTGTCGTGGATGCGGTGGGTGCAATTGCTCCTCGCGTGCGCGTGGATCCATCGACAGCTATGTCGAAGGGTGTTCCGTTTATTTGCTAGTAGTACGTATCAACCGATGCAACCGTGCGCTTTCGTCATGCACAGCGCCGACATCATCACCATCGTTTTGTTGAATTCATATCAAAACAGAACTCATGGTCTTAATGCACTTCCTTACCGGTTCTCGGATGGCGCTTCGTAACACTAGTGCCTTACCTATTCATCCACTATCGAGGGATTGCAGCATAGGCTGGTCGTCTGTTCGGGCAACTTCGCCAGAGCTAGACTCAGTTCGCAGCAACTCGACATGCACGCTTGAATTCGACATCATGGCCATGGAGTACGCCTGTCGACTTCGCATTATACGTCATCACAGGCACTACACAACACACTCGATTACCTACGCCCCTGCCGTTGTCGGGACTGGCGCATACGGCGATCGCGTGCGCCGGAATATAAGCCACACCGACAGCATTCCCAGCCACACAAATGCCAACGGCCACATGCTTTGATGAGGATGTGTGAGAAGGCTGACGTCACGTTGAATCTCGTGAAGCATTTGGGACGACTCAGCATTCGGTGTTTGCAAGGCTTCAAGCTTGTCCAGGACACGTTGGATCAAATCCTTCTCGCGCTCCCGCCACGACCCGTTGACACTATTAGGCATGTCGTCCGTCGCATTCAAGAGGCCGCCATTGCTTTGCAACGCGGGGCGCATTCTCCAGCCTGGCAGAAATTCTTCGATGATTTCAGGGATGGCGTACGGGACCCAGTGTAATTGTTCACATCGAAACTCGTCCAAGGCTGGATTTGTGTTGGAAATGCCAGAAAACTGGAGAAACTGCTCCACCGACCGGACCTTGCCTCCGTGAAATTTGTCGATCTCTTGGGCGTCGACCGGGCCATTGAACGGCAGTGTCAGCACCATTCGCAATCGATTGTACGCAAGCTTCTCTTCCATGTCGTGCTCTTCCCGGGTCATCACTTGCGTCACATTGTCCCAGAACCGCTTCTTCATCCCCTTGTCGTCCGACCAGTTGTGAAAGACGACGTGGCCGTACTTGGAAGGCGAGTACAGGTCGTAGCCACGGGTCCACAATTGCATGCTGCGAAGGTACTCTTCGCCCCAAAACACCCAGTTCATGTGCTTGTCGTTGGGAGCGCGGCGCTCGGCGTGGCACTTGCTAAAGGATAAGCACCCACCCCACAACGCCGCCATTTGTGGGAACTCGCTGTCTTCAATCAGCATCATCCCCCGGATGATGGGGATGTCTTGTACATGTGTGCGCTTCAGATAGTTGCACAAGTGCGAGCTGTACCGCGTTTGGTGGGTCAGACCTTCGCCCATGAAAGAATAGTTCATAGGATACGTAGTCAAGACGGCCATTTCGTTGTCCGTTCGAAGCCACTCGTCCACGATCTCGACATCCCAGTTGGGAAGGAACTGGCTGTGCGCGTCAATTTGCAGACAGAACTCTTCGTCCTTAATGAGTTGCTGCTGCTGCCACCGCGCCAGCGTCGGCCCTTTGGACGTCCGCGAGTCCCTCGCATCGACGCGAATTTGGCTTTTGAACTTGCACTCTTTCCAATCCGAGGCCTCGGCCAACTTGCAATACTCGTCGACGCACGTCGTGTCGTCGTCCTGGGTTTGATCGACCAATCCAATCGTGATGCGTTCGGGGTGTTTGGCTCGGGAAAACGCTGTGTACAGGGTGAAGCCGCAGCGCGGGCCGTCGCGGTAAGTTGATATTCCAATGAAAATGTCGTAGTCCTTGGGCACTCGGGGTGGGGGCGGGCGAAGGTTGGCATCACGTGCTGCCTGGGGGATGTTTTGCGTGAGCGGATCCAAGTACGTGTACGGCTCGTTGTACCCATGGTAGACGCGCTGCTTGATAGCTTTAGCCATGGATTCGGCGCCGATGTGACAGATTTGAAAATGATGCTCCAGACTAACCAGTTTTGGTGAGCCAATCACGACGCAAAATATGCGACTTTTCCTGCTACCACAACACCCAGATCGGCATGTCCCGTACATGTCGACTTGCGCGACGCTTCATGACGCGCCTACGAAGGAAGTGCCGATGTGCGAAAGCAACTGCAGGACGCGCGCAGCAGTATCAGTGGACTTGTCCTCGTCCTTCCACTCGCGACGTGCTGGTCAGGTTATACTATCTTCGCGATATTTCGACCAAAACGGCAATATTCTGAATGATGTCGGCGAGGAATTTATGCCGGATTGGTCAAACCTGTCGTGAAAATATAGTGAAAATGTTGAACGCGTTAACGCGTTTTCGTTTTCGAAAGAGTTCCTCGTGTTCTCACATTTTGCATTGACTATTGTGGAAGTTGACAAATAATTATGCTGACATGTTTGGACAAGAAATATCTGTAGATGAATTGAATACGACAAAACAATATGAAGGCATCAACTTCGTGGGTGGGCCACTTGAGATGGGATTGCAACATGTCGAATAGTATGCGACGAAGGAATGGAGGTGTCGGGCGCATCATCGTTGTTTTAGCCCAACCACTCGGACGTCAACAGGAGTTGAATGAGCTATACCGGCGAGGGGGGTGCCGACAATTGTTTCGTCCCGCGACATAATTCTTGTCTCAGATTATGCAATATCGGGGTCGGTTGTATTCGTTGAAAGGATAAATCTACATTTGTCATGTGCGTGTGCGTAATTTTGTATCAAGCATGAACGGTGAAAATCGATTTCTGTGTCGTAATATTTTTATCCACTTCTATTTTTTTGGCTCCTCGATCCGCATATCTTAACATTTGAATTTATATTTTGAAGAATGAATTTTTCGTTCATGCCGTCGGGTTGTAACATTATCAAGGCACGACGCCGTACAATCTGAGTAAAGGTTTGTCCACAGCGAGTTCATCGTGCAGGGCGTTGAATTCATTAGCTGCTGCGTCACCATCGCCATCGGTAGAACAAGGCGACTCTTTTGTCCGGTCGGTCTCACGTTTGGGTGCTGCGGGGTGGCATATGAAGTGGCACCGTTTCGACAGCGCTGAGCGCCGACTGGTGGATCCCCCTGGGAGGCGCATTCGTGGCATTTGCTGTAGGCGGCTGTCAGCCACCAGTTTCGCACCCTTGGGTGTATCGGGAAGAAAGGGATCGATAAGGCACCTACCGTGTTTATACCGTCAAGTTTATATCGGTTTAGACAGGTGATATTTCACAACCCCACGACAACACGGCGAGAGTAATTGTAATTCAGTTTAGACATACAAATATCAAGTTCAATTAGCACACCCCAAAACTGAGATTATAAATAAAATTTCAAAGTATATAAGCTATCACAGATATAGTGTTCCATAGTTAATCCAGAAGAAATATTCAATACAAAACAGAAGTGTATTAATTAATTTCTTCAAAATCTAACTCGGCAATGTCATGCGACGAATCGATTGTATTGTCGATGGAGCAGCTCGTCATAAGCTCAGCCAGAGTATCGTCATCAACTACAACGTCTAACTCCTCCGACACAAAGTCCCCTACACTAATAATTCGACACTTGGCAAACCCATTCAAAATCGTTCTCGTAGGTAAATCATTCCAAACGTCACTAATCCATTTCAGAATGGTCGGACGTGTAGGAGGTTGCAGCTTAAAGGCAGCACCCTTGGCCTTGCTGACTCGTACCTGCCGTCGGATCGTCTCGATCCAGGCCTTTCTCAAACGCGTTTTCATTGGCCGAATCCAGGCCACGTCAGCGGGT